TTATTTCTTTTCCTGCACCATCATAATTCTAAACAACTAGAATAAAACTAACATTTGGGAAACGTTCCAAATTGTTTACGAATTAATACTGGGCTAACTGTATAAGTGACAAAGTATTTGAATAAACTTTTTTCTGACAAAAATAACACAGGACCACAAAGGGAAATTGAGGTGGACATGTTCCAAGCGTAGCTGACCTTTATGTTTTTGGGGTCGCTGATTACGATGCCGGTGTCCGTATGACCCCATCACGTCAGCATCAAGGTCAACTGAAGGTCAAATACCCTAAATTCGAATATTTAATTTTTTTGACCCCGGAATCAGAAAGAGCGGAAAATTTTACGTCCAGATAAGTTTTGACCTTTTTTTTAAACTAACATTTCAAGGTCATTTCAAGATCATTTAGAGGTCAAATTCTACTTTTAATCTCTCGGCCGGAATTTTAGCATGGATTTGGTCCTAGAATAGTTGCTTTTTATGTTTTTAGGGTCGCTGATTACGATGCCGTTGTCCGTATGACCCCATCACGTCAGCATCAAGGTCAACTGAAGGTCAAACACCCTAAATTCGAATATTTAATTTTTTTGACCCCGGAATCAGAAAGAGCGGAAAATTTTACGTCCAGATACATTTTGACCTTTTTTTTTAGACTAACATTTCAAGGTCATTTAGAGGTCAAATTCTTCTTTTAATCTCTCGGCCGGAATTTTAGCATGGATTTGGTCCTAGAACAGTTGCATTTTATGTTTTTAGTGTCGCTGATTACGATGCCGGTGTCCGTATGACCCCATCACGTAAGCATCAATGTCAACTCAAGGTCAAACACCTAAATTTCGAATATTTAATTTTTTTGACCCCGGAATCAGAAAGAGCGGAAAATTTTACGTCCAGATACGTTTTGAACTTTTTTTAAACTAACATTTCAAGGTTATTTCAAGGTCAACTCAAGGTCAAATTCATCTTTTAATCTGTCTGCCGGACACCAGCATCGTAATCAGCGACCCCAAAAACATAAAAAGCAACTGTTCTAGGACCAAATCCAGGCTAAAATTCCTGCCGAAAGATTAAAAGAAGAATTTGACCTCTAGATGACCTTGAAATGTTAGTTTAAAAAAAAGTCAAAACGTATTTGGACGTAAAATTTTCCGCTCTTTCTGATTCCGGGGTCAAAAAAATTAAATTTTCGAAATTAAGGTGTTTGACCTTGAGTTGACCTAGAAATGACCTTGAAATGTTAGTTTAAAAAAAAGGTCAAAACGTATCTGGACGTAAAATTTTCCGCTCTTTCTGATTCCGGGGTCAAAAAAATTAAATATTCGAATTTAGGGTGTTTGACCTTCAGTTGACCATGATGTTGACGTGATGAGGTCATACGGACAGCGGCATCGTAATCAGCGACCCCAAAAACATAAAGGTCACCTACGCTTGGAACATGTCCACCTCAATTTCCCTTTGTTGTCCTGTGTAACAAATGGAAAATATTCTAAAAATTGTTTATGGAAGAATACTGGGCTAACATATAGTAGGCAATTTTCTGCAATTGAGTGAATGATTTTTAATTATTAAATTTCACTTTGTATTCAAATTTCAAAATCAATTTTTACGTATAGATATTGGTTTTTAATGCTGAATCCTAATTGTACAATACAAAAAATTCATTAATTTAACACTTGTCAAATTTTGATTGATCATAATTTTTGTAGAGGTTCCTTGAGAATTGTTCATTGTATAACCGGACAACTTCTATATATATATAATCGAAATAAAAATGAAATGCCTCTTCTGTTGAGTGTTTAATAACTGCACAGAAAAGATATTTCAGAGACTTGTGATTAGACCTACAGAGTTAAGTACCTCAACGTTAAAAGTCGTAGACAATTCAGTGGTAAGAAGTATCCCATTAGACATTAGTGACTCCCGCAGCAATAGGTTGATGGTATACAAGGGGCGTTATATAGGTTCCTGGCATGCTACACCAGATAGCCACTTCTCTCGGCAGCTACTTCACTCAAACCCGAAAGTTGAGAGGAGAATATACCGGCTATTGTCAGAGCACGACATTCATCCTCCCCGATATACCCCTGTACTTTTCTTTAGTCAGGTTCCTACAGGGTGGCCTAATCTTTTCTACCGCATATATAAATGCAGAAAAAAATTAATACCAATTTTTTATTAAATTATTATTATTATTATTCTAACTTTTGGGAAAAAGAAACATCAAAAAAATGTTTTCATATTCAATTTCTATCATTTTTCATGAATACCTGTGTTCAACAATATTACTGACTTACAGTCAAAAAAATATCAATGGAACCTATGCAATTACTCCAGCAGAAATAGTCGTATATAACAAAATATAATATCTAAAATTCTGAATATAAAAACTTCAACATTTTAATATGCGTCATATTTTCTTTTTTTTTTTTTTTGAAATTCCATCAGTCGAAAACTCTGATCAGTAACGTTTGGCGAAAAAAAGTTCTTCTATTCAGAACGACTTCATATCCATTTGCTTCAAAGGAAAATCAATAACGAGCAGAGCATAACTTTTTTTTTGCGCAATTTTTTTGTGAAAAAGAGCAACGTACATACTTTCCAATCTTTCTTTCATCGTTGAAATATATATATATATGTAGGGTGCTTTTATATATGGGTAAAACTATCGTAAAGAGAATATTTCTGCACGCACTAATTTCCCTTGAGAGAGAGAAAAAACTGTCTCCCTAAATATGACTTCGATGACGCGGAATGATGAGCCACTGACATTCGATAATTACCCGCCTTGTCGAAGGAGTTCTTTTAAAAAAAGAAAAAAAAACTCCAAGGTATTTATTGACTTTGCTCCAGTAGATATTTAGTCAAATATCATGGATCACCTCTTGACTGCTCAAGTGACTAATAGAAGAAGTCACGCGGTTTTATTGTATAGCAAACAATACCAGCAGATGCATAATCTTTTAAAAAAAAAAAATTCACAAACGAACGGCTTTATACTAAGTGGATCTAAATAAAAATTATAAAAATATTTCCTTATTCATAAAACTTTTAATAAATTAGAAAACTAATCACGATTGAAAAAAATATTTTGGTTTTTTTTTATAAATTTTAGTCAAATTGCTATTATAGAAAATCACGAGAGAGAAAAAATAGGAAACTTTATGAGTGTCATTGATATGTCGCACATGGGAGACTGCCCGAGGTGGTAAAGTGCCACTCGGTAATATAGACAGCTAATAAGAGAACTCATGCCGTGTCATTTGAGAAAGGACAATGCCACAGATGGACAAATCGCTCTACGGAGAACCCCCATCAATTCCATCAATTACTACATACGACTTGGCGTTTAAGTGTAAGGGAGGCCAATTTTGCAATGATTCTTTATCCGTCTGGCGATATGTCGCGACAAAAGGTCTTCCATCGCGAATCGAGAAATTATGTTTGACATTTTGAACTAGTCACACACTCTAACACTATATATATGCAAGAATTAATGAAATAAAATTCGAAATGTTTTTTAAAAAAAAGTTTTTAATTAATTTTAATAATTTATATATTTATAAAAAAAAAAGATGGTTCTGACACTTGACTACACCACAAGTCCTTTAAGAAGAAGAATATTTATAAGAAAACAATTTAAAAATAATTCTACTTATCAATTAGCTATACTAACTTTGTAAGTAAAAAAATATTTAAATAAATTTTTCTATAGAAGAAAAAATAATAATTAGAAGGTTTCGTATGAATAAAACGATAACATTCGGACCATTGTTGTTTTAATAAAGGTTTACTCCAACGTTTCGAAATCTAAATGATTTCCTCCTCAGGGAGTCAAATAAGAAACATATGTCAAGTCATAGAAATAATGATCAATTGCGGTGTCAAATTAATAAAAACAAACCACCTTAACGTTGGAGAAAAACATAGAGTTTGGAGTTCAAATCAATCAGTCCATTTTTTAAAAACAAGTAATAACTGAACAGACACATTATAAATAAAACATATGATAAATAAATAAATAAATCACACAATCTATAAATAAACAATATAAAATGAAATAAAATAAAATATTAGGTGTTCTGTTCCCAACGTCAACTTTAAAACTTTTTAAAAAATAATAATTGAAAACATTCTACATTGTTTACAGATGAATACCTAGGCTAACTTTGTAACTAATAAAATATTTAAATAAATTTTTCAAGTAAAAAACTAACAAGCGGAAAACCAATTGTTTACGGATAAATACTGGGCTAACTTCCCCGTTAGATTATATCATCTTCCGAAAAACTCTTTCTTGGCTAAAAAAAAATTTATAAAATGAATGATTCTCGGTAACCAAGACAGTGTCTTTTTTGTTTGGCTATAGCATATAATATGCGAATTATATTCGGTTACATAAAATGTTCTTCATTCTGAGACCTCGCGACAACTGTTTGTTTTGCAATGCTAGCAATTACGATCTGCCTCACTTTCTGACTGTCTATCCTCGTTATGAAGACATCAGAATATTTTTTTCCCCCAGATATTCTGTCTAGTGATTGCCATGAATCATTTTGGATAAATATACTTTCGTAAATTGTAAATCATTGTAAATATCATAAATATGCTGATGATTTTAAAATTTATTTGTCGGGACTAAAATTTTTTCAGTTTGGGGACCTTCTGAAGACGTATTTAAAACATTTTGGGAACAATTTCAGGATACTCTTAAGATGTTCTAGAGACGTTTCTGAGGCAGAGTTAGAAAATATTTTGGGCGTCTTTAAGTCATCTTTTTTATATCTTTGAAACATTGATGCAATATCCTAGGACACTTTGGAACGTTCTAAAGTCATTCTAAAGACGTCTTGGTCAATCTATTTTTCGTTTAGAAGCATCGAAACTATTCAAATCTCCACAACTTTTAGATGAACAGAATGAAGGAACACATAGTCTATTTGTAGATACACCTATATAAATTGAAAAATCTATTAATTTACACACTGTAAAAATATTAACTTTACCTTTATTAAGTGGTCAGCGCCTTTTGAAGGCATCACATGAACAGAATCAGTCAAAGCAATGGCAAAAATTCTGTTTGTAACTTCTTCTGGATTTCGTATACCCTAGAAAAGAATTTTTTTTTTTTTATTTTTTCACATCAAGATGAAAAATTTATTCACAGTAAAAAAAAATTAAACTTACAAATTTGACCGTACAAACACCTCCATAACTGTGAGCTATAATGGCAATATGTTTAACGTTTGAAGGTTTAATATAATCTTTCCAAACAGTTTCCATATGTTTTTCCGGATTTTCACTATCCTGAAGTATTAAAAGAAAAAATTATTAGTCTCATTCTGCCAAGAATTTTTTTGTAAAATAATATATATATATATATATTTCGGAAAAATTTACTTTAATTTCTTTCTGCTTTCCTTTCACTAGTCTATGATTATCATTTGTATTTAAGACAATCACTGCGTATCCTAATTCTCTGGCCTTCTTCACATAAGGTATTTGTGTGCCTGAATTAAGATTGTCATTAATAATTAAACGTCTAGCCCATTGTCCAGCTCTTACAACACCACTTCCGTGAATTAAAACTATTAATTTTTCATTTTCTAAATAATCATCACTTGCAAAGACAAATGTCCTTAATTCTTCAGAATCTTTACTGTTCTTTGGAACTGGCAACCTTTTTAATCCTTCTTTTTCCAAAAGACTATACACGTAATGATTAATAACCTTAAAATATTAAAATTAAATTATTATTTGTTTTAAAAAAAAAAAAATTTTTTTTTCAATTTATTTACATTTATAAATTACGTACTTCACCTAAAGCTTCATAATGTTTTTGATTGTAGTCTGAATCATCAGAAACATTAAATTCAAAAGGTTTATTTGATGTATCTCCCGTTTCTGGGTCAAGTTTTCGAAGTTTTCCATCTATAAATGAAAATTTTTTAATAATTATTAATATTTTATTTTCTAAGTCTAAAAAAATATCTTTAAAAAAAAATTACTGGAACATTTTTAATTAATAATAAATAATAATTAAAATTAATTAATTTAATTAATTATATGTGAACTATTAATAGCTAATTAAAGGCAAAGTTCTTTTTCTTTAATTACGTATGTTTAACGATTTGGGAAAATCCAACAATTTTTTACGGGATTTTTTCTTTACATACATTTTGAAATTAGTAAATTATATTATAATGATAATTTTTATTTAATAATATCAAGAGTAAAATATTTCCCAACAATATTAACATTGTGGACTAAATAATTACAAAAAAAAATTCTTAAACGGTAGAAATAATTATTACAGGCCTCGGATCGACTTTGAGACACAAAAAAAGTCATTTTAGTCGATTTATATTCCAAAAAAAGTCGATTTTTTTTATTTTAACAAAATTGAATTGGTTAATAAATATTTTATTTTAAATAACTAATGTTATTAGGTATTAAATTCATTTTATTAATTCTATAATGAGAATAATTCTATAATGAATATTATCAAGAAAATTTATTTCGAATATTTCAGATTCGAACTAATTGTAAGACAAAGTTTCAAAATTATAAATAGGACAAATTTCTAAAAAAAATTCTTAAAATTCTATTTTTATAATTTTTTGAAGTCCGATTTAAACAATTTATTCGAATTAAAAATTTTGTTATAGTTTTTAGTTTTGATGGTCAAAAAAATTTCAAGCAATACTTAATCAAGTTTTACAGATTTTTAAATAACAATTTTTTTAAATAATTATTTTACAAGAGTTAAAGGGGAAAAACTCGTGTAAAAAATATTTTTTTTACAATTTTTTTTTTTTTTGCTTTAAAAATTAGTTTACTATCTGTAGAATATGATCCTATATTTCTAATCTATAATTATATGTATGAATGTCGATAGTAAACATATGTTTAGCACTTTAGATACAACCAAATGTAGCTAACTATGAGCACGAGATCCCTCTATTCTTTCGGTTTCTTGTCAATATAATTTTATTAATTGTCATCAGCAAGCACCATAAGCAAGTGATAGTAAATCTTGGTTTTTGTGCAATAGTTATTTTCGAATACATAACGTCTTCAAGGCAATAGTTAAAACACTACTTTAATGTATCGAAAACTTTATACGCGTTTTTCTCGAAACGTGTTTTTTCGCGCGCCGTGCAATGTAACTCAGACAATTTTTAACCGATTTTAATCAAACTTAGCACAAATCTTCTTTATCTTACTGGCTATTGCAAGACGAGCTTCTTTTTTAAATAAAAATTTTTTTAACAATTGTTTATAAAAAAAGTGATTTTTTTTCAAAATGGTCCCAAATTTTCAAAAAAAATTTTTTTTTAGTTTTCTCTTCGTCATCCAAGGCGTATTTGCGTATTTTAACGGTAAAAATTTTGATTTTTAATTTTAGTTGAGATTTGTGACTTGTAGGCTGCACGGCGCAAAATCAAAGATGCAACTTAAACGCCTGTAAAGCCGACATTTTGTAATATTTTTTAATAAAAAAATTTTTTTCATAAAGCTTTTATTGTGTACTTTAAGGTATGCTTTACTTTAATTCAATAAACTTTACCAGTCCTTGCAAAAAAAAAATCCCAAAAAAACGTGCATTTACACGAGTTTCCCCCCTTAAAGTTGAAATTTTTAGAAATAATTTAATATCAAAAGATTTTATTAATTTTCAGACAATAATTAAATTTTAAAGAACTAAAAATAATTTATCAAATAATTTTAGATAACATTTTTAAAATTTTTTTTTAATTTAAAATCAAATAATTTTAGATAACATTTTTTAAATTGTAATTGAATTTTCGAAGATTTATAATTCAGATTTTTGAAATTAATTGAACTTCAAGTGATTATTAATTAAAAGTTTTTAACAATTTCTGTTACTAAAAAATTTATTAGAAATTCCAGACAAAAATGGTTTCAAATAGTTAAATTTTCGAAGAATATTATAAAAATCATTAAAAATAATTGAATTTCAAGAGATTTATAATTGAAATTATTAAATTTCAAAAAATTTTCAAAATAATTAAATTTTGGAAACTTTTAAATTGAAATTTTTGAAAATAATTGAATTTCTAAAGATTGTATTAAATTTCAAACAATAATTATAATAAGAGAAATTTTTAGTAATTTCAGTTGATGAAGAATTTTATTAGAAATCACATAAAAAAAATTGAATTACAAAAGTTTTTAATTGACAAATTCCTTCAGATAATTGAATTTTCGAAGAATATTATAAAAATCATTAAAAATAATTGAAAATTTACGCAAATAATTAAATTTCAAGTGATTTTGAATTAAAAATTTTTGTTAATTATATTTGCTAATTTTTTTTTTAAATTATAAACAATTATTAAATTTCATAAAAATTTTAATTTAAAAAATAGTTTAAGATAATTGAATTTGTGAAGAATTTCATTAAAATTATTAAAAATAATTAATTGAATGAAGAATTTTTTTCAAAAAATTTATTTTAAATAATTGAAATAAAGAAGATCTGAAGAATCGTCATTTGTTTTTCGTTTTGAACAATATAGATTGTAGCGTAAAAAATATTTAGTTTTTTAAAAATAATTATTTCAGCACTAAAGGAAAATGGATCACGCAAAAAAAAAAATTATTATTTCTAAACATATTTCGAACATTTATATCTATAAATCAAATGGGTGCGTTTAATTTAAAAATTTTCATATTTATAACGTTAAATTATTGTCCTGTTCTGGAGATTTGCCCATAAACTTTGTAGTATACAGAAATAAAAAAAAAAAAAACTATACTTACTCTCATTAAAGCCATAGCCAAATTCTTCTAATGTTTTTGGAAATTCGGAATGTGCCATTGTTCTTTTTGTTAAATACTGAAGAAAAAATGTATACAATATTCAATTCTGAGATTTGTTTACAAACGCGTTTCATCAATTCATAAACCGCGCATAACCTAAAAATTTGACATTTATACATATATATATATTAAAAAAAATAATAAAAAAAAAGAAACGAAGAACATGTATAATAAATTATAATAAAACTTACCTCTAATGTTAATAGATAAAATCCAATTAGGAACGATTTTTTTAATTTTACAGATTGCATTTATAATTATTTAATATTTTTTTTTTGTTATAAACTTATGTTCTGTATACAAAGAACACAAAGCATCACTGACATCAAATAAATGCTTTATCTTTACTACTTTGTTCACTTTCCAATAATTCACTGCAACGTATCTACCTGTAAAGTAATAAAGTAAATTATCATTTTGTTAAATATGTCAATGATTATTAGTTAATGATAACAAAGTTAGATATACATTGATGCAAACTAAACAAAATACAAAACTGTATCCCCACTTTTAGCGTTTACTTGGAATATAATGGCAAGTTCACATGTTGAAGTTAAATATAAAGTAACCTTAAATGGTGGGAATTTCAAAATTTCGAAATTTGTTTTTATGTAAAAATAAAATTTTATATAAATCGCTTTTTTTTATTATTAATATTTTAAAATTTATTAACTTTAATATTCTCTATTAAATAATGTATTTTTTGAAATTAAAACTTCTTGGTAAATGATTTGACTTATTATATCTATTTTATCGACACGGTAATTTGTTAACGTTTTGAACTTGCGCGCCAAATTTCGTAAAAAAAATAGAATTAAATATTATTAGGTTCTAAATACATTTATTTAAATAATTCTTTATTAACATTTGAAATTAATTACAATAGAAAATTCGAAAGTTAATATAGATTTATAACGTATTAATTATTTATTTCGAAAAATTGATGTTAAAAAATAAATTTATATGCATATTTTATAATTTATTATTTTTATTGATAACGTATTGTAATTAAAGTGAAAAAAAAATGTATTTTGATTCAAATAATCGGTTACTTGACTATTATTAAATAAATATTTATTTAAATTAAATAATTATTGAGTCAATTAAATGATATTTTCTTCAAATACAGTTTATTTAATTCAAAAAAAAAAAAAAAATTATTTAATAATATTCAAATAACCGATTATTTGAATTAAATAATTTTCTTAACTGAATATATTACTTGAACGCACAGTTTTTTAAATTTAAAAAATTTTAAATAATTTTAAAAAATAATCTTTATTTATACAAAATACAGTGTTTTAAATTTACAATTATTTATTATCACATTGAATTCTTCATCATTCTGAAAATATTTTTCATTACGATTTTTTTTCTTGGCATTTTTTTATAATAAGTTTTTAAAAAAAAATTCTACATTTAAATTTCTAAAATAAATTTCATATTTTTTTTGTATCATTTCATTTTGTATAAAACATTTTTTTTCTATTTACAATGAATCATAACTTTAATTGATTTACATTCGGGTGTCATTGCTGTTTTAAAAGCTTTTTCTGTTTCTTCAATTTTAAAATTGTGAGTTATTAATGGCTTTACGTTTACTTTTCCGGATGCCACAAGTTCCAATGAATCTTTATAGCTGAAACATAAATTTTAAATTTTACAAAAAATTCAATTATTAATTTTTTTTTCTAATTAAAAAAAAAATATTACTTAAAAAAATTGTTTGTTTATTTTTATTTTTTTTTTGAAGCATTTTATATAAAGTTTCTTACTCATTGGCATATCTAAAATTGCCTCTAATGTCCACTTCACGAATTAGTGCATCTATAAGTGGAATTTGAATCTCAGGTGCACCCATTCCAACTAAAACTGCTACACCACCAGATTTAGTTGCCTTTATAAATATGGAAATAGAAAAATTATTCAAATTTTATTTTGTCCTCTAAATTATAATTAATTTAATTTATTTTGTTTTCACATTTTATTGAGGTAAATAAGTAATAAATTATTTAATACTTTTAACCCTTTAATGGCCGAGTTTTTTGTCGTTACTTTAGACTTATAATGTATATTAGATTTAATTACTAAAGTATTCAGTATGAGAAAAAAATTTTTTTTAACATGTCTCACCCCTTAAAACCACCCCCACGGTACATTACTACCCCAAAAAACTGATATTTAACCAAATTGATGAATTAAATATTTTTCAGCTCTTATCTACTTTTTATTTATTTATAAACATTGCCTGGTTGCTTAAAAATTGAAAAGGATCAATAACCCCTTGAAAACACCCTTAAAGTCAAATAATCATCCCTTGACGGTGAAAGTTTTTATAAATGATTAAAAAAAATCTATAGATTCTAATTGCTTCTAAATTATAAACAATTATTTCAAAGTTACACAGACATAGATAATAATAATAATAAACTCACCCCCTACCCTTGAAGCCCACCCCTAATTCATAACTATTCTCAGTTTGGAACAATCAAAAAAATAATTTTCACTGATTTTCGAAAATATGAAAAAAAAAATTTTCTATGATAACTAAGTATTAATACTGAATATAAACAACCCCTGAAAAACAACCCTTAAGTCAAATAACCACCCCTTAATGATAAATGTTTTTGTAAATAAATAAAAAAAATTATATGGATTCTAAGTGCTTCTGAATTGTAAAAAAGTATTTCAATGTTTCACAGATATGGATAATAATAATAAACTCACCCCCTACCCTTGAAATCCACCCCTAATTCATAAGTTATAAGATACTGAATTCAGTTTTCAACAATCAAAAAAATAATTTTCACTGATTATTATCATATTGAGTAATGCATTGAGTACATACTCAATGCACTCCCCTCCACGATGGCGTAGAGGGGAGTGCATTGGGTAAATGAAAGGGGGGGTACGACAGTAGCAAAGAAGCTCCCATGTGGAACTGCTGTTATAAGGCAATCAGCGCGTCGTTTCGTTTTCTCTGTGTAGCGTTCTCCCACTACCTCACCGATTGAGCCTGGGTCTGTAATTTTCATTTTCATACTAAACTCCTAACAACAGGCACTAAAACCTACAAAATTAATAGGCAATAATGACACCAGCATTATTTTGCAATTTTAAAAACTGACATCATATTCGTAATTATCGACCCCGAAAACCCCTGAGTAATAAGTTTCAGATGAATCTAATGAAAGTTAATCATTTCGTCCGCCATATTGGATCCGCCATTTTCAATTTTCTAAATCTGATATCGGATTCGTAATCAGCGACCCCGAAAACCCCCCAAGTGACAAGTTTCAAATGAATCTAGTGAATTTTTATATTTATCGGTCGCCATATTGGATCCGCCATTTTGAATTCTTAAAGACGGACATCGGATTCGTAATCAGCGACCCCGAAAACCCCCAAGTAACAATTTTCAAGCGAATTTATTAATTTTTAAAGGTTTTGGTTTTTAGGGGTAGTTTTAGTTATTTTTCTGCACCCTCGGGTTGGATTTTTAATATTAATTTTTTTTTACAAAGGTTGCAATATTTTTAAACATATGTTACTATAAAAGCCTGAAAAAAAAATTTCTTCTGAAATTTATACCTGTTTTTTCATTTTTCTCATTTTTCGGGTTTTTTGAAGGGGTGTATTTCAAAGAGGGTAGTTTTTTAAAAAAATACATGTATTTACATTTGTTACTCTATCCCTCCCCTTCAAAATGAGATCTTAGTGAAGTTAATCGATTAAGTTTTAAGAAAGTTATGATTTTTTGAAGTAGGTGGGACGTATGTGTCCCACTGGCCATGAAAGGGTTAAAACACTGGGAATTATTTTTTCACTTGTTTTTAATATACTATTATTTTTTATATTTTAAAAAATATTTTAATATTTGCTTTTATTGTGTCATTTTAAATATTTATTTCTTTATTTTAATTTATTAATTTCAATTTATAAAAGGGCAATTTTTTTATCCGTATTTGTGAAAATTTTTTTTTTAAATATATTACAAAATCGATAAATTTAAAAATTTTCTTATTCAATTTTCAACATTTTTCAATTCAATAATTAGTTTCCTATTTAAACTTAAAAATTTTTATTGGAGTTTTTAATATTTTCAATTTTTTGTTCTTAATTTTGTATATATAAATGTTTTAATTTTGTTTTTTGTATTTAATGTTCAACTTACTTCAATTATTTTTTATAATTCAATTTTTAGTTTTAAATTAAAAAAATGTGCAATAAAAATTTGTTTTCTTGAAATTTTTATAAAAATTTAAACTATCAGTTATTTATCTGTAAATTTTTAGTTATTAATTTTAAAAAATAAAGCAAACGTTTTATTTTTCGTATTCAAATAAATAAAAAAAAAAAAAAAATAATGGAAGAAAACAAGAAAAAATCTAGAGAAAGGAATTATATCAATTTTTTTTTTTTTTTTAGGATATTATTCACATAATTTACCAAAATTGCCAAACGAACAGAAGATTGAGCGCCTGAAGCATCAATTGTTTTATCGGGTTCACCATCAAATAATTCGTGAATTTTTTTAATATTATCTTTTTCCGATACATCTTTCTTTATCAACATTGTTGCATCCGCTCCTAATTTTTTCGCCATATCCAATCTTTCCTGAACTAAATCTGAAATTATTTCAAAATAATTATATAGATATATATATTATAACTCTAATATCGCTGGATTGATGATTGTTTTTTTTTTTTATTTTATTTTCACATTATTACGCTTCATTAAAATGCGATAGCCGAGTAAATTTCAATTTCTAACAGAAAAAAAAATTATAATTTATCATAAAAAAAAAAAATAATGAAAAAAGTTTAAATTTTACCTTTAATTTTTTATTTTTTCTAAAAAAAAAAATTGTTTTTTTTCGTTTTTCTCAAATTAGAAATTTTAAAATTTCTCAACTTTTGTTTGAGTGTTTAATTGTAGTTATCTTTTTTTCTTGTTATTTTAAATAAATTAAAAAATTGTAGTTTATTTTCGAAAAAGCAACTTTTTATTGTAATTTTGCAAAAAAAAAATGTATTTGAAAATAAATAATAATTTTTTTTTTATTATTACCGGTAATGACAATTTTACTGGCCCCCATGGCCTTGGCAACAAGTAAAGTAACAAGACCAATAGGTCCTGCTCCCAAAATCAAAACTTTTGATCCAATTCCAACATTGGCTCGTTTACAAGCGTGAACACCACATGATAAGGGTTCCAAAAGAGCTCCTTCTTCCAAACTCATGTGATTTGGAAGTCTGTGGAAAAAAAGAATTTCCCTTCTTTTTTTGAAATTTTCAATTAATAATTAATATAAAAATTAAAATTAGCAAAATTAATTTCCCAATCACTTTATCGAAAAAAGAAATTTTTTTTTTATTTTCAAACAAATTTTTTAAATTCATTTCAAAATAATATATAAATTATGAAAATTAATTATTTTTTCTATATTAAAAAGAAAAATTAAAAAAAAAAGAATAAGAAAAATAATTTATACTTGAAACAAAAGTCGGCAGCATGCTTGTAAAATTTTCGAAGATTTCCATGAAAAGGTGGTGTTGCACAAAATATCATATCTTTACATAAATTATATCGTCCTTCTTTACAATACGAGCACATTCTACATGAAACACCTGGTTCAATTGCTACTCGATCTCCAACCTGAAAGAAATTTTTAAATAAACTTTTTTTTAAATTGATTTAATAAATAAATTTACTAAATAAATTTACTAAATAAATTTACTAAATAAATTTATTAAATAAATTTACAGGCCTCGGATCGACTTAAAGGCACAAAAAAAGTCAAAAAAATCGATTTTTGTAATTGAATTTTCAAAGATTTACAATTGAGATTTTTAAAATTAATTGAACTTTAAGTGATTTTTAATTAAAATTTTTTGATGATTTCACTAAAAAATTTATTATAAATTGCGGACAAAAATACAATAATTTGAAAACCATTTTTAATTGAAAAATGGTTTCAGATAGTTGAATTTTCAAAGAATATTATAAAAATAGTTAAAAATAATTTAATTTCCTTAGAGTTATAATTGAAATTGTTAAATATCAAAAAATTTTCGATGGAAAATTTTAGAAATAATTAAATTTTAGAAGCTTTTAAATTCAAATTTTTGAAAATAATTGAATTATAATTAAAATTTTGGATAATAATTCAATTTTAGTTGATTTTTTATTGAAAATTTTGATAATAATTTAATTTTGAATTGAAATTTTTGATAATTATTGAATTTTAATTGATTTTGAATTGAAATTTTTGGTAATAATTGAATTTTATTTGATTTTAAATTGAAAATTTGGAAAATAATTGAATTTTAAAAGATTTTGAATTGAAAATTTTAAAAATAATTAAATTTTCTTTGATTTTGTATTGAAATTTTGGGTAATAATTGAATTTTAGTTGATTTTGAATTGAAATTTTTGAAAATAATTAAATTTTATTTGATTTTGAATTGATTTATGATTTTGAATTAAAAATTTTTGGTAATTTTTTTTTGATATTTTTTTAAAATTATAAACAATTGTTAAATTTTATAAAAATTTTAATTGAAAAATAATTTGAAATAATTGAATTTGTGATGAATTTCATTATAATTATTAAAAATAATTAATTTAGTGAAGAATTTTCGTTAAAAATTTGTTAAATAATTGAAATAAAGAAGATCTCAAGATCATCTGCATTTTATACTAAAAAAAATATATTTTATTAAAAAAATTTTTTTAAAAATGTAAAAAAAAGTCGAAATAATCGCATTTTATTAAAATAAGTCGAAAAAAGTCGTATAATCCGAGGCCTGAATTTAGTAAATAAATTTACACACATATAAAAATTAAGGGAAAAATTAATTTCCTACTTTAAGATTCTTCACATTTTTTCCAAGTTTAACGACTGTACCGGAAGCTTCATGACCAATGATCATTGGCTCTTTAACAATAAAATCGCCAATTCTTCCTTCCACTAAATAATGAACGTCAGATCCACAAATTCCAACGCAACCCATCTCAAGAAGAACCTCTATAAACATATTTTACTCATCTATTTAGAAAAAAATCTACCAAATTTTCGAAATCTTTTTTATAAAAATGTTATTTTTGTTATCTTATTTAAAAAAAAAATAATAATTTAATTAAATATTATAAAAAAAATTTATTATTTAATTTTTAGTTAATTAAGAGAACGTTTAAAAATTTTGTTTAATATAAATTTTGTTTAATATTAAAAAACTAAAACTAATTATAATTTTCTTTTACAGATATACTAATTTTTTTTTTCATAGAAATTTAATTTGATTGTAATTGTTATTTTTAGTTTACAATTATTTTCTTTTTTTTAAATCCTGTATGTATCTTTTAATTTAGCTGATTCCAAGAAAGTCTCAAGAGATAAAATATACTGGTAAACATGAATTTTTCTTTTATTCGCGATGTTTACCAAAAGAACAAAATAGATAACAAACTGCGATACTTCTTCTATCACTACATTCAGATAAAACTATATATAAATTAAAAATTTTATTCAACTCAATTAAATAATTTTCCATTTGCAAAATAAAAAAAATTATATTTTAATAATAAAAATCGTTATGGAAACTTTTATGCTTTTTTTTTGGATTTTTAAAAGAATTTTAAATTTATAAATTTTAAAAAATCGAAAACAAAAACGAAAAAATTTTTTAAGAATATTAAAAAGCTAATAGTAGTTATTTTGATCTCATTTTATAATTATTTTTAAAAACAATAAAAAATTACAAAAAAAATATAATAAGTAATAAATAATAAATAATATAAAATAATTTAAAAAATTGAGATCTATGCTTAAAGTCTATAATAATCTTCAAAATGACAATTAATGTGAATTTTATTAATGGAGTTTTTATTTTTTATTTTGCACTATATTATCTACAGACCTGTAGTGAAGGTCAATAATATTGCATAAGCTTAAACAAATACGTGTAAATTGCAATGCGTTTCACGTTGTCTTACCGCCTTCATTTGGTTCTTCAATTGGTGTTTGTTCCTACAACAAAAACGAAAAATTGTAAATAATATACATACAATTAAAAAAAAAATTATTTCAAATTAAATACCGCGCTCATCTTCTTTTCATGTACAAACTTTTGTCTAGTTTTATTTCTCATTTAAAAAAAAAATTAATTATTTTCTAAAAATATAAATAATTATATAAAAATTGAATAGAAAAAAATCTGCATCAAAATGTTAATACGAAAATTCGTTTTTAATATCAAAACACGCATATGTAATATTGAAAAGAAGAAACATAATTGAATTCATAAATTAATTTTTATTGAAGTTAGTAATTTTTTTAAATCTTATTTTAATAAACAGTTTTTTAAAAAATAAGTTTCAAAAAATTATAAATAATTAAAGTAAAAATATTTTCTATATACAAAGAAAATAATTTTTAAAAAAATTCCGATTTTTGAATTAAAAAAATTTAGTTAAAAATTTTTAATTTTTATTTAAAAAGTAGAAATAATTTAATTGAAAGATTTTAATTTAATAATAATTAGAAATAAATACTAAAATTATCTTAAAACCAAAAAAAAAAAAATTATAAAAATGTATCATGATTAATTGGACCCCGGAAAAGGGTCATTTTGATATTATATATATTTATTCTGAACACGTGTGTCACGATCAATATAATCTCCATATCTAAACCACTATCACTGTCAAGCTCAAGGTTGGAAGAAAAATTTTATAAAAGTTTTTTTTTCACTTATTTTTAATTAAAAAAAATGTTTACTTTTAATAGTCATATATTTTAAAATTTAATTTTTAAAAAATCTATAAATGCATTTTGAAATGAAAAAAAAAAATTTTGTTTAAAAAATCTTCTTTTTCGCTTTTTGAACAAAAATTGTAAAATTTATAAATAAGTACATTTTGTACTGACCAATCGAATGTCATTGATTCCATAAAGAATTGCTGTAAGATTATTTTTTGCCATGATTTCACGGTTTTTTTTTTTTTTTTTTTGAAGTAGAATACTCTTCTGCTATGTATTTTCAACAACACTGAGAACTAAACTGAACTTCATTTTCTTGGCACAAGCAATATATATTTAAACGAGTGCGCGAGCACAATCTCTATATCAAACACTTTTTAACTTTTCTTTGCCTCCAGAAATAGAGCAATTTCATCAAAAAAAAAGAATTAAATAATTCATTTTAATTTTTTCATTATAATTTCAGTATAAAATAGTTTTTAAATTTGTTTATAAAAAAAAAATTAAAACAAAAATATCATTTTCAAAAAAATAACGATAATTTTCAATGGAAAAAATTAAATCAATTATTTTTCAAACGAAAAACTAAATCAATTTTTTCAAATTACAATATTATCTAGAAAAATAATTTATACAATCTATACAAGAATTTTTTTAAAATCAAAACTCAATTTAATGAAAAAAAAAAGAATTTATAGACCGAATCCATGTGAAATCATGCAGGCAGTCCGATGATATATTGCGAATTAATTTCAGAATGAAGTACGTTATTCTACTTGAAAAATAAAGAACTACATGTTTTTTATATTTTGATTCGATTTTGTGTGTAGTTTTTACGACTTTTTAAAGAATTTTTCAAGAAAATTAATTCTTTGCATTTTTCGCTTAAAAAAAGCATAACTTTCGTAATCTTTAACCTTTTTTGTTGTTCCTGGGCTTATTTTTTTCATTTTTTTTACTCTTTTAAAAAAAATTGCTCCGAATGAAAAATATTAAAGAACAAGGATAAAAATGGAATTTTTCGAAAAAACAAAAAAAAAATTTTTCTCAAAAATGCCACCTTTTTTTCGCCCCAAATTTTCAGGATTTATTGGTACACATATATACTACATACCATAAAAATTTCACTTGGTATTTTTTTGTTTCTTAGGAGAAAAAAAATATTTTCATTTTTTTGATTAAAAACTCTAAAAATCATCAAATTTAAAAGGTTTCTAACTGCTCCTTGATTCATTTTTTTACTTTTTAACATTATTTTCGAAAATTGCGCAAAAAATAAAGAATGTTAATAATTTGCAAGAAAAATAACTTTGTTTTAGAAAAAAACGAAAGAAAAGATTTCAAAAAATTTTTTTTTTCAAAATTTTTTTTTAGATTTTTTATGTATTGATCAATTCTAAAAGCAATATTTAGAAACAAAACAATCCAATCAATCGATCGAATTATTTTCGAAAATTGCGTAAAAAATAAAGAATGTTAATAATTTTTAAAAATATCTAATTTTTTTAGAGAAAAAAAAACTAAACAAATAGGTTTCAAAAATATTTTTTTTATACGTACATTTTTTGTTTGTTATTTTTTCGGGTTCTATAAAACTACTTTTTATATTTTCTTTTAAAACGATTTGACAAACAAAAAATGTACGTATAAAAAAAATATTTTTGAAACCTATTTGTTTAGTTTTTTTTTCTCTAAAAAAATTAGATATTTTTAAAAATTATTAACATTCTTTATTTTTTACGCAATTTTCGAAAATAATTCGATCGATTGATTGGATTGTTGAAATTGTTTTGTTTCTAAATATTGCTTTTAGAATTGATCAATACATAAAAAATCTAAAAAAAAATTTTGAAAAAAAAAATTTTTTGAAATCTTTTCTTTCGTTTTTTTCTAAAACAAAGTTATTTTTCTTGCAAATTATTAACATTCTTTATTTTTTGCGCAATTTTCGAAAATAATGTTAAAAAGTAAAAAAATGAATCAAGGAGCAGTTAGAAACCTTTTAAATTTGATGATTTTTAGAGTTTTTAATCAAAAAAATGAAAATATTTTTTTTCTCCTAAGAAACAAAAAAATACCAAGTGAAATTTTTATGGTATGTAGTATATATGTGTACCAATAAATCCTGAAAATTTGGGGCGAAAAAAAGGTGGCATTTTTGAGAAAAAATTTTTTTTTGTTTTTTCGAAAAATTCCATTTTTATCCTTGTTCTTTAATATTTTTCATTCGGAGCAATTTTTTTTAAAAGAGTAAAAAAAATGAAAAAAATAAGCCCAGGAACAACAAAAAAGGTTAAAGATTACGAAAGTTATGCTTTTTTTAAGCGAAAAATGCAAAGAATTAATTTTCTTGAAAAATTCTTTAAAAAGTCGTAAAAACTACACACAAAATCGAATCAAAATATAAAAAACATGTAGTTCTTTATTTTTCAAGTAGAATAACGTACTTCATTCTGAAATTAATTCGCAATATATCATCGGACTGCCTGCATGATTTCACATGGATTCGGTCTATAATTAATTAAATACAAAACTAATTTCGAATTTCCGCGGTATAAATTCAGAATTTTTTAAAATCAAATTTCTATTTTGTTTTATTTTTATTATTCAAAATATTTAATAGAATTTATGTTGAACATAATTTTTATACGCAAGAAATGTTGTATAAATTAATTTCCATGTAACAGAATTTGCATTTAAATTAACGGTAAAAACAAGTTTTATTTAAATGACAACTGTAGCTATCGTTCAATATATTTCTTTCTCGAAGTATTTTTAAATAGTTGATTATTAATTATTATTTTATTTAAATTAATATATTAATATTAAATATAATATATATATATATATATACATTTTAATTTTTACTCGCACATTAAATATTTTTAAGATAACCATGTTTCACAATACGTCAATATAATTATTTAATTACTTATTAATAATTAATAATTTATTTTAATTATTAATTCAAATTTAGTTAGTTAAATTTAAAAAAGTACTTCCTCCATGAGAAAGCTAAATTATTGCTATTTTTATTTGCTAATTTTGTTTTTAAATTTTAAACAATTATTGAATTTCCTAAATTTTTAAATTGAAAAATAGTTTAAGATAATCGAATTTGTAAAGAATTTCATTAAAATTATTAAAAATAATTAATTTAGTTAAGAATTTTAGTTAAAAAATTTGTTAAATAATTGAAATAAAGAAGAACTAAATACATATTAATTAACTAGAGGAAAAATTTAAAATCATTTCATAAGATTTATCAAAATTTTCTAAATCAGTGATCTTAAACTATTTTTTCTTTCTTTTTTTTTATGTAAATAATTATACAAGATTTAAAATAAATAATAAAAATTTAATATTTATTAAAATCTTGAAATCTTAATTTACAAATTTAATTTAACTTAAATTAACTTTACAATCCGTTTCCAATTCATTTTGCCCATTCTGACTTCGCATCCATTAACCATCACTTTTATTACATTACACAAATCATTCTTTCTTTCCTTATTATTTCTAAATCATTCATCCACATCTTGCCCTAAATATTCTCATTCAAAATCCACCTAATTCTCCTTTTTCCTCATCCATTCCCCCTTTTATCTCTCCAAAACATTTGCTACTCATTTGTTTCACTTTTCTTACTCATTTCAATCAGTTTTTCAAAATATTATCAATAAATCAATTCTAGGAAATAGAAATTACTACCAATTTATTTTACATTTCCACTCCTTTTAATACTTAATTTTTGTCAATAATTCAGAAAAATAGATTTTTGTTTTCTCACTTCATCAGGGAATTGATTCATTCTTAAAAGTCACCCATTCAAAAGAATTAAAATTTTCAATTCTTTTCAATTCCTCGCTTTTAATTTGATCATCATCATCTGAATAAGAATCACATGTGTCTGAATCTTTTTTTCGTTTAAAATTAGGTTTTATATCCACTTCCTCTTCATTATTTCTTTTTTCTTGTACCTTATTAATGAACATTGTATCAATACCAGTGATAGTTAAACTTTTATTAGCATCTTGTTTCACAGAATGTACACTAAAATGCTTATAAAAATTTGATGTATTCCATCTAGTTCCATTTCTTGAGATTTTTGTTAATTTTTCACACTTTGGAAATGGACATTGTAAAATAGCCACATGAGAACCAAGACCATCTTCTATAACAGTGGCTGAAATTTGAGGTAATACTTGATCTGGAAAATTTTCTTGAATGTATTTATTTACATTCCTCTCTAATACAGTATTTAAATTAATTATATTATTTTCTGTTGTTGTAGATGAACCCGAGGCACTAACAGAAACAAGATTTTTAGCTTTTTTATTTTTTATAGCAATTTTCTTCACAACATTAATTATTTCCAATATTGATTGTTCAAGACCACCGACAAATATAAATTTTTCCGGATGATTTTTAAAAATTCCATAATATTTTTCACGTTCATCTTCTTTGATTATTTCATGTAATGTGGTTTGCATGAATTTTTCAATTTTCTTCTGATCAGATTGAGTAAATCGTTCAAGAGCAAAAAAACTATCATACTTTGTTGCTTTTAAAATAAGTTTTAAATCTTGAGGAACAAAAATAGCTTCCTCCTCCAAAATATTCCATATATTATCCATTGCCTGTAGATAATAAAATTTATAAAAATTAAAGAAATTTTAATTTAATAATAAATGCTAATATCATGGTTTGCATTTGTCAAGTCAGAGTTAAACAGTCATTTTGGTGTTAAATTAAATAAAAACAACCTTAACGTTCGAAAAACATTGAGTTTGAATTTAAAATTTAAATTAAATTTACTATAAAATTTATTAAATAGAATAAATTATTAATTTTAAAAATTTTAATAATCAAATATTTATAATTAAAATTATAAATAATTAAATAAATAGTAACAATAATTAATAAAACATATTAAAATAAAATCAATAAGAAGTAAAATAAAATATGTGTGCTGTTTGCAACGTAAATTTTGAAACTGCGAACTCCAAAACACTATCGACTTCTTACAATAAATTTGCAAATCCAACAAAACAAAAACAATTATACGAGAAATAGAGAATAACGATAATGAGCAATTTATCATTTCAAATTGTTAGAAATAAAATTTTAAATTTCATACGACTTATCAAAAATTTTCAAAATCTGTCATTTTATTTAAACTATAATATCCTTCTTTTTTAATAAAAAAAAAAACAAAAAAAATTCATCAAATAATCGTTTATTTAGATTTGGCTCAACATGCAAAATCTCAAATTTATGCCACTTTATAAAATGTGAAAAGAAGACATTTTTGCAACTCGTCAAATGATCACTATAATAACATTATGATATTTTTTATTTAATTTAATATTATTCATATATTCTAATCTACGAATATTTTAAAGGTCTTTTAGTTTGACCCACATATGTTTTACTACAACTACACTCAAATTTATAAACACAATCACACTGATTTAGTCCCTCAAGTTTATCTTTACCAAGTTTAATAAAATAATCAAGTTTTGAGTTTACATTAAAAATAGTTTTAATATTGAATTTCTTAAGTAATCTTTTTATGTTTTCTAATATTTCACCATAATACGGAAATACTACATTTTTTTTCTTTATTGTTATTGTCATCATTATTATTATTATTATTATTGCCATTATTATTTTTTCTTTGATGAGTTTTTTTTCTTAATTTCTAAAATTCTTTTAGTGACGTGTTTTTTTTTTTGATAAATTCATCTGGATAATTGTTTAATCTTAAATTTTTTTTTGACCAAATCAATGTTCTTTTTGTGAAAACATTCATCAGAAAGAATAATTGCAGTATCAGGAAGATACTGTTATTGTTTTTATTTAATTTGACACCAAAATGACTGTTGACAAATGCGTATATACATATACAAAAATACGTAATAAGAGGTTAGTTTTTTGAAAATTAACATTTATTTCAATGAAAAATATTATATATTACAAAAATTTATTTAAAGGCAATGTATATTTATAGCAATAATTTATATTTTGTATGAAGATTCTGTTTTTATTAATTAATAATATTTTATATTGATGTCAATATCATCATAAAACAAAACCTCTTTGTAAATTAACCTACAAAAAATAAAGATATACTAAAAAAATGTTGATCTAATAAAGTTAAATTCAAATTAACAAGTTAGCATTATTAATTATAATTACCGTATGTAATAAAGAAATAATTGTTCATAAAATTGTTTACCACTATTATAGAAGCACGTATGATTGAAAACTGTAGCGAAATTACTACAGCATCAACCCTACATGATTCCCGCGCTTTTTTGAAATGGTTTTCGATTTTTAGCTTTTGTTTTGATTATATAAAATTTTTTTTCGACTTATTATACTAATAATTGCATTATTACACGGTATTACGAGGTAATACTCATTACTACAAATTAATTACGAATTGAAAAACAATATTTCGGATATTGCATATTAGTTATTACAAGAATTTACTCTTTGACTACACGAGGTAAATTACCCCTATAGTCAATAAAATTATTGAATATAATCAAAAAAATATTTAAACTTTTTTTAAATTGACTAAATTAAAGTAATTCTAATTAATTAAAGAAAAAAATTTCAAAGTAAACTAAAAATTTAAATATTCTATAGGTAAATAATATTCCACTAAGAATTTTTTAATTTTATTTTTTAATTAAAATTTTTTATATATAAATTTCTATATATGAATTTGTAATTTATTTAAATTTTTAACAATTTATTTGTTAATTTTTTTTTATTTAAATATAGGGCATTTCATTTGAAAATTACACCCCTAGTAAACAATTGACAATATAAGACAATTTTTAAATAATTATTTCTTCTATTTAATTAAATCAAATTACTTTTGCACTGAGTTGTTTCGAAAGAGAAATTTCTCTGGAAATAAAAAATAGAATTCCATTGTTGCAACTAAACACACTCGGAAAGCTTAATGTACTCTGCCTCTTCTTCCATTTCTTTCTACTTACCACGGTGGTGTGTATTTAATTATTAAAAAATATTTATTTTCAAAAAAAACGTTCTTTTATTAATAATAATTAATAATAACATATTCCCCGTAATCTAAAATAAAGAAAAAACAAAACGAAATAAAAAAAAAAAAATAGAAGAAATAACTTATTCCCAGCCCCAAATTCCTGTGGACTGTTTGATAGTGTCTCTGCTTTCTCGTCGACTTCTCGATGTTGCACTCGCTTCACCTTTCACCAATACTCTTCGACAAGAACCTTTTTTACTTTTTCTCTCTAAAGCAGCTTTTGTTCTTCTTTTAATTACACTTGGATCAATTGTCGATGTTGATGTGTAACTTCTTACACTTTTATTTTCACTGAAATCACCATCCTCATCAGGATGAATCATTTTATTTCCTGACACCAATTCAGGAACATCGTCCGTCTCATCGGAACTAGAATTATTTTCGATATCATCATTCTTTTTCGATTCAATTGAAAGTTCAGAAAATTGCTTCTCGCTAGTTTCAAAACAATTTGCTTTTAAAGTGGAATCGGTTTTATTTTGAGAATTAGTGGCAAAACCTGCTTCACATAATTTATCGACTTCCAATCTCAGTTGATCGATATCATCAGTATCTTGGTTTGATACTGCGTCTTCGAATTTTTCATCTTTATCATCATCATCATCGTTTTTATTTTCCTCTTCATTATCATCATTATCATCATCACTGTTAACGGACTTTTCATTATCCATTCCCATTTCAACAAGCAAATCCTTCTCCATTTGCCTCGTAAGGCCACTTGCTTTTATTTCCACGTCCATGCAATCTTCTCGACTGTAAAATAAGTTTTTTAAAAATTTTTCAACGTTACAGTTGGTTAAAACTTTAAATTAACTTTAATTAATTAAACATTTTTTTCAACATGTAGATGTAATTCGTAAAACACTTACGTGAGATCATTAAAAGTGGGAAACATTTCGCTTTCGTAGCCAAATCGTCTTTTGAAAAAATCTCTTATACAATTTACATCACGATCAAAATAGAGTTCGGCATTAATATGCTCGGTGGACACCATTTGAGGAAAATCAATAACAATCGGTTTTCCATCATTTGTAATCATAATGTTAAACTCATTAAAATCTCCATGTATCACACCATAATTTCCTAATCTCACAATTAAGTTCATTAAATCATCGTATAAAGCTTCAACATCTTCTACTTCATGTACATTACATCTGCAATGAATTAATAAATAAAAAAATATTTTCCCAAAGTTCATTAATCAATTTGTTATATAAAAACAATAAATTGAATTAATTGATAAATTATTATATATATATATATAATTTCAAAAAAAAAATTACTCACAATGGTCCACCATCGACTAATTCCATAATAACGCAATGCCTATTAAAATCAATTGGTTTAGCAACGGGAAAATCTCTATCCTCCAGTGCTTTCATATAAGCAAATTCTCGAGTTGCCGATATTCGTGAAAGATAAAGCCACGACGACGATCGTCTATGTTGAAAATAATCACGTTTACCTTTAATATTTCTGAAACACGTTCTACCAAGACGATGTAATTTTAAAACCAATGGATTCCCATCGTCATCGGCAACAACGTAAATATTCGATTCCTTTCCAACACCAATTTGACTGCCAAATGATGCAACAACACCACGCGCAGTAAGAACTTTTAATGCCAAATAATCATAACCAGCGTTTGTCAAACGATATCCATCATCTGTGAAAAAAAAAATCTCTCTCTCAATGTGATTAAAAAAAAAAAACATTACAGCAGAAAATAAACAATTATTTGTGATTAGAATATAATAAATTATTCAATAAATATTTTAATTTTATATTTGCTTTTTTACAACTGTTTTTTATTATAATAATTATAAAAAGTCCTAATAAGGGTAATTGAATAATTTATTTATTCATTTATTGAAAGTATACGGGTAGAACCTATTCGTACAAAGTACTATACATAAGAAATTGTATGAATTAAAACGAAGAAAAATTCAGAATAGGGTCAGTTGGGGTAAATGGGGACAAGAGGTTTTGGAGCTTAATTTACAGTTTTAAAATTAAGTTCAACGTCAATATTTTAACATCAGATCACCTGCAAGAGGTTTTGAGTATTGCCAAGCTTTTATCTTGACAATTGGCTGCAAGATAAAAATAGTTATCGCTCAATGCATAAAAACTTGAAAATCAAAGTCAAACTGTTTCAGTATTTTGTCTCGCATTTGAAAAAAAACAAACTTAAAAATCATACCAAATTTTTTTCTTATTCCTTATGACTCCTATAACAGAAATTCACTTGAATTTTTGATTTTTGTCAATTTGGTTAATAATGACAAGCTGTCTCCATTTACCCTGAGTTTTCAAATATTTGGGGTAAATGGGGACAGCTTGTCATTATTAACCAAATTAACAAAAATCAAAAATTCAAGTGAATTTCTGTTATGGGAGACATAAGGAATAAGAAAAAAATTTGGTATGATTTTTAAGTTTGTTTTTTTCAAATGCGAGACAAAATACTGAAATAAAAAAAAATAAAAAAATTTCAATTGGTTTAACTATTATATATCTATTACAAATTTCTTTCAAGTTTTTTCATCCCTTAATACAGTAATATACTTAAGGAAACTTTTTTTTTAAAACTTTCTTAGAAACTATACTGTCCCCATTTACCCCAAATTTTATGAAATTTTCTAAATTTTGTGGTAAATGAGAACAGTCAATTTCATTCGTTTAAAGCTTATCTAAATTTTTTTCTGCTGCATAAAAAAATAAATCCGCAAATATTACCTTTTAAAGGAAGAAACTTACGTAATTTGTGAAAAATAGCGATTTTGTCCCCATTTACCCCAACTGACCCTAATTCAATTAATTTTTTTTAATTTAAGAAGTAATTTGAAAATTCTATTAGTATTTTTATTATTTTAATTCACAATTGTGAATTTAATTTTATTTTGTGACAAATTACAAATTAGGGAATGGGTTGTTTATTTAATTTTTTTTTTAATAAATCAAATAAATTATTTAACACTTACAGTGTTTTCCTCGCTCGTAACTCAATAAACGATGTTTGCAAAGTTCCTGCAAAAGTTTGTGTACACCGCCATGGCGTAAGTTTGCAATTTGTGCAGCAAGAGAAGCTGGCACTAATTCGTGATTCTTCATTCCCATTTCAATCTACATTAAATCATTAAAAATTCATTGTAGTTATACTTATAATATACTTATTATAGTAAATATTACTTAATGCAATTTTTTTTTAAATTTCTTTTAAAAAATTAGTTAATTTTGTTATTTTTATAAAGTTGTTTTTAAATTAAAAATATTCTTAATTAATGAAATAACAAATATGGTAATGATAGGTATAATTAATTTATATAAACAAATTCATCACATTTTTTCTTATCTTTTTCTAATTTTGGTTATTTTATTTCTATTTAAAAAAAATAGTAAATTTTATTACTATTATAATGATTTTTTAAATTTAAAATATTCTCAATTAATGAACTAACAATATATAGTAATAAAATAAATAATTTATAGACAAACTAATTATAATTTTTCTTATCTTATTGCAATTTTGGTTATTTTACTGCAATTTTTTTTATTTGCATTAACAAAATTAGTTAATATTCTTATTTTTATGATTTTTTAAAGTTCACAAGCAATAATTTTTGTATTAAAATAACAATAAAAAAGATTAGCTTAATGTTGAAATTTTAAAGAAAAGATAAATTGTTCCTTACAAGTTTAATACAATATTATTTATTTATTGAAATCAAGCTCCTAGTTATTAATAAAGCCTCAATTGAAATAGGGAAAAAAAAGAAATAGAAATTATAGCAAAAACAATTCAATTTAACAAACTTTACCAATATGTAATATTGAAAAACCCATCATTGGTTTCAAGTAGAAAATCAAAAAATAATCTTTTAAATGTATATTGGGATGAAGATTCTCTAACATTGTTTGGTAATTTATTCCACATTCTCGCAGTTAATAATATTATTATTCAATTATTTATACAATTGTTTAAATTGTTAAAAAGTTTTAAATAACCTCAAAATTGGCATATGCGCGCATGTATATATTCTATCGTTTCTAATTAAATACAAATATTTTAATATTTACATAAAGAAATATTCAATTTTTTTTCATAATTAAATGATTTAAATATAAACTTACCGCTGTTAATACTCGAAAGTCATCTTTATTTAAATACCTTAACATCGTGACATTTAACTTCCCCATGTTTACAACAATTAAATTTTCACTTGATTTCGTTTAAATCAATATTACGTACAAGATAAATATCACTTATTTTCAATAACTATAATTCTGTGCATTCACAATAAAAATTTATTATATATTTTCGAAAGAAATATAAAAATTTTACACAAGCTCTTTAAATCGTGTATACTAACACAATTTTGACAACAACCACGTGAAAAAATGTGAGGTTATGTCATCGTGATGTAAATGTATTAAGTCATATTCACAATGTTTTCTTTAAAATACGCGCATGCGCTTTATATGAAATACTCCATGTGGCGCGAATAAATCAAGGGAAATCCCCGAATATTTTAATTGAAACAAATTTAAAATTGAAAAATGAATGAAAAAAAAACTAATAGCAAAAAAAAAAATTAAAAAAAAAAAAAACAAAAATTATAGTTTATTATAGGAAAACAAGAAATGGCTAAAAAATGAAAAAAAACTAATAATAAAAACCAAATGATAAAAAATTGAATGTGTATTAAGAAAATTTATTAAACACCCAGAGAAAAGATTTCTTTGATTTAAAGAAACCAGTTTCTTTGATTTAAAGAAACCAGTTTCTTTGATTCAAAATAAAATTTTCTTTGAATGAAAGAAATTTAAGCATTGAATCGAAGAAATTCTAACATTGATATAGGGTCAAAGAAACATTTATTTGAATTAAATAACAAATTTCTTTACAACGAAGATAATTTTTTTTTAATCAAACATAATTTGTTTGAAACAAATAAATTTTCTTTGAATCAAAGAAAAATTTGTCAAAAAAATGTTTTTTCTCAGTGAAGAAAAACAATAATTAAGTAGAAAGAACTATATAGCTTCTAAATTGTTACTCGAAAGTTTTCGGGGTTCGTTGATTACGAATCCGATATCAAATTTTCAAAATTCAAAATGGCGTTTCCAATTTGGCAGAAGGGTTATTTTTAAAATTATTGGATTCTCTTGAATTTCGTTAATTGGGATCGCCATTTTGAATTTCGGAAAACTAACTTCAGATTCGTAATGCAGCGGCCCCCGAAACCCCCCCCCCCCCCACAAGTAACGATTTTTAAGCCAATTGCTTCACAATTAAAAATAATTTTGTTATTTATTTTTGAGCGATTGTTTAACTATTGTTGTCAGAAATTTAATTAAAAAACAATTTTAATAAATATTACAGAAACATTCATAAAAATTACATTACGTAACTTAAGGAAATTTTCATTTTACTTGTTTAATTAATTTTTTTTAAACTTCATTGACAAAATTATAAATTTTTGAAAAATTAAAAGCAAAATATAAAAAATTCAGGGACAAAAATTAAAATTCCAGGAAATTCCAGGACTAGCAGACACCCTGTTAGTTTCAATTACTTGAATGAAAATTTCAAGGTGGCGGAAAACAGTTCTTATAGGCCCTCCTCCTTTTCAAAATTCAAAATGAAATAATAAGGAAAATGGTTTTTATTTGGCATTATACAATATACAGTATGTATAGCATATGAATACTTTTATAACTTTTACAGTTATACTTTTATAAAAAAAAACATAAATTTTTATCTTTTCGTTGCATAATGTTGCACAAAATAATTTTTTATATAATATATAATATATAACTCTTTATCTCTTTTTAGAGTAAAATATATTATAACATAATATTTAGTATATAATGTTAAACTTAATTTTAGTTTGTTAAACTCGTAATCAAAATACATTTTTTATAAAAATTATATAAAAAAACTTGAAAAAAAACAATTACAATGAAGTATGTAAATAAATTTACGAAAGTTTCAATTGACGAAAACCCAATTTGGCCTTTTCCATTTGTTGTTGATAATAATCTGTACAGATTTGTTTTATTTTCATACAAGTTTCTTTTGTCTCACTATCTAAATTGAGATTAGATAAAGCTTTCGGCAAAAAATCAGTTTTAAGATATCTATAAACTTCAATTTGACCGCTGAGAAGAAAACAAGCGTGCCGCTGTAGGAAGAAAAAATTAATTTACTTGTGTATATCAAATTTTATAAATTCAGTTGCAAGAAGTTTTCTTTATTAAATTAAATTCTTGTAATTGAAATAAAAAAAATTTTAATCGTACCTTAAATTCTGCACTATTGGGAGACTTTTCAAGTGCTTCCAAATAATATTTTGCAGCATTTGGAATATCATGATTACACAAATAATAAGAAGCAGCCAATTGTAGAGTGAGATCCAATGTTCTACTTTCATAATTTTCATAAGTTATCAACATTTTTTTTATATCATTCACGAAATCATCAGTTTCTTCAAGTTTGGCTTTACATTTTAAATAAGAACATTCAGCCGCATAATTGTGACCAGTTGAAGCTTTTTTAAAATAGACAGCAGCTTTCTTTAAAAATAAGAATTTTTTTTTAGTTTTTTATTAAAATTAATATAAATTTTTTTTTTTAAATTACAAATTATTAAATTAAAAATGAAATTTTATTTTTAAGAGAATAATTCTTACTTGATATTCTTTTAATTTTTCCAAAAAAATTCCCTTGTAATGTAGAAACATTGAATCATCAGGCACTTTTTTTTCTGCAAAATCCAAACATTCTTTGGCTGATTGAAGATTCCGTGTTCTTATAAAACCAAGTGCCAATCGCAAATTAATATTTGCACTTTCAGGTTTGGTTTCATAAATTTCTATATATATTTTTACTGCTTCAGGTTTTCTACCTGCTTCCTTATACATTTGCCCTAAATAAATTCCATAAGTTGGATCTTTTGATAATTCATATGCTTTTTTTAATTCAAATATTTCTTTTTCAGTGGGTTCAGAAAAAAAATATTTATTACGTCTTTGACGTCGTAAATTTTTTCCTGACATAAAATGCCAAACATCACAATTTGAATTATCTTTAATTGCCAAATCAATAAAATCTAATGCTTTATTAGTTCCCATATCGCCTGCGTCTTTAAATTTTGACCATGCAACACCTTTGCAACCATTCAATGTACTTCTGTCGATTTCATTTTTATCATAATCAACATTTTTATTGAGGGTTTTTAAAATTTTGTCAATTTCATTAAACTCCTCCTCTTCCATTAACAAAAAACATTTTGTACCCTTGTAAATGTTCTCCAATACTTCAATAGAAACATTTTTCTTGTGTCTATAAAAAGAAATATATTATATGAAAAAAAACAGACAAATAATGATAAATCTCAAAACCTTCATTTTCTCTGCATTCACGCAAACATAAATTATTCTCCTTCACATAACACTAAAATTCTTTAATCAGTTTCTGAAACGCATGAACATTCACGTACTAAAAGATTATTTCCGTCTCAAAATTATCAAACTTCTATTTATAGCACAGTCATTCCATTGTATTTTTTTCAACTAAAGTCATTGCTAAATAATTTTAATAAAAAAATTATATTTTACAGAAATGATTTTAAAAGTATCAAATTTTTTTAAAATTAAATTTAAATAGAAATTCGTCAATTTGGAATAAAGTAAATTTTAAATTCTCAATTTTAGATAGAAAATAAATTTTAAACTAATACGAAATGAAAATTAAAAATAATTAAAATTATATTGATTACTTTTTTACTTAAAAAATTGATTTTCTAAAACAATGTAGAAAAATAGAATTTTAATATTGAAAATTATTTCCAATGAAATTAATGATAATAATTTTTTAATACTTTTCTTTAACGGAATCCCAAATTTCTTCAGCAAATTTAAGAGATTCTTTTGCATCTTTTAATGTTTTTTTTTGTACAAATTCATAAACTTCCACCAAAAAACGAATCCATTTTAACAATGGAACAAAATCTTCGTCATCATGAGTTCTTGCTTCATCGTGACTAATTATGACATTTTTAATTTCATCCAATTCCCATGTTGTAAAAGGGGACTCAATTTTTTTTAGTTCCTCCATTAGTTTTTGTTTCATTTTTTTTTATCTATTTAAATGTAAAAAGAAAAATTATTCATGTATGGTAACGGGTGAGCGATACCTTTTATTAACAACGAAATAAATATAAAAATAACGATATTAAAATATATTTCAATGGTAAAAAGGGTAGGCCTTCGATCGACTTTAAGGCACAAAAAAAGTCGTTTTAGTCGATTTTTTTATTTTAACAAAATTTAATTGGTTAATAAATATTTTTACTCTAAATAACTAATGTTATTAGATATTAAATTCATTTTATTAATTCTGTAATGGGAATAATTCTATAATGAATATTATCAAGAAAATTTATTTCGAATATTTCAGAATCGAACTAATTGTAAGACAAAGTTTCAAAATTTTTTTTAAGTAGGACAAATTTCTAAAAAAAAATCCTAAAAGTTACATTTTTATAATTTTTTCAAGTCTGATTTAAACAATTTATTCGTATTAAAAATTTTGTCATAGTTTTTAGTTTTGATGGTCAAAAAAATTTCAGGCAATACTTAATCAAGTTTTACAGATTTCTAAATAAATTTTTTTTTTTTTTTAATAATAATTTTGAAAGAGTTAAAGTTGAAATAATTTAGAAATAATTGAATTTCAAAAGATTTTGTTAATTTTCAGACAATAATTAAATTTTAAAGTACTAAAAATAATTTATCAAATAATTTTAGATTACATTTTTTAAATTGTAATTGAATTTTCAAAGATTTACAATTTAGATTTTAGAAAATTAATTGAACTTCAAGTGATTTTGAATTTAAAATTTTTGATGATTTTCGTTAATAAAAAATGTATTTGAAATTGCAGATAACAATACAATAATTTGAAAACTTTTTTTAGCGAAAAATTATTTCAGAAATTGAATTTTCGAAGAATATTATAAAAATTATTAAAATTTTTTGAATGTTAGGGATAGTTATAATTGAAATAATTAAATTTTAAAAAAATTTAGATGGATAATTTTAGAAATAATTAAATTTTAGAAGCTTTTAAATTGAAATTTTTGAAAAAAATTGAATTTTAAAAGATTGTGTTAAATTTCAGACAATAATTATAATAAGAGAAATTTTTTAGTGATTTCTGTTGATGAAGAATTTATTAGAAATCACATAAAAAAATTGAATTCCAAAAGTTTTTAATTGAAAAATACTTTCAGATAATTGAATTTTCGAAGAATATTATAATAATCATTAAAGATAATTGAAATTTTTGTAAAAAATTAAATTTTAAGTTGTTTTTGAATTAAAAATTTTTGGTAATTTTATTTGCTAATTTTTTTAAAATGGGGTCGTGCACATAATACGTCAGGCGAACAGGGGGAGGTGGGGGTCTAGAGATTTGTGACGACCCATATAGAAAAAATGGCGTTAATGTATGGAACCAAGTGTGAAATGGGGGGAGGGGGGGTCAAAAAAGGGGTAAAAATTGCGTGACGTATTATGTGCACGCCCCAAAAATTACAAACAATTATTAAATTTCATAAAAATTTTAATTGAAAAATAGTTTAAGATAATTGAATTTGTAAAGAATTTGATTAAAATTGAGTGTCCCGATCAAATATCTCGACCGACGCTCGGACGAACGCTCTATTACCAGTCAAATAGCAGTGACAGCCTGTGGGCGGCTCACTGCTACCCGACTACCATTAGAGCGTGGGTCCGAGCGTCGGTCGAGATATTTGATCAGGACACTCAATTATAAAAAATAATTAATTTAGTGAAGAAATTAATTAAGTTTTTTTTTAATAATTGAAATAAAGAAGATCTGAAGAAGATTTGCTTCTTATACTAAAAAAAACGTATTTTGTTTAAAAATTAAAAAAAAAAAAAAAGTCGCATTTTATTAAAATAAGTCGAAAAAAGTCGTATAATCTGAGGCCTGAAAATATTAATGTTGTTAAAATGGAAAAAATAAGAATTTTGAAATGGTTTGTTAATTATGATAAAAGTAAATTTATTGTAAAATACTCACTGTTATTGATAATTAACACGTTAATTATTTTCTTAGAAAATTATAAATTGCAAAAAATATTCGCAATACAGAAGATACACAGAACGTAGAAGACTGAGAACTGAGTCCCTGACCGCGGCAGCCGGTTCAACCTAGCAGAGTTGGGAAATATAAAAAAAAACTATAACATTAAGGGCGTTTTTGTTATACGAGCTGAATTGCATATTTAGCGCGCAAGCGTCAATTTCGCACTTTGATTCGCGGATTCAACCTTACAGTTAAATTCTTTAAGAAGAAAGCGGGAAGTTTAAATAAAAACAATTGAATTACCGTTTGAAACGGAGGAAAAACCTAACGAGAATAAAAGACCAATTAATGATTAATTGATATTAACTAATTATTGATCAATTAATCTCGAGAGGAAACCTTTACTAAATTTATTAAAAGTCTAAAGGTGCTTATATACCTCAAATTTTGATCAGATGAACATTATTTCTGGACCGTGAAAATGCGTGAAAAGTCATTTTCACGGCGGGTATTTTTGAATTGTTTTAAACAAAAAATGTTTTTTTAAGAAATATAATATTAAATAATTGTTTTAATATGTAAGAACACTTTAAAATAGTGATAGAGAGATGATTTGATTAAAAAATTTAGCAAATTTCGCTTTAAAACGTTTTCTGCTACAAGAAAGTGTAAAATGACGATGTTTGTGAAATGGTTTGTACAGTGTACATGTGTACATGTTTCTTTCAGTTATTCGAAACAATTAGTAGAATTTAAATTTATTTGATAAACATTTCAACTTACCGATTTATTTTCAGCACTCATTATTTATTACAAGTTAAAAAGAAACGACATAACATAAACAAAACTCTGAGAGACACTCACAAGGAAGAAGCACTGTACAAACCATTTCACAAACATCGTCATTTTACACTTTCTTGTAGCAGAAAACGTTTTAAAGCAAAATTTGCTAAATTTTTTAATCAAATCATCTCTCTATCACTATTTTAAAGTGTTCTTACATATTAAAACAATTATTTAATATTATATTTCTTAAAAAAACATTTTTTGTTTAAAACAATTCAAAAATACCCGCTGTGAAAATGACTTTTCACGCATTTTCACGGTCCAGAAATAATGTTCATCTGATCAAAATTTGAGGTATATAAGCACCTTTAGAAAAATACATAAACGTCCGATAGGAGTAAGCTTAAGTATAAGCAACCTATTCGGAACGGAATCTGGATTAGAACTAACTCTAGTTGAGTGGAGATCTACGTCTCTACTCTAAGTTCATAAAAGTCTGCGCATGTCTCACTATAGTCTGCTGTATCTATGAGACTATGCACTACACTGCACTTCACTAGGTATGTTTACATACCATATTCTACACTGTACACAGTACTATATCTATTCGTACATCATACTTCTTTATTATATATATATATATATAATATACACCATACTATCATACTTATATTATCATTATAATACAAGAATCAATTATATAATAATTTATAAATTATATTTGAGTATCGTAATAGCAACTATAAAAAATCTATAATAATTAATAATTAATTATTGAATATGATTAATTATTATTATTATATAAAAGCCATACATATACATTTCTACACATATACAAGCATACATACGCATACATTATTACATATTGTTTAATACTATATATTGGTAGATGATGATTGTATTCTAATATTGTTTATGTGAATTTAGAATGTAACGTAAAAAGTATTTCATAGCGGATATTTTATCTATTGTTTGACCAGTACGTGACTTTTCTCGATTTAGCGAGTTATGTCTATATCTGGTCAACATGTGTTTAGTGTCCCATGGAGAAAGGTTTTATAACGTTTTCAAGTGGTATATTTTTTATGATCTTTTAAGGGTTTTATATCTCAGAGTGAAGGAAAGTTTTAGAATTATATTTTCTTTTCTATTTTACTTTATTTACGACAATTCTGAGAACTGTTTATATTATTGAGATATACTCAAACGAGAATTTGAGAAGTATTAAACCGTAAAGGAAATATTTTACATTCGTCATGCTTTTTATAAACATCTTTATATTTTCCTTTAGAAGAAGTAAAATAATAAAAATTAATTTTTTGATTTTATTATTTTTAAAAAATAGATCTCGATAAATAAAAAATATTTTACAATTACACTTGGGTTCAAAAATTAATTTAAAATTTTAAAAAGTGACGTCACACTACGTCACAAGTTGGACTGCCTTGTTCACAATATCAAGTTTAAGCCTCATTCATTCACCAGGTTATGGCCGGATATACAGGCGCAAAGCCAGTATAGTGCCAAACACAACTTAACTTAACTTAACATGTAGCATACATAAGGGAAATCAAGGGATAAATCAAGGGAAATCCCCGAATATTTAAATTGATACAAATTTAAAATTGAAAAATAAATGAAAAAAAACTAATGGCAAAAAAAATTTAAAAAAAAATTATAGTTTATTATAGGAAAACAAGAAATGGCTAAAAAATGAAAAAAAACTAATAATAAAAACCAAATGATAAGAAATTGAACGAGTATTAAGAAAATTTATTAAACACCCAGAGAAAAGATTTCTTTGATTTAAAGAAACCAGTTTCTTTGACTTGTTTTCTTTGATTCTAAATAAAATTTTCTTAGAAACAAAAAAAGCTTCTTAGTTTCAAAGAAAATTTCTTTGATTCAAAAAAATTTTCTTTGAATGAAAGAAATTTGAGCATTAAATCGAAGAAATTCTAACATTGACATAAAGTTAAAGAAACATTTATTTGAATTAAATAACAAATTTCTTTACAACGAAGATAATTTTTTTTTAATCAAAGATAATTTGATTGAAACAAATAAATTTTCTTTGAATCAAAGAAGAATTTGTCAAAGAAATTGATTTCTTTGAATCAAAAAAATGTTTCTTCTCAGTGAAAAAAAACAATAATTAAGTAGAAAGAACTGTATAGCTTCTAAATTGTTACTCGGAAGTTTTCGGGGTTCGTTGATTACGAATCCGATATCAAATTTTTAAAATTCAAAATGGCGGATCCAATATGGCAGAAGGGTTATTTTTAAAATTATTGGATTCTCTTGAATTTCGTTAATTGGGATCGCCGTTTTGAATTTCGGAAAACTAATTTCAGATTCGTAATGCAGCGGCCCCCGAAAACCCCCCCAAGTAACGATTTTTAAGCCAATTGCTTCACAATTAAAAATATTTTTGTTATTTATTTTTGAGTGATTGTTTCTACCTTAAGGAATAATTTTTAGTTCAACTATTGTTGTCAGAAATTCAATTAAAAAACAATTTTAATAAATATTACAGAAAAATTCATAAAAATTACATTACGTAACTTAAGGAAATTTTCATTTTACTTATTTAATTAAATTTTTTTAACTTGATTGACAAAATTATAAATTTTTGAAAATTTAAAAGCAAAATATAAAAAATTCAAGGACAAAAATTAAAATTCCAGGAAATTCCAGGACTTCCAGGACTAGCAGACACCCTGTTAGTTTCAATTACTTGAATGAAAATTTCAAGGGGGCGGAAAACAGTTCTTATAGGCCCTCCTCCTTTTCAAAATTCAAAATGAAATAATAAGGAAAATGGTTTTTATTTGGCATTATACAATATACAGTATGTATAGCTTATAAATACTTTTATAACTTTTATAGTTATACTTTTATAAAAAAAAAACATAAATTTTTATCTTTTCGTTGCATAAATGTTGCACAAAATAATTTTTTATATAATATATAATATATAACTCTTTATCTCTTTATCTCTTTTTAGAGTAAAATATATTATAACATAATATTTAGTATATAATGTTAAACTTAATTTTAGTTTGTTAAACTCGTTATCAAAATATATTTTTATAAAAATTATATAAAAAAAACTTGAAAAAAACAATTACAATGAAGTATGTAAATAAATTTACGAAAGTTTCATTTGACCAAAATCCAATTCGGCCTTTTCCCTTCGTTGTTGATAATAATCTGTACAGATTTGTTGTATTCTCATACAAGTTTCTTTTGTCTCACTATCTAAATTAAGATTAGATAAAGCTTTCGACAAAAAATCAGTTTTAAGATATCTATAAACTTCAATTTGACCGCTGAGAAGAAAACAAGCGTGCCGCTGTAGGAAGAAAAAATTAATTTACTTGTGTATATCAAATTTTATAAATTCTGTTGCAACAAGTTTTCTTTATTAAATTAAAATTCTTGTAATTGAAATAAAAAAAAAATTTTAATCATACCTTAAATTCCTTACTATTGGGAGACTTTTCAAGTGCTTCCAAATAATATTTTGCTGCATTTGGAATATCATGATTACACAAATAATAAGAAGCAGCCAATTGTAGAGTGAGATCCAATGTTCTACTTTCATAATTTTCATAAGTTATCAACATTTTTTTTATATAATTCACGAAATCATCAGTTTCTCCAAATTTGGCTTTACATTTTAAATAAGAACATTCAGCCGCATAATTGTGACCAGTTGAAGCTTTTTTAAAATAATCAGCAGCTTTCTTTAAAAATAAGAATATATTTTTTTTAGTTTTTTATTAAAATTAATATAAAATTTTTTTTTAAATTACAAATTATTAAATTAAAAATGAAATTTTATTTTGAAGAGAATAATTCTTACTCGATATTCTTTTAATGTTTCCAAAAAAATTCCCTTGTAATGTAAAAACATTGAATCATCAGGCACTTTTTTTTCTGCAAAATCCAAACATTCTTTGGCTGATTGAAGATTCCGTGTTCTTATAAAACCAAGTGCCAATCGCAAATTAATATTTGCACTTTCAGGTTTAGTTTCATGAATTTTTTTATATATTTTTAATGCTTCATTTTTTTTACCTACTTCCTTATACATTTGCCCTAAATAAATTCCATAAGTTGGATCTTCTGATAATTCATATGCTTTTTTTAATTCAAATATTTCTTTTTCAGTGGGTTCAGAAAAAAAATATTTATTACGTCTTTGACGTCGTAAATTTTTTCCTGACATAAAATGCCAAACATCACAATTTGAATTATCTTTAATTGCCAAATCAATAAAATCTAATGCTTTATTAGTTCCCATATCGCCTGCGTCTTTAAATTTTGACCATGCAACACCTTTGCAACCATTCAATGTACTTCTGTCGATTTCATTTTTATCATAATCAACATTTTTATTGAGGGTTTTTAGAATTTTGTCAATTTCATTAAACTCCTCCTCTTCCATTAACAAAAAACATTTTGTACCCTTGTAAATGTTCTTCAACACTTGTATAGAAACATTTTTCTCATGTCTATAAAAATATATGAAAAAAAAATGACAACAAATAATTTAAAAATTTAAAGAATTCAGATTAACGAATTATTTATGGTAATTTATATATAAAATTATAAAATAAAAATATATATGAGACCGAATCCATGTCAAATCATGCAGGCAGTCCGATGATATATTGCGAATTAATTTCAAAATGAAGTACGTTATTCTACTTGAAAAATAAAGAAATACGTGTTTTTTTATATTTTGATTCGATTTTGTGTGTAGTTTTTACGACTTTTTAAAGAATTTTTCAAGAAAATTAATTTTTTTGCATTTTTCCCTTAAAAAAAGCATAACTTTCGTAATTTTTAACCTTTTTTGTTGTTCCTAGGCTTATTTTTTTCATTTTTTTTACTCTTTTAAAAAAAATTGCTCGGAATGAAAAATATTAAAAAACAAGGATAAAAATGGAATTTTTCGAAAAAACAAAAAAAAATTTTTTCTCAAAAATGCCACCTTTTTTTCGCCCCAAATTTTCAGGATTTATTGGTACACATATGTACTACATACCATAAAAATTTCACTTGGTATTTTTTTGTTTCTTAGGAGAAAAAAAATATTTTCATTTTTTTGATTAAAAACTCTAAAAATTTTTTTTATGCGTACATTTTTTGTTTGTTATTTTGTCGGGTTCTATAAAACTACTTTTTATATTTTCTTTTAAAACGATTTGACAAACAAAAAATGTACGTATAAAAAAAATATTTTTGAAACCTATTTGTTTCGTTTTTTTTTCTCTAAAAAAATTAGATATTTTTAAAAATTATTAACATTCTTTATTTTTTACGCAATTTTCGAAAATAATTCGATCGATTGATTGGATTGTTGAAATTGTTTTGTTTCTAAATATTGCTTTTAGAATTGATCAATACATAAAAAATCTAAAAAAAATTTTGAAAAAAAAAAATTTTTGAAATCTTTTCTTTCGTTTTTTTCTAAAACAAAGTTATTTTTCTTGCAAATTATTAACATTCTTTATTTGAAGTTAGTGACCGTTAAGTATATTTTGGTGATTTAAAAGGCTTTTAAATCACCAAAATTAACATTCTTTATTTTTTGCGCAATGTTCGAAAATAATGTTGAAAAGTAAAAAAATGAATCAAGGAGCAGTTAGAAACCTTTTAAATTTGATGATTTTTAGAGTTTTTAATCAAAAAAATGAAAATATTTTTTTTCTCCTAAGAAACAAAAAAATACCAAGTGAAATTTTTATGGTATGTAGTACATATGTGTACCAATAAATCCTGAAAATTTGGGGCGAAAAAAAGGTGGAATTTTTGAGAAAAAATTTTTTTTTGTTTTTTCGAAAAATTCCATTTTTATCCTTGTTTTTTAATATTTTTCATTCGGAGCAATTTTTTTTAAAAGAGTAAAAAAAATGAAAAAAATAAGCCCAGGAACAACAAAAAAGGTTAAAAATTACGAAAGTTATGCTTTTTTTAAGCGAAAAATGCAAAAAAATTACTTGGTAAAATTATAGCTTTATATAAGAGCAATGTGTAAGTAAAAGGAATTTTTAAAATATCTAAAATTGTAGGAGTTATATCACTTTTAATTTTGAAACTGCATTTTTTTCTTTCCTTTCTATCTCGGTCAATTTTCAACCGATTTTGATGAATCAAAAACGATTTTTTTCAGAAAATTACGTATTTTCAGAAAATTTTAAAATAAAAATAAAATTTTGTTATTTAAATAGAAAAAAGTAAAAAACAAAATTTCTTTTAGATTTTTTATCAATTTCGACCTCTTTTTTTTAATTTTTAATTTTTTAATAATATTCCTTTTTATTTTATCTTTAATTTAAAAAAAAATTCATCCTGGAGACTTTTTTAGATCTCGTGATATCGTCCTTTAAGTATTATAAGTCTTCATCAATATGAAAACCGCAGGACTTGCTTCTATCATTACTTTCGTTTGTTTGTTGAAATTTTTTATGGTTATGAATAACTATTTGTTTTAGAATCCTCTAAAAGAAAGCGCTAAAAACTTCAGCTACAATTTCAGGTTGCATTGTTAAGGTTTCATTACAATTTATTTTAAATTATAAATATTACAAAAAATAAAAACTTTGCTTCAAATCTATTAATAAAATATTGATTTGCTTGAATTTTCACTTGTTTTAGTCAAGTAATTTAAAAATAAAAACATTATTACGCGAAAGTTTCTAGTTTGTAACAATAATATTATAAAACAAATGAAAGTAGAAACACAAATCTGGATCCTAGTTTTCTTGAGATGTGGATATTTAAAGAACGATATCACGAGATCTAAAAAAGTCTCCAGGATGAATTTTTTTTTAAATTAAAGATAAAATAAAAAGGAATATTATTAAAAAATTAAAAATTAAAAAAAAGAGGTCGAAATTGAAAAAAAATCTAAAAGAAATTTTGTTTTTTACTTTTTTCTATTTAAATAACAAAATTTTATTTTTATTTTAAAATTTTCTGAAAATACGTAATTTTCTGAAAAAAATCGTTTTTGATTCATCAAAATCGGTTGAAAATTGACGGAGATATAAAGGAAAGAAAAAAATGCAGTATCAAAATTAAAAGTGATATAACTCCTACAATTTTAGATATTTTAAAAATTCCTTTTACTTACACATTGCTCTTATATAAAGCTATAATTTTACCAAGTATCATTAAAATCGAAGAACCACTTGCAGATTCTGATATTTCTGACGTGGACTTAACCCTTAAATAAATAAATAAAAATTAAATTTAAATTAAAAATCGTCAATTTAAAATAAAGTAAATTTTTAATTCTCAATTTTAGTTTTATTGTTAAAATTAATTTTAAATTAATTAAATAATAATTAATAATTGTAATTTACTAAATTTTTTGAATTATTTGATTATTACTTAAAAAATTGATATTTCTGTAACAGAATGTTGAAAAATAGAATTTTAATATATTAAAAACTATTTAAAATAAAATAAAGGATAATTTTTTAATACTTTTCTTTAACGGAATTCCAAATTTCTTCAGCAAATTTAAGAGATTCTTTTGCATCTTTTAATGTCTTTTTTTGCACGAATTCATAAACTTCCACCAATGAACGAATCCATTTTAACAATGGAATAAAATCTTCATCGTCATGAGTTGCTTCACCTTGACTAATTATGACATTTTTAATTTCATCCAATTCCCATGTTGTAAAAGGGCACTGAATTTTTTTTAGTTCCTCCATTAGTTTTTGTTTCATTTTTTTTACCTACATAAACGTAAATTCTTAAAGTTCAATTTTTATAAATTTTTTGATTGTCCAATTTAAATAATTTATTCGAATTAAAAAAATTTTGTCATAGTTTTTTAGTTTTCATGGTCAAAAAAAATTTCAGGCAATATTTAATCAAGTTTCACAGATTTTTAAATAAAAACTATTTTTAAATTATAATTTAGGAAGAGTTAAAGTTGAAATTTTTAGAAATAATTGAATTTCAAAAGATATATTTTGTTAATTTTCAGATAATAATTAAATTTTACAGAACTAAAAATAATTTATCAAATAATTTTAGATTACATTTTTAAAAAATATAATTGAATTTAAGATATTTAGCATTTTTCTTTTAAATAGACTCAACATTATATTTTTATTCTTCTTATACTTGATACACTTGTCTGTCACCTTTTCAATGTTGTTTCTCTGTCTCTATCTAATTATATCTGTTTACATTTTAAGTTTTATTGACCACGTGTATATTTTTGATTTTCTCTGAATTCATCGTAATTCTTTTTTTGAGTTCATTGACCATCGATGACTTTAAAATTTTATTTGTTTTACGTATTTTGTTTAAAAATTAAAAAAAAAAAAAATGTAAAAGAAGTCGAAAAAGTCACATTTTATTTAAATAAGTCGAATTTTGAAATGGTTTGTTAATTATAATAAAAATACATTTATTGTAAAATACTCACTGTTATTGATAATTAACACGTTGATTATTTTTTTTAGAAAATTATAAATTGCAAAAAATATTTGCAATTGAGGAGACAACAAAATTGACAATAAGACTTTTCTGAACACATAGAACGTAGAAAACTGAGACCGGCACCGTTTGAGTTTTGACCGGTTACAGGCTAGCCCTAGCCAGTTCTACTTAGCAGGGTTGGGAAATATAAAAAAAAACATAACATAACATAACATTATTTAAGGGCGTTTTCATGGTTAGCGCAAGAATTGAAAAATTATCTTTTGGCGGAAAATTAAAACAAAAATTTACAAGAAGTGTTGAAAGAACAATCTTTTTGTTGAATGATTTTTAACATTAGGCTGCAGTCCCATGGCAGCGTTTTGCGTTGCATTTTGTCACTAGACCATGAGTGTAAAAGAGATGCAGATATATGTTTGCTATGTTTACACTCAGGGTCTAGTGTCAAAACGCAACGCAAAACGCTGCCATGGGACTGCAGCCTAAATGTTCTGCAAAAAAAAAACATTTTTTTCAATAATTATTAACCTTTATGTTTACTAATTCCTTTCTTTTCATTTTCCTCCATATATACTATTATTAATTAGATTTAAGTTTTAAATTGAAAGCTCTTGTAAAATAAGAAAGGTTAATAGACTAGTTTAATGAAAAATATATATATATATAGGTATACACTTTCTTTTTTTCGAATTCTACCTATCGATTGCAGCCCACCACTAGTAAACTATCTGAACTAAATTCCACAATAGTCTGATACTTACGTCATTTACATTGATTCAAAAAGTTGAAACCTCAAGCGTCTCAACTCTGTTGAATAGTGACAGACGACATGAAAATTGTAAACTTCCCGCGTAAACTGTGATGTAAACAAAATTGAAACAAATTGCATTATTTTTACGTTTTAGTAAATGTAGTGATGACAATGAGCATTCTAAGCTCGATTGTAAGAGGACAATTGGGCTTGGGTAATGAAAATATTTAATTTTACATTGCATGTCTCTATTTTCTTAAATTATTTTAGATCCCGGTTCTTTGAGGTTATGTTCAAACAAATTTCCTTTGTACTATATATATTATTATGTTTTTCTTTTTAAATTAAAAAAAGATAAAAACAATGTTTCCCATAAAATTTAAACTCATAACGTTTAATGATAATAATAAACTGTATTGTAAAATATTTTTACTTTTATATTATCTGATATTTCATGTATAAATCGAGTTTTCATATATAATCAAAATTAATCAACAATATCAATAAATAAAAAAAAAATGAAATTGAAAATTTTCCTCTTAATGAATGTTAAAAAATTTAAATAATTATTGGCCAATAAAAAGCGTAGAAAATGATTCTAAATAAATACGAGGACACTAATGCAGTAAAGAAAATATTTTTTTTTTTACAAAATTATAAGAATAGTTTTTACTATAATAATAACTGAAATAATTAAAATTAAATAAAATTAATTAAATTGATTTTTCGAATTATGTACAAAAATTTATAATGAGTTCCTCTTTTTTTCTTTTATTTTTTAATTGATTCTTGATTGTCGATAATAGATAATGTTTTTATAATAAAAATTTTTTAAATATTTAAATTAAAAATAAAAAAATTTTAATTTTAAATAAAATTATAATTATTAAAATTAAATAAATTAACAGGTGAAATTAAAAATATTCACTTTAGGAATGGTAAAAAATTTAATTAATTTTCTATTTAAATAATGATAATTTAAAAGTTTTTTTTTTTTTTTAATTTTGAATGATCCAAATAGCTATAGAATTAAAATGTTTAATTTTTTTTATTACAGAGAGATCATCATATTATGACGTGGCTTTACAACGTCTTAAATGTTATAGTGATGATGTTTATCGTGGTGTAACACCAAATCCAGATGCACCTGATTTTACTGCCGAGCCACCAATTTGCGCCTCTCAATTTTGTCCCGTCACTGGTTATGAGCATTTTTTGGCTCTTGCCAATGAAGATGGAAATATTGCCCTTCAAGACACAACGCAAAAAGGCCGACCACACGAACAATTACAAGGCTTTGGGGTAATTTAAAAAAAAAAAAAAAATACTCAATTTTTATTTTATCAAAAAAAAATTTTTAGAGAAGGCAAATAATGAAATTATAAATTTTTTTTTTTAAAGAAGAAAGAATTTCAGGATTTTCAAATTATTGTGTGTTTAATTAATTTGAATTCAATTATTTCCACGTCATATAAATATTAATTAATTTATTAAATATTAAATTAACATTAATTTATTAAATTAAATTAATAAAAATTTATAAAATAAAAAATATTATTTTAGGCACATCGAAATGCAATTTTTGACTTGGCATGGATGCCAAATGAATTGAAGCTGGTGACAACTTCAGGCGATCATTCAGCACGATTATGGGACGTCTCGACGACGGATTTTAAATTAATTCAATCGTTCCTTGGACATACACGTAGTGTAAAAAATGTTGTTTTCAGAAGTGAAGATAATGGTGAGTTGGGTGTAGAATTATTATTTAAAATAATTTGTTCACATATATGTGAAAGAAAAGAAATTTAATTAAATTTTTTTTTTTTTAAATCGACATTGACAAAAATATTATTACAGGCCTCGGGTTATAAGACTTTTTTTCGACTTATTTTAATAAAATGCGACTTTTTCGACTTTTTTTTTTTTACATTTTTTCAAAAAAAAAATTTAACAAAATACGTTTTTTTAATATACAATGCAGATCTTCTTTATTTCAATTATTTAACAAATTTTTAGTTAAAATTCTTCACTAAATTAATTATTTTCAATAATTTTAATAAAATTCTTCAAAAATTCAATTATCTTAAATTATTTTTGAATTAAAATTTTTATGAAATTTAATAATTGTTTGTAATTTAAAAAAAAAAAATTAGCAAATAAAATTATCAAAAATTTTTAATTCAAAAACAACTTGAAATTTAATTATTTACGAAAATTTCAATTATTTTTAATAATTACAGGGTGTCCCTAACGGTCAGGGAAGTCAGGGAATTTTGTTGTTCAGGGAAATTTCTGTAAATTTCTACAAAAATTAAAATTTTTTGTGAATTTAAAAATTTTTTAATCTAAAAAAACTTGATTAGTTTTTATTACCATTTGTTACTACCATTAGAAATTAATTTATTGTTAAATTTGTCAGTGACCATATTTTTGTCCAAAGAAAGCAGAAATAAGATTATTTAAAAGTCAGGGAAAAGTTAGGGAATTTTTTTCTCAATCCTTGTTAGACACTCTGGATTTTTATACTAATACTCTTCAAAAATTCCATTATCTGAAAGCATTTTTCAATTAAAAACTTTTGCAATTCAATTTTTTTATGTGATTTCTAATAAATTCTTCATCAACAGAAATCACTAAAAATTTCTCTTATTATAAATTATTGTCTGAAATTTAACACAATCTTTTAAAATTCAATTATTTTCAAAAATTTCAATTTAAAAGTTTCTAAAATTTTTTTTAATTGAATAATTTCAATTATAACTCTCCTGAAATTCAATAATTTTTAATGATTTTTATAATATTCTTCGAAAATTCAACTATCTAAAATCATTTTTTGCTTAAAATTTTTTTAAATTATTGTATTTTTGTCTGCTATTTCTTATAAATTATTTAGTAACAAAAATCATCAAAAATTTTAAATTAAAACTCACTTGAAGTTGAATTAATTTCAAAAATCAAAATTGTAAATTTTTGAAAATTCAATTATATTTTTAAAAAATGTTATCTAAAATTATTTGATAAATTATTTTTAGTTCCGTAAAATTTAATTATTGTCTGAAAATTAACAAAATCTTTTGAAATTCAATTATTTCTAAAAATTTCAACTTTAACTCTTCCAAAATTATTAATTAAAAAAAAAAAAATTATTTAAAAATCTATAAAACTTGATTAAGTATTGCCTGAAATTTTTTTAACCATCAAAACTAAAAACTATGACAAAATTTTTAATTCGAATAAATTGCTTAAATCAGATTTGAAAAAATTATAAAAATGAAACCAACTTTAAGGTTTTTTTTTTTGAGAAATTTATCCTACTTAAATAAAATTTTGAAAATTTGTCTTACAATTAGTTGAATTTTGAAATACTATTCGAAATAAATTTTTTTGATAATATTTTTTATACAATTATTCTCATTACATAATTAATAAAATGAATTTAATATCTAATAACATTAGTTAATCAAAGTAAAATAATTCATTAAGCAATTAAATTTTGTTAAAATAAAAAAAATTGACTTTTTGTTGGAATATAAATTGACTAAAACTACTTTTTTTGTGGATTCGAGGCCTGAAATTGTCAAACTTGAAAAAAATGAAATGTTTATTTCAAAAAAGAGCGAAAATCCATTATTTTCTTCAAATTCAATAAAAGTTATAAAATTTTTTTTTATTTTATTATTTTACATTGTAGTACTAAATAAAAAGTTTTCTCATCAAATGCGAGGAAATTATGGAACAATATTTAAGTTTAAATTGCTCAGTAAAAAAACTTTTTTTTTTTTTGTTAATGAAACTTAGAGAAAATCTTCAGAAGTAAGTTTACATTTATATTTAAATATAGTTAAAAACAATTTAGATTTTTGGTGAAAAAAAAAAATGAAAAAAACGGATTTTCGTTCCACAATTTCTTTGGTTGACGATAGTAATTTATAAGAATTTTTTTTTAAATTTATTGACGATAAACAAAAATGATAAATTACAGCTGTATTTGCAACTGGAGCACGAGATGGAGTTATTATGATTTGGGATATCAGAGCAAATCACGGTACAAATGCAAAACCTGATAATTCAATTATGAATGCACACGCAACGGGTTCTGGCTCATCAAAGGGACGAAAATCTTTTACACCTGGATCGCGAAATCAAAGTATCACTGGTCTTGCTTTTCAGGATGATTCTTCTCTTATATCGTGCTCAACGGGCGATGGGTAATTTTTTTAAATTCACAAACATATAAAAATAAAATTATAAAATATAATACGTATAATTTAAAATATTATTTTTATTTAAAAAATTGTTTTTTCAGATTAATAAAAGTGTGGGATTTACGTAAAAATTACACAGTTCACAAAAAAGATCCAGTAGCGAAACATATTTTAAAATATAATGGCGGTAGTGTTTTAAATGGATTCACATCGTTGAAAATTTGTCCCTCGAGAATGAAACTTTATGCCAGTTGTCAGGATAATACTATTTATACTTACAATATTTCTTCCTACAATCCAGAATCAAGTAAGATCGTTAATTTCATCATTTTCATATTATTTTTGTTATTTTAGTTAATGTATTTAATTTGCTTCGTTTATTTTATTATTTAAAAATTTCCAATTTCAAAATTAATTTTTATACAAATTTGTGTGATTATTTTTGTTTTTTTTTTTGCGTTTTTGCAGCTGCCGAATATTTTGGTTACGAGAATAAAACGTTTTTCGTGAAAATTTGCCTCAGTCCAGATGGCAAATATTTATTAAGTGGTTCAAGTGATACTTATGCATATATCTGGCGAACGTCTAAGCCCGGAAGTCCTTTGGTTCGACTCACAGGACACGCTGCCGAAGTGACGTGTATCGACTGGTGTAGCGTTGGCGAAACAAAAGTATTTTTTTTAACAATATTCTTTGAAAAAATTTCTCGAAAGAAACATTAATTATTAACTTTAAAAGTCAATTTTCATGTTATTAACTTTATTATTACTTTATTTTTGTTGAAATAAAGTTGAAAATTTAATTTGTAAATTTTTTTTTTTTAGCTTGTAACATGCTCCGACGATGGATGCCATAGAATTTGGAGAGTAGGCTATGAAAATCGAGAGGACGATAAGAGACATGATCTTCATGGTCAAGCGGAAAAAGTGCCTGCCTCTGCTGTGTTTATGCAAAGAACGCCAACAACTCGCAAACGACGAATATCGAATCGCGATAAAACGCCTTCATCAACAAATGGTCGTGGTATGTACTATCAAAAAATTTTTAATACTTCCTGAAAAACTGGTTTCTAAATTAATTAAAAAAATCTATTTCTTTTTTTGAAATTTTTTTCAAGTTTCATTTCATGGAAATTATTCTAATTTAGTTGAAAAAAAATATTAAATTTTATTTAAATTTATAATTTTAAATTAGCAAACTCCGAGGATCGTTTATCACTAAGCTGTGATTCATCGCAGGAGAATAAACCCTGCAATTCACAAAAACGAAATCATACAGAAATGACGAACGGTGGTAAAATTGTTTTATCGCCAATTTTAGAAAATTGTGAATCAACGGCAAAACGTGCACATCTCGAGACACGTGGTGCTCGTCGTTTATTTAGTCCTGAGACTAAAAATTCATCAAAAAATACCGAAATCGATGAACCAGCTCCAAGTACATCGAGACAGGCTGACATTTGTGATATGCCATTTTCACCAACGTCAAATCTACCGAATTTCGTCATTGACGGAACGGCGCCACATTTAAATGAATCGTCACCACGTAAATATAAAGAGAATCTCGATTGGTTGACAAAAATTCGCAAAGAAAAAGAACAAAAAGCCAAAGGCTCTGCTGAAAAAATAACGTCGTCATCACCAAAAACACAAGTAACACCTGCTCGACGTTCAAGTCGATCAAAATCCATGGAATCACGTAGAGCATCGCGAAGTCCCGCTGGACCATTATTGAATTTTTTCCGTTCATCAGCGAATAAGGAGTGTGAAAAAATGGTTCAAAATAAAAATGACGACGACACTACACCCGTTAAAAAAAAATTGACAAAGCAATAATAATAATTTTTTTGCTTTTGACAATAATTAGCAGTATTTTCTTTTTTTTTTTTAAATTAAAGGACAAAAACATGACTAAAATTATTAGTCTTGTTGCATTTATATGTACAAATTTGTTTAAGACTTTTTTTTTGCCTCCTATTCTTTAATGTTTTTTTTAGCAAAACTTCTGTCGATAAGTAAAAAAAAAAAAAAAATATTTTTGTAGAAAAAAGGTTGTATGACGTAAAATGTTTAGGGTTTATTTTTTTTTCCTTTTTTTTATATGAAAGTGTGCTTGTGTGAATAAAAAAGAAAAAGATTGTATGTATGTCATTTATAAGCGTGAAATACTCGAAAAAAAATTTTACGAATAAAAATTGTATTCATGAACGAAATAAGAAAATTTCAAGTATAAAAAAAAAAAAAAAAAAAAAAATGAGAAACAACTTGAAAAAACTGTTCACTAAGTAATAAATTATATTTTAATATTTTATATTTGTGAAAAAAAAATTTTTATAACGAAAAAAAAAATAAAGTTATATATAAATCGTTGGAATTTTAAGTAAATGTCTTTAATTTAGTTTTTTGAAACTTCTTTATTTTTAAAATTTTTTTCTTATTTTTATTTTTTATTAATATTTTTTAGGAAATGTTTTTTGTTTTCTATTTTTATTTGATTAATTTTTGGAAATATTTTGTTTTTTAATAAAATAAAAAGAAGGTGAAAATTACTTACTTGAAATTAAATATATTTTTTATATTATCAACTTCCATTTTGCGGACAAAACATTTTAATAGAACGCAATAATAGTCGAATTTTAACTGGTCTCAACTCAAATTCTTCATTGTCAATGTAAAACATTCGACTTTTGTCATCCTGTGGGTAAATTTTTAAAAGAACAATTTTTTAATAATTTAAAAACAAGAAAAATATACAATTTTAAAATTAAAAAAAAAATAAATAAAAAGATAATAAGAATTAGACAAAATATACTAATTAAAGTAAAATAAAAACAGGAATTAAAAAATTATAAATAAAATAAATACGAATTATAAGGAATTAAAGAAAAAAATAATATATAATAAATAAAAGAGAATGAAGAAATTAAGAATTAAAGGAAAATAAAATTTATATAAAATTTGAAGAAATACTCACGAAAGAATCATCTTTATCTGGATGAAGTTCAATGTCTTTTGCATTGAAAACTTTTTCTGGCAATTGTTTCTTTCCACTGATTCGTCGCCAACCTTCTGTTACAAAATCAGTATAATTTACTGAAGGTGGGCCAAGTTCCAATTTCACACCATTATCAGTATCTTCATTTTTTCGACGAACATTTTTTGTTGTTATAAAAAGTTCCGTTGACGAAATTGGAATTTCTTTGAAGACACCACAATTTTCATTATCCACTTTACTGTAATCCATGTGTTTGTGATCTGTAGCAAAAAATTTTTTTTTTTCAAAATTGAGAAAATATGAAATAATGAAAAACTTTGAAAATAAAATTAAAAATCAACATTTAATTAATAATTCCAATTAAATAATAATATTGAAAATTTAAATAATTACATTAAAAATCTAAATAATAATATTGAAAATTTAAATAATTACATTAAAAATCTAAATAATAATATTGAAAATCTAAAAAATCATTAAAATTAAATAATAACATTAAAAATCTAAATAATAAACACCAGAATGTGCAGTTTTTTGTCGAGGAATAAAAGCATGCCACCATCTTCGTGACGATGTTTCAACAGATGAATTTTGTTCTTGATAGCAACGTGAACAGCCATCACAAGGATCTGAATAGCGAATTAAACCATCGCATTTCCAATTTATATCATTCTTGTGTCCATTAAAAATAAAAGTCACATATCTGTAATTAGAAATAATAAATAAACTTGAATGTAAAACTTTTATTAAAATATGAGAAAAAAAAATTCTATTTTATAAATTTTTTTTCAATTTTTCTCAACGAATAAATATTAAGTTGAGATTTATATTTTCTTAAATAAATACTTAAAAAAAAATTCTTAAATAAATAAATACTTAAATTAGTACATAAATAAATGAAGTTGAAAATTAAAATAAAAAAAAAAATTATTACTTTCGTAAGGAACCCCAATACCAATATTTATCGACTCGAGAAAGCGCATCTCTCCAGGCTCCCCATTCAATGGCACCAACTGCATAAACTGGTTTTATAGAATTTTCCTCATTATTCTAAAAAAAAATAAATTTAAAAAAACAAATTGGAAGAATATTAATATAAATTACCCAATCGAAATGCATTTTTTTAAAAACTATGTTAAAGAGTAAAAATTGAATTAAAAAAAAGATGAATTTTCAAAAATGTAAATAAAAAATTAATAAATTTTATCATTCTAAACAAATACCAATAATTATTTTTTTAACTTTAAAGAATTATTCTAGGTTTTTTAACCCGTTTATTTCTAAATAAATAAATATTTTCTAGGTCCAAAGAAATAATCAAAAAAGTTTTAATTTAAAATAAATTTATTTCGAAAATAAAAATAAAAACTATATTAAAAGAAAATTAATTTGAAAAAAATGCAATTGAAAAACTAATAATTTAAAAAAAAAAACTAAATTGAAAGAAAATTAATTTGAAAAAAAATAGAATTGAAAAACTAATAATTTTAAAAAACTAAACGGAAAGAAAAAAAAAGAAAGAAAAAGTGGAATTTAAAGAAAATTAATTAAAAAAAAAACAAGTATTAAAAAGTTAATTTTAGAAAGAAAAAATTAGAAGAAAATTAATTTAAAAAAAAAACTAAATTCCAAAAAAAAGAATTTTAATTCTAAAATTTAATTTAAAAAATTATACCTCTAGTGTCGTGACTTCAATAACATCAAATAATGTTGTATTTCCCCTGACAATTGCCATTGTTGCTTCAGCAAGTGCTCGAACTTCTGATGTCTCATTATTTCGATTAAACAACGAATCAGCAACTCTATTTGTCAAACCTAATGGTAATACAGCAACGGGACATTGTCTAACATAACCGACATTTATCTGATATTTTCTCATTAATCCTGTAATAACATCGGACAATGTTCCATCACCTCCGGCAACAATTATACCATCAGTTCGTGTATTTAAATTAGCGACAATTGTTCTCGCTTGATTTTCCGATTCAGTTTGAATTATTGTTATTGCAATCCCCGCCAAATGTAACAATGGTTCGCAATATTTTTCAAATAATTTTTTTGCTTTCCTTTAATAAATTATTTCAATGATTAACATTATCGGTAAATTAATTTGAAAATTTTAGTAAATCAAATTATTTATTTTTAATTATATATAATTTTTTTTTTTTTAATTTATGATTTAAAGTAATTCAATGATAAATTAATATTCTTCGAACTGAATAAATAAATAATTAAACAGTAAAATTAATTAATTTGAAATATTAATACATTATTTAATTATGCAAAAAATAATATATAAATATTGTACAAATTTTAACCTTTTTTTGGCAACAGGATTTAAAATAACTGTCATATGTGTTGGTTGAGCTTTTGGAGCAATCGGAATATCTCCATATTTTACAGCTTCTTCGCAAAATTCTCTCATCATTTTTTGAGTTCTAAAATAAAAATATTAAATAATAATAATAATAATAATAATAATAATAATAATAATAATAATATAATAATAATAATAATCTCTTCAGAGATTAAAATTTTTTTTTATATTTATATTAATTACCTATAATTGTCATTTAATAATTTAAATATAATGAATAATATCAATAGTAATAATAAGAAAAATAAATAATAATAAGAATAAAACTATAGCAATAATAATGAAATATATAATAATTATTTTGAAATGAAATTTCCGAGCAACGAATTTTGAGGTTATGTTTCGAAACAATTAATTTTATTTACAATAATCATAAAAAAATAATAAACTTACTCATATGCATCTATCCCATAATTAACACCATAGGAAAATGCTGCTGCACCAACTAATGACTTTTTCCAATTATTTCTTACTGTTTTTAAAATATTAACTACTCTTGCCATTTTTCAACTTGATGTGTCAAGATCATTAGTTTTTTTTTATTAACAAAATAATAATTAACGTAAATAAAACAATTTTAAAAAAAATAAGAAACGTACTTTGTATAATTAGTAATAATTTAAATAATAATTTATTAACATAGTTTTTAGATATTTAAATTTTATTTCCAATGTTTTGAAAACTTAACCTAACCTCACATTTTTTTTTTACAAAATTACAACCGCGCGCATTTACAAATACGATTATTTTAAATTTTTTGTAAAACTAGAAATTTTAGCTTCTTGATGTAAAATACCTATTTTAAAAAATTAAATATTTTCATTGATAAAGAATTTAAGAAATTATAAAAACACAACTGAATACACGCGGCATGAAAAATGCAACTAGCAGACGCTTTTTAGTATTTGCACATTATTTGTGTTATCAGATTTATGAATTAATTTATACAGTGTTTTAAATATATTATATTCATAAGAAAATTATCTACTCGTTTATATATTTTTTCTGTTTATTTAATTTTTATAAAAGTAAAAAATAAATTGTATTTTTTGATGTTTATATTAGCAAAGTGTTTAAAGTATCCGCGGGATTTTGTCTAGCCAATGAAATTAAATATGAATAAATTAAATCATCTAATTGGCTATCAGTTAACAATCTGAAACAAGTTTTTGGAATTGTCAAAAGAAACGATCGAAATATGAACTGAATTTAATTTCTACTTTATTTAAAAACATACATTTAAAAAGACATTAATAAAAAAATTAATTGCATAATTTGTAATTTTTATTTCATTAAATTTAAAATAATATCAAATTTTGTTATATTAGAAAAATATATTTTTTTCTATAGCGGAAATTATTTGAACTACAATTAGCAGAACACGTATTCGTGTGTAACACGTTCCGCTACGTCACAGACGCTCCATAAAAAATCACGTATATTACATTCCCAACTCTGGTCGCGTTATAAAATCACCTTTAAACTCACACATACATACAGAAAAAAGTATTGTGTATACAAAATTTTGTGTATATATAATTTGACGAATTTTGACGTTTAATATTATTTTTCATCGTTTATATAAATACGCATACGTTGTATATTTTTAAAGAAAAAATTAAAATAACCTTAAATAAAACACATTTTTCTTATATAGTAATAGTGAATTTTTTTTTCTCAATCAAGTGAAAAATATTAAATAAAAATCATGGAAGAATCATCAGAAGACGTTTATAGGTTAGAAGGCTCACAAAATGAAACTGGTGGCTTAATTATTCGTAAAAAAGTTTCAGATCATACATTTAAAAAGCCTCAAGCATCTGCATTGGGTCTTGATAAATTAGCGCAAAAAATACGCAATGAAAAAGAAAAAAAATATCGTGCACCTCAAGAGGAAACGCCAACTTACACTGCTGGTGTTAATCGTGAAGCTAGAGAACGTTTGGAATCAAGATTAAAACGACAAAGATTACATGCACCCGAGGGTGATAGATACAAGGACAGAGATCGTAATAGGGAGAAAAAACGAAGTGACGACAGAGATAGAGATCGTCGACGTAATTATAGCAGTAGAAGTAGCAGTAGCAGAGACAGTTCACGACAAACACCAAGATTTCGTGATGAACCACAAACACCAAAATACAGGGCAAAGGTATATAAATAATTCATTTACAAGTTTACATTTCAATTCAAAATATAAATCGAAGGTGAAATTGTGAAACAAAAAGCGAAATTTTTTCAGAAATAAAAAAAAAATTAAAAACCAATTTGTTAACAGCTCAAATAAATTTTGAACATCCTTCTGAAGATGTTCTCCAAGTTTCATTAGCAAAAAAAAAAAAAAAAAAAAAAAAAATTTATTTGATGGGGCTATTTAAACTTAACGTTAAGCTAATAAGCACTTCAATTAACCTTGGAAAAATGTTTTTAAATTAACATTGAAATTGTGTAAATATTAATAATTTTATTATTCAAATTCAATTATTACCCAAAATTTCAATTCAAAATCAATTAAAATTCAATAATTATCCAAAATTTCAATTCAAAATTAATTATTATCAACATTTTCAATAAAAAATTTCAATTAAAATTCAATTATTTCCCAAAATTTCAATTCAAAATCAAAGAAAATGCAATTATTTTCAAAATTTTCAATTAAAAATCAACTAAAATACAATTATGCTCAAAAATTTCAACTCAAAATTATTTTTTATTAAAATTTTCAATCAAAAATCAACTAAAATTGAATTATTATCAAAAATTTCAATTATAATTCAATTATTTTCAAAAATTTGAATTTAAAAGCTTCTAAAATTCTAAATTTCTAAATTTTTTTAAAATTAACTATTTCAATTATAACTCTAAGGAAATTCAATTATTTTTAACTATTTTTATAATTATTCTTTGAAAATTCAACTATTTGTATTATTCTATTCAACTATTCAACTAATTCAAATTATTGTATTTTTGTCTGCAGTTTCTAATAAATTTTTTAGTGAAAAAAAAAATTTTTTAATTAAAAATCAGTTGAAGTTGAATTAATTTCAAAAATCTCAATTGTAAATCTTTGAAAATTTAATTACATTTAAAAAATGTTATCTAAAATTATTTGATAAATTATTTTTAGTTCTGTAAAATTTAATTATTGTCTGAAAATTAACAAAATCTTTTGAAATTCAATTATTTCTAAAAATTTCAACTTTAACCCTTCCAAAAGTATTATTATTTAAAAAAAAATTATTTAGTACTAAAAGAAGAAAAAAAAATTGGAGATGCAATTGCAAATGGACTTACACTTTGACGTGAAATACATTCTATATTACAGAATTGTTACTTAAATGAATTTTCATTGTACAAACTTTATAAAGTATTTATTTTCAGCCGAATTTTTATTTTATACTTCTATTTGTCCGAATTAATATCAGGTCAAAAAATTTAGACGTGAATTTTAAAATTAACCAATTTTAATTTTGTTCTCAACTTCTGATTAGTCAATCAGGGTGTAAAACGGTCAGGTAAAAGTCATGGAAATTTCTTCAATTTTTTGGAATTTATTATGAATAAATTAAACTAACTATTAGTTTTTTCGAAAAATTGTTTACTTTTTTTCCCAAAGCAAATGCAAATTAAAAAGTTGGCCTTCACACTGAATTATTAAGAATGTGATATATCATATATTCATTAAGAAAATAATTATTTACTACTATTTATTGAATCTAATAAATGATTTTTTAAACTTGGATAACAATTAATTAATTTTTTTGCACTGAAATATTTGGTTCTTTAATAAAAATAAAAATTATTTGATACATTTTTATTTTATCGGTTCAACTTCAAATAAAGCAAATTATTCATTAATACAAATAATTTATTATTTAATGCTAATATCCACATTTAACTTATAAAAATTTTTACGGCGTCGAATATTAAATTATCGAATTTTCTATTTAGCAAAATTGTATAAAGTGAATTTTATATTATACAAAATTTTAAATTTACATTTAACTAAAATTCGATTTAAAAGAATTTCTATTTAGCAGAACTCTTATAAAGCATTTTTTCTAATACTTTTTTAAAATTTTTAATTAATATAATTTCAATTTAACGAAATTTATGTCTATAAAAATTGACAAAAAAAAAGAACTATGTAGAATTTTTCTTAAATGAGAATTCTATTAAATAAGAATTATTTGGAATTAAAATTTGTTTTAACAAAAACTTTGTTAATTAAGAATTTTGTTAAATAGAAATTCTGTTAATTGTGGATTTATTCAATGACAATTCTGTTAAGTAAATATTTTGATAAATCGAAATTTACTAAAATAACAATTCTGTTAAAAAGATTTTTTTTCATGCAATTTTTCTTGACATAAATTTTGTTAAATTGAAATTGTATTAATTTAAAATTCGATGTACTAGAAAATCTGTTTTATATAATTTTACTAAATAAAAATTTGATAATTTAAGATTTGACGCCGTAATAATTCTTTTAAATTAAATGTTGAGAATATTTATACGTCCCCAATTAGTTTATTTATTTCACATTAAATATTTTATTTTTTACGAAACTTATTTATTTGGTTTAAATACATATGAAATTAGTGGATAATAGACAAGTAAATGATTGAATTGTATAAAAATAAATTTTATTTGATCAAAATAAAAATTTTTTAGTGTAATTTAGGTCAGTGAAAAGTCAGGAAAATTTTTTCCTATCAGTTGTTAGACACCCTGGTCAATTTCAAAATTTCAGCTTAAATTTTTCTGCCAGATAAATAAAATTTCTGTAATATAAAAATTCGGCGTTTTAATAATTCTCAAAAGTTTGATTTAATTTAAAAAAAGCCACGTACCTTATAAAATTAATTGTAATGGAGCTGTGACCGCTCAATAAATGAAAATGTAGTAGGTTTTTAAAAAATGTTTATTATTAATATCAGGACACAACATCGAGAAGTAATTGGGATGATGACGATGATGATAATGAACCTCGTCGTTCAACTTGGGATCATCCAACACCTCAACTTTATGGCTCTAGAAGCAAAGAATCAAATAGCGTTAGAAGTGAATTTACACCGTCATACAAATACAATTCATGGAATAAAGATAAAAAACATTCTGGTGTAACGCCTAAAGTTGATGATGAGGACAAAGAATATTGGGAGGAAGAACAAAAAAGGTAAAAATTATCATTTTTCTATATATATAAATTACAGTAAACGATAGTAAAAAGTTTTTACCTTTTTTTCCATAATGAAAATATTTTTTTTTAACTCTTCTTTAATATAAACTACCAATTGAGTTTTGCAAGAAAATTCAATTATTGTTCTTTTAGTATTTCAGTATTATTTATCAAAAAATTTTTAAATCCAACTTTCATTCTGTAAGGAATTTACAGTAGGTAATTGAAATATTTTCGAAAAATTTAATTTTAAAATTACTGAAATTAATTTCATTTGGCGAAGAATTTTAGATAAAAATTTATAAAATAATTCTATTTTGAAAAGCGCAGAGTTAAAATTGTTTTTGGAATTAATTAAATTTCATGAAATTTTAAATTGGAATTTTGATAAATTCTAGTTGAAGATTTTTTTAATTTTCTTTAAAAAAATTTTTATAACATTTTTTTTCCTTAAATTTTATATTTTCCTTTCTTAAATTGACATGTTTTTTTCTTTCCCAATGTTTTACTCAAACGGTTCGCATTTTAAATTTTTCCTTTAAATTCTCTTTTTATTTTAGGATTTCTTAAAATTAAAATTTATTTATTATTTAATTTTTCAATTCTTAAACCGTTAAATGCAAACTAATTTATTTATCAAGTTTAAAAATACAGGCCTCGGATAGACTTTAAGGCACAAAAATAGTCGTTTTAGTCGATGTATATTCCAATTCCATTTATCAAATAATTTTAGAGAACATTTTTTAAAAATAATTGAATTTTTCAAAGATTTTTGAAATTAATTGAACTTAAAGTGATTTTTAATTAAAATTTTTTAATGATTTCTGTTATTATTTATTTAAATTATTAAATTTCAAAAAATTTTAGATGGAATATTTTAAAAATAATTAAATTTTAGAAGCTTTTAAATTGAAATTTTTGAAAATAATTGAATTTCAAAAGATTTTGTTAAATTTCAATGAGCCAAAAGTTCTGAACGTTCAAATGAACAAAATATTTTTTCAATCTATAAATTATTAAAAATTATAATGTCAACGTAATATAAAACAGTAAATTAAACAAATATTAAATTAATAACTTCTTTTTAGATATTTAAAATAATATTTTGTAATAAAATTCGTACTTAAAGAAGTTGCAAAAAAAATTTCGTTCATTTGAACGTTCAAAACTTTTGGCTCATAAATTTCAGACAATAATTGTAATAAGAGAAATTTTTAGTAATTTCAGTTGATGAAGAATTTTATTAGAAATCACATAAAAAAAAATTGAATTCCAAAAGTTTTTAATTGAAAAATGCTTTTAGATAATTGAATTTTCGAAGAATATTATAAAAATCATTAAAAATAATTGAAATTTTTGCAAATAATTAAATTTTTTTAATGATTTTGAATTTAATTGAAAAATAGTTTAAAATAATTGAATTTGTGATAAATTCCATTAAAATTATTGAAAATAATTAATGTAGTGAAGAATTTTAACTAAAAATTTGTTAAATAATTGAAATAAAGAAGATCTGAAGAAAATCTGTATTGCATACTAAAAAAAACGTATTTTGTTCAAACATTTAAAAAAAAAATGTAAAAAAAAAAAGTTGAAAAAGTCGCATTTTATTAAAATAAGTCGAAAAAAGTCGTATAATCCGAGGCTTGAAAATATATAAAACTTTTAATAATAATCAGTTTCTTATTTATTATAATAATAGTAGTTTCTTTATCGAAAGTGGACCTTGAAAAAAATTATTTTCGACCTTGAAAAATCTTGAAAAGTCATTGAATTTAAAAAAAAAATTTCTAGACACTGTCTTTGGACAATAACCAATAAATGTTTAAAAAAAAACAATAATAATAATTGAATTTTTTGAAAAAAATTTTAAAAAAAAGTTTTTTCTGATATTCAATTGGTCATCCTGTATTTTGAAGTTAATATCATCGGACTGATATTTTTTGCTCTACGAAAAAATTTATACAAATTTCTGAAAAAAAAAATTACAATTTAAATCGAAAATAATAGAATTTTCGAAAAAAGTTTAATTCCAAAAATTTGAAATAATTGAAATTTTCAATAATTTCCATAAATTAACAATAAGTTTTATACAATTTTCAACAGATTGGATCGTGAATGGTATTCGCTTGACGATGGTGAAGCACAACATTTTGGTGGCGTATCCGAGGAGTATACACAAAAAAAAGAACAAGAACAAGAGGCACGTCGTAAAAAGCGTATTTCCGCACAACAACGTCAAATAAATAAAGACAATGAATTATGGGAACGTAATCGTATGTTAACATCAGGTGTTGTTTGTTCACTTGACGTTGACGATGAACCCGATGATGAAGCAGAGGCAAGAGTTCATCTTCTTGTACACAATGTTGTGCCACCATTTTTAGATGGACGTATTGTTTTTACAAAACAACCCGAACCCGTTGTACCTGTACGTGATCCAACTTCAGAAATGGCACAAACAGCACGCAAGGGTTCGCCTCTCGTACGTGTTTATCGCGAACAAAAAGAACGTCGTAAAGCACAAAAGAAACATTGGGAATTAGGTGGTACACAAATTGGCAACATTATGGGTATACGTGACAAAAGAAAAGAAGAATTGAGAGATGAACAAATTGCCGAAACAGATTTTAAATCGGGACAAAAATTTGCCAAACACATTAGTGATGATACAACAAGTGGTACAAAGAAATATCACAATATACAAAAACAAAGACGAACATTGCCAATATTTGCCGTTCGTCAGGAATTATTGACAATAATACGTGAGAATAGTATAGTAATTATTGTCGGTGAAACGGGAAGTGGTAAAACAACACAATTAACACAATATCTTCATGAGGAGGGTTTCAGTAATAATGGAATAATTGGTTGTACTGTGCCGAGGCGTGTTGCAGCAATGTCAGTGGCAAAACGTGTTTCTGATGAAATGGGTTCAACGCTTGGTGAAAAAGTTGGTTATGCAATTCGATTTGAGGATTGTACATCAAAAGATACGGTTATTAAATATATGACCGATGGTATTTTATTGAGAGAGAGTTTACGTGAAGGTGATTTAGATCGTTATAGTGTTATTATAATGGATGAGGCGCACGAGAGATCATTATCAACTGATGTATTATTTGGATTGTTGAGAGAAATTATAACACGTCGTTATGATTTAAAATTAATAATCACATCGGCAACAATGGATTCAACTAAATTTGCCGCATTTTTTGGCGATGCTGCAACATTTCATATACCTGGTCGTACATTTCCGGTTGAGATAAATTATTCAAAAAATCCAGTTGAAGATTATGTTGAAGCTTCAGTTAAGCAAGTTCTTCAGATACATTTACAACCGCCAAAAGGTGATATATTGGTTTTTATGCCTGGACAAGAGGATATTGAAGTTACTTGTGAGACGCTTAAGGATCGTTTAATGGAAATTGAAACGGCTCCTGATTTATCAATTCTACCAATTTATTCACAATTACCATCTGATTTGCAGGCGAAAATTTTTCAATCATCCGAAGATGGTATGAGAAAATGTGTTGTTGCGACAAATATTGCTGAATCATCATTGACAGTTAATGGAATTGTATTTGTCATTGATTCGGGTTATTGTAAATTAAAAGTTTATAATCCACGTATTGGTATGGATGCATTGCAAGTTTATCCGGTATCGCGTGCCAATGCTGATCAACGTGCTGGTAGAGCTGGTAGAACTGGTCCAGGACATTGTTTTCGTTTATATACGAGGAGACAATATTTAGATGAATTATTATTCACTGGCGTTCCTGAGATACAGAGGACAAATTTGGCGAATACTGTACTTTTATTGAAATCATTGGGCGTTCAGGATTTATTGGCATTTCATTTTATGGATCCACCGCCGCAGGATAATATTTTAAATTCACTTTATCAATTATGGATTTTGGGCGCATTGGATAATACTGGACAATTAACGCCACTGGGTCGTCAAATGGCTGAATTTCCATTGGATCCACCGCAATGTCAAATGTTAATTGTTGCTTCTCAACTTGGATGTACGGAGGAAATTTTAATTATTGGTAAGTTTTAGAAAAAAAAATAAATAAAAATTTAAGATCTTCCTTTTTGTAACAATAATTTTTTTGTCTCAGTATCTATGCTGTCGGTGCCTTCAATATTTTATCGTCCAAAGGGACGTGAAGAGGACTCAGATTCGGCACGTGAGAAATTTCAAATTCCCGAATCTGATCATTTAACTTATTTACACGTCTATAAATTGTGGAAACAAAACAATTATTCGGCAATGTGGTGCAATGAGCATTTTATACATGCAAAAGCAATGCGTAAAGTACGTGAGGTTCGTCAACAATTGGAGGAGATTTTAAAGCAACAAAAAATGGAGGTCATCAGTTGTGGCACCGAATGGGATATGGTGAGAAAATGTATATGCTCAGCATATTTTCATCAAGCGGCACGTCTAAAGGGAATTGGTGAATATGTAAATTGTCGTACGGGAATGCCATGTCATTTGCATCCAACTTCAGCATTATTTGGCATGGGTTTTACGCCCGATTATGTTGTTTATCATGAATTAGTGATGACGGCAAAGGAATATATGCAATGTGTGACGGCCGTCGATGGACATTGGTTGGCCGAACTTGGTCCCATGTTTTTTAGCGTCAAAGAAACGGGTAAGAGTAATATGGCAAAGAAACATCGCGCTGAACATGTTTCGGAAATGGAGGATCAAATGAAACAGGCCGAGGAGGAAATGAAAGCGAGAGCGCAGAGGGAATTGGAGAAGGAGCAGGCGTCGATTAGAAAGTAAGTTTTTCAAAAATTATTCTTCTTTTTTTTTGAGTTTCAACTTTACAGCAATCGTGAAAACTTAATTTTTTTCACTAAAACAGAGATCACAGTTTTTTTTTTTTTTTTTTTTTTTTTTTTTTTTCTCTTGAAAATAGATAAAGAAAAATAAATTATTTACCAAAAATAGGTGATCAAAAGAAAATAATGATAAGAAAACTGATAGTTAAAACCAATTAATGTGCAAAATACCTCATTTTTATCTATTGAAATGGTTATTAATTTAAATTTTTCATCAATGATTAATAAATAGCTTAAAATTTGGGTTAAGGGGGTAGTCTGGTGTTTAGGCCTTTTTTTAGGAGCTTATTTCAGAATTTATTTTTATTATAAAATAAAATATAATCACACCAAATCTTTTTACTTCGTTTTATTCTAATCATGAAGTGTTGAAAAAAATTATAATCGATTATTTTTTACTAGACATTGTTATTTATATTTAATATTAATGTTTATATCAAACAAATGCTGGCGCAGGTGATTTACAAAAATCTGTTCGACCGATTGCTCCAATTTTTTTTTAACTTATTTTTATACAAGTATGGCTGTGGCCCGTACTAGAATTACGCAATTTTAATGATAACTTTTTTTTATTTTTAACTTTTTGTCAATAAAAAAGAGATAATTTTTGAATCTTTTTGCTTATATAGTCCGCTATTTTGTTATTTATTAACAAAAATGTTTTATTCTAGTACGGGCCAGAGCCATGCTTGTGTAGAATAAGCTGTAAAAAAATTGGAGCAATCGGTCGGATAGATTTTTGTAAATCATCTGCGCCAGCATTTTTTTGTTATAAACATTAATATTAAATATAAATAACAAAATCTAGTAAAAAATAATAGATTATAATTTTTTTCAACACTTTATGATTAGAATAAAACGAAGTAAAAAGATTTGGTGTGATTATATTTTATTTTATAATAAAAAAAAATTTTGAAATAAGCTCCCAAAAAGGCATCGAAACACCAGACTACCCCCTTAATTGAATTTTGGATAATTTGAAATTTAAATCAATTAAAATTTAGATAATTTAAAACAATCAATTAATTTTTAGATTGATTGAAATTTTGATAATTTTAAGTTTCGATCGAATGAATTTGCATTTGATTAAAATTTTAATTAATAAATTTGTTTTATTCAATAAAAATTAAAATTGATTATTATTGAAAATTAGATCACTTGAAATTTAAATTAAAAAGATTGCCTTGAAATTTGGATAGTTTAAAATTTGAATTGAATAAAAATCAAATTGATTAAATTGATATTTGATTGGAATAATTCTATTGTATATATATATATATTTTTTTTTTTCATTTAAAATGAAATTGCAAATCTTTTTTGTAAATCTTTTTTTTTACTAAATTGAAGGGTTTTTTTTCAAGTTTAATTTTGTTTTATTCTAAATAAACTTTTTTGCAAATATTTCTAAGTTCCTATTAAGAAAGAATTAGATAGTCAAAACAAAAATTATTCGAATTTCATATTTTCAATAAAAAAAAAATTGTTTAGAATTAAAAAATGAGTAAAAATAATTCAGTAAAAAGGGGAGGAATTCTATTATTTACATTTTGAATCATTAAAATTTGCATTTGGTTAGAAATTAAAAAAATTTCACTCCATGAAACAATGGACAAATTTTAAGTTATCTTATCTAAATCGTTTTCTACTGTTGAAAAATTGTATGTAATTTTTATTAAAATGAAACTTTTAATGGTTCAAAATGTAAAAAATTAATTATAGTTTACATTTAAACTTTAAAATTGTTTTTTTTTTATTTAAAGATCTGAAAATATGAAGTTGGACTAACTTTTGTTTCAATTGTTTGCCTGATTCTTCCTTAAATATATTGAAAATTACTTAATAGTTAATAATAAAAAAAATATTTATTAATTAATTAAATTTATTAAATGTTCGACTTTGTACTACTATTTTTTTAATTTAATGATACATTTTTTTAGTATCATATACTTTTATTTTCTCTTTTCGAAAACGAATGTATTTATAATGAAAAATATTTTCTTTTTACAGACAGGAAATCTTAACTCCCGGTCGATGGGAACCTGGAACTCCAGCATCAAACAGAAGTCGTGGACGATTGGGATTATGAATTTGACTAATAAAAATGATCCTTAGCACAGTATTTTTGTCTTCTGATAGTAGAATTAAATTGAAAAACTTTGAATTTCCTATTTTTTTTCTTTGAATTGTTTGCATTTTTTTTTTTTTTTTTTGATTTACCAACGATAAAAAAATATAGATAATAAACAAATAAATATTTATATGATAATATTTTATAGATATTATCTTTGAGGTGAATTTTAAAAATTGTATATAATTGTATATATAAATATTTTTTCGTAAATAATAAAAAGAGTTAACGAAATTTGTTTATTTTTTTGTTGTAAAAATTTTGTAAAATTTAGCTTAAGTTTCTTAAGAATTTCTATATTTAACGGAATTTTATTTTAATAGAAATTATATTCAACCAAATTTACTTTTAGCAGAATTTCTATTTAACTGAATTCTTATTTAATAAAAATATTCGATCAAACTTTCTTTTAGCAGAATTTATATTTAATTCAATTTTCATTCAGAGGAATTAAATTTTTTTTTTTAATTTCGACTGCGTCACTAAGGGGTAACAAAAATTTATTAAGAAAAATTAAGATTATTTCTATTAAAATTTATCTTAATTGAAAATTAGAAATTTCTTTCAAATCAATTTTATGAACACAAAATTTCTATATTAATAAATTTTTAATAATAAAAATGAGGACTTATTACTTATCCTTCTTTAAGGTAAATTTTTGATTTAAAATTCGATAAATTGAAATTCTGATAGTTTAAAATTTAGATCAATTAAATTTGAACTCATCTAGAATTAAAAATAAAAGCAATTAAAATACTTTCTTTATGGAGAAGAAATTTAAAGAAAATCAGTTTGAAATCTATTAAAATTTTAATTGTAAAAATTTACACTTTATCGAATTTTCAATGAATTTAAAACCGAATAGATAAAAATTTCTATCGATTATATTAAATTTTAATCGTCTGAATTTATGATTTATTAAAATCAAAAATTGACTCTAAATCCTGTAAAAATTTGATAAGATTATATATATATTTTTTTTTGAAAGAAAAGAAAACAATTATTATATACCCGTGAAGATGTTTATTCCCGGAGGTATTTTTTTTTTAATAAATTTTTTTCAGTTTTATCATTTTACAAATTATTTATATGATACCAATTTTATTCGCTACATCAAGAGCATCATAGTCCCTTGCCAAACGAACATAGGCTTTCTTTTTGCCATCAGGCCTGATCAATGTATTCACTTTACTAACATCAATGTCGTAAAGTTTCTTCACTGAACTCTTAATATGATATTTATTTGCACGCGTGTGCACAATAAATACAAGAGTGTTATTATCCTCAATTTTCTTCATAGCCGCCTCCGTTGTCAACGGATATTTAATAATGTTAAAAGCGTCCATGCTAAAAATTTAAAATAATATTTTAATTATTATTCATTTCATAAACAATTAGTAAATATATCATTTTTTTTAATTATTGTCAGTATTGCGTTAAAGTTTTGTTTTCAGAGTTTCTCAAAGAGATTCCCACACATAAATCATCATTTTTTTTTTGTTTCTTTAAAAGGAGAATTTTTAATTGAAATATTTCAGGTAAATTGTGAAAAAATAAAAATTGGAAATTAAATTCACTTACCGATTCCTGTTAGGGACACTTTTGCGGGGATATTTTGGATCTCTCGGCGGTCTGAATGTTTTTGGCCGATGAAAGTGGACTGACGTCCTAATCTTTCGTACACGTGATCCATGAACTCCTTTTAGGATCTACAAAAAGAAAAAAATTTTCTCAATTTTCCCCTATCAATAAATATTTCAAAAGTAGATTTTTTAATTTAATTTCAGTATTGCGTTAAAGTTTTGTTTTCAGAGTTTCTCAAAGAGATTCCCACACATAAATCATCATGTAAGAGACATTTGCCTCTTTTGTTGAAGCGAAATAAAATTTTTTAAAAAAATATTTTAAATATGAAATAAATAAAAAATTATTAAAATAGAAAGTGTTGATTATAAATTAATTTAATTTAATTTAAAACAAACAGGGTGTCTAACAACTACTAGGAAAAAACTTTCCTAAATTTTCCCTGACTTAAATTAGACTAAAAGATTTTTATTTTGATCAAATAAAATTTATTTTGATACAATTAAATCATTTACCTGTCTATTATCCACTAATTTCATATGTATTTGAACCAAATAAATAATGTTTCGTAAAAAATAAAATATTTAAGAGAAATAAATAAACTAATTGGGGTGCGTATAAATATTCTCAACATTTTAATTTAAAAGAATTTTTGCGGCGTCAAATCTTAAATTATCAAATTTTTATTTAGTAAAATTATATAAAGCAGATTTTCTAGTACATCGAACTTCAAATTAATACAATTTTAATTTAACAAAATTTATGTCAAGAAAAATTGCATGAAAAAAAATCTTTTTAACAGAATTGTTATTTTAGTAAATTTCGATTGATCAAAATATTTACTTAACAGAATTGTGATTGAATAAATCCACAATTAACAGAAATTCTATTTAACAAAATTCTTAATTAACAAAGTTTTTGTTAAAACAAATTTTAATTCCAAATAATTCTTATTTAATAGAATTCTCATTTAAGAAAAATTCTACATAGTTCTTTTTTTTTGTCAATTTTTATAGACATAAATTTCGTTAAATTGAAATTATATTAATTTAAAATTTCTAAAAAGTTTTAGAAAAAATGTTTTATAAGAGTTCTGCTAAATAGAAATTCTTTTAAATCGAATTTTAGTTAAATGTAAATTGCAAATTTTGTTTAATATAAAATTCACTTTATACAATTTTGCTAAATAGAAATTCAATAAATTAATATTCGACGCCGTAAAAATTTTTATAAGTTAAATGTGGATATTAGCAATAAATAATAAATTATTTGTATTAATGAATAATTTACTTTATTTGAAGTTGAACCGATAAAATAAAAATGTATCAAATAATTTTTATTTTTATTAAAAAACCAAATATTTCACTGAAAAAAATTAATTAATTGTTATCAAAGTTCAGGCCTCGGATCGACTTAAAGGCACAAAAAAAGTCGTTTTAGTCGATTTATGTTCCAAAGAAAGTCGAAAAAGTCGATTTTTTTTATTTTAACAAAAATAGTTTTACAGATTTTCAAATAAAAAATTTTTTTTTAAATAATAATTTTAGAAGACTTATAAAGTTGAAATTTTTAGAAATAATTGAATTTCAAAAGATTTTGTTAATTTTCAGACAATAATTAAATTTTACAGAATTAAAAATAATTTATTAAATAATTTCAGATAACATTTTTTAAAAGTAATTGAATTTTCAACGATTTAGAATTGAGATTTTTGAAATTAATTGAACTTCAAGTGATTTTTAATTAAAAAATGGTTTCAGATAATTGAATTTTCGAATAATATTATGAAAATAGTTAAAGATAATTGAATTTCAGGAGAGAGTTATAATTGAAATTATTAAATTTCAAACAATTTTAGATGGTAAATTTTAAAAGCTTTCAAAATTGAAATTTTGGATAATAATTGAATTTTAGTTGATTTTAGATTGAAAATATTGATAATAAATAATTTTGAATTGAAATTTTTGAGAATAATTGAATTTTAGTTGATTTTGAATTGAAAATTTTGAAAATAATTGATTTTGAATTGAAATTTTGGAAAATAATTGAATTTTATTTGATTTTGAATGGAAATTTTGGAAAATTTTCTGAATTTTAAAAGAGTTTGAATTGAAAATTTCGTAAATAATTGATTTTGAATTGAAATTTTGGAAAATAATTTAATTTCAAAAGATTGTGTTAATTTTCAGATAATAATTATTATAATAAAAGAAATTTCTAATAATTTCTGTTGATGAAGAATTTATTAGAATTTTTTGGTAATTTTAGTTTGTTAATTTTTTTTAAATTATAAACAATTATTAAATTTCATAAAAATTTTAATTGAAAAATAGTTTAAAATAATTGAATTTGTGATAAATTCCATTAAAATTATTAAAAATAATTAATTTAGTGAAAAGTTTTAGTTAAAAATTTGTTAAATAATTGAAATAAAAATCTGAAGAAGATCTGCATTTTATACTAAAAAAAACGTATTTTATTCAAAAGAAAATTTTTTTAAATTTAAAAAAAAAGTCGAAAAAGTCGCATTTTATTAAAATAAGTCGAAAAAAGTCGAAAAAGTCGTATAATCCGAGGCCTGTATAAATTTATAGTATAAATTATTTATAATAAGTTATAAAAATAAAAATAGAATTTAAATTATTAAAATTTTATTTATTTAAAAAATGAAAATAAAATACCTTCTTTTGTGCTTTCAAAGCCTTTTGTACAGTTGTTGGAGCTTTTCCTCCCTTGGGAATTTTCTTCGCGGGTTTAGCCGCTGCTGGTTTTTTCGCCGCTGCCGCAGGTTTTGCTGGTGCTTGCTTCTTCGCCGGAGCTTGTTTAGCGGCTGCAGGCTTTTTGGCAACTGCAGGTTTTGCTGCCGGTTTCGTTACTTTCGATGTCGAAGAAGCTGCGGTTGCTGGCTTCTTTTCTGTCTTTTTCTCTGCGGACTTTTTGTCCCCAGACTTTGCGCCTATAAATTGAAAAAAAAATTTAATTTCTTTCAATTTGAAAAATAATTTTTCGAAATTTCATTTGAAATGAAGTTGTTCACACATTTTTGACTATCATTCTTTTTTTCCGTACAAAAAAAACGTGAAACACTAAAACGCAAGTTTATTTAAGTTATTAATTTTTTTATTAATCAGGGCTAATCAGTTATGTAGTTACTAGTTATTTAGATTAATTACAAAAAAGATTTGAAAATACGCAATATCTTTTGTGACACGAAAACATAAAGCACAAGACATTTTTTTTGAGGTTAAGTTGTCATGGTTTGTCATTGTTAAAAGTCTACGATAAACATTTTATATTTTTCCACTTACTAAATAAATAGAAATAATGATAATAAAATAATTGTAAGTAAAAAAAAAAAGCTCAATATTTACGACAATAGAAATTGAAAGCAGTTCAACAATAAGAAACAGAATGACCACATGGCAAAATGTGATATTCTGTTTATTTTATTAAAAATGTATTTTCAATAAAAAAGCTAGTGAATTATTTATTAAAAAAAGCATACATGATTTATAAATTTTTAATAAACACTAGATATATTATAGAAATAAGAATTTTATCAGAAAAATATTCACCTGCTTTTTCCGTAGGTTTCGGTTTGGGAGCCATTTTTAGCTAAAAGGAGGATAGGTCCGATCACGGCAACCGGAAACACTAACTACTAAAATCAAAAGCGGATATTGAATATTGAAAATAGACTACGTTAATCAGTTTTTTATTCAAAATTTAAAAAAATTATTCTTATTTATAACTTTTTTTTATAGAAATTGCATTTGAATTAAATGTAAGAGCTTATAACATACAATATTTACAATGGTATATAATAAATAATTAAATAAATAAATGAGAAATGTATATACAAACTCCAGCCCCTGGCAAAGAGCTTTTTTACCTGATCACTCGTACATCGGGTTTAGAATTTTTTTTTTAAACTAAATTCAAATTTTCAATCAATTTTTTTGTATTAACAATAACAATAATATTCTTTTTAAACAAAAACTATTTCAAAAATTAATTAAAATAAAAATTAACTCCAGTTGAATATTTTAATAAAAGATTTAATTGAAATATAAAAATTTTAATTGAAAATTTTTTCGTCAAAAATTTGTTTTTTATTAAAAATATTTAATTAAATATCAAAAAAAGGATAAATAATTTTTCACATTTTTTTTTTTTTTTTTTTTTTTGATATCGATTAAAAATGGAATAGTGGGTTCGTTTATAATTTTTGAACATTCGTCATTACATGCCCGCATGATCCCTTCCTTTCAAAAAAATAGAAACATAGGAACACCTGCCTCAGCAACGCGTGTTTTCATTTTAAACTAGGAATCAATCAGTATATAGTGATACATACATAATATATATTTTCTACAAATTTAGGAACAATTTTCCTTCCATTTTTTGTAAAAAAAAAAAAAAAAAACGTTAATTACACCCTTAATGAGGTTTTCATTAGAATATATAAATTTTTATGTGTAAAAAAAAAATAATAAATAAATTTTTAAAAAATGCTACAAACACGTTCTGCAGTATTTAAAATGATGAAAACTGAAGTTCACGAAGACAGACAGGTATTTTTTTATTATATAATTAATATGTAAATTAAGTATAAAATTTATTTAAAAAAAAAATTATTTTACAAAATTAATTTAATTAAATTTATAATTCATATAATAAATTTAATATTGTATAATAATTAATATATTATTAATAAATAATTCTATAATTATAATTATGAATAATTAATAATTTATTGTAATTATTATATCATTTTGGTAAAAATTATTATTTGGTTTTATTAATTAGTAATTAATCTATAATTATTTTTTTTTGTCACTATCACAAAAGTAATAAATAAAAATTAAATTTCAAATAATAAATTAATAGGTAACAGTTTTCTCCTAAATTAATTTTTTTTTTTTTAAATTGACAAAAAAAATTGTTTTCTTCTAAATTGACAAAAAAATAATTTTTTATTTTTATTTATTTATTATTATTATTATTATTATTATTATTATTATTATTATTTTATTTTTATTATTTTCATTATTTAAATAAATGTTTAAAATATTATTTTTACCAAATAATTTTCAGATTAAAAAGTGGCAACCGCCTTTCTCCTCAGATATAACGCCATATAAAGAAAAAGAATTTTCTCAACAAATTCGTCGATTTTGTTGTACAAAATCTATTTTTCCAAGAATGACAAAAGTCATTGTTTTAGGTGACGTTGCTGTTGGAAAAACATCTCTAGTGAATCGGTAAAAATTTTTTGTTCAAAATTAAAAACAAACATTATTTGTTTATTTATTTATTTTTTTTTAATTAATTAACATTTCTTAATTTATAGAATTTTTTTCAAAAAAAAATTTTTTTTTTAAATTAAATAACATCTCTTAATTTATAGAATTTTTTCCAAAAAAATTTTGTTTTTTTATGTAAATTAAATTAACTGAAATTCGCTTAAAAAATTAAAATAGTTCTTAAAATAATTTCAAATTGAAATTAATTTTTTTAACTATAGTTTTTGCCACAAATCATTCAACAATAATTATAAGGCAACAATAGGAGTTGATTTTGAAGTGGAGAAATTTGATATTTTGGGAGTTCCATTTAATATGCAAATGTAAGTAAAAATATTTTTAATCTCATAATTTTATAATATTTTATAATAAAATAAATTATATTCTATTTATACAAGAATTTAATTTGAATTTCAAAAATAAAAATTTTTTTTTTAAATAACAAAAAGAAATTAATTATTTTCAAGTAAATAAAAATATTGAACAATTTTATAATTCCTTTTTGTAATAAAATGTAAATTAATAAAAATAACTAAATAAAAAGATAATAATAATAATAATAATAATAATAATAATAATGATTTATATAGATGGGATACTGCTGGACAAGAGAGATTTAAATGCATTGCAGCATCATATTATAGAGGAGCTAATGGTATAAATTTAAAAAAAAATATATAAATTTTTCCCAAAAAAATTAAATATACATTTGCCGAAATTTTTTTATTTTTATTTTCAGTAATAATGATAGTTTTCGATTTGGGAAATTTAATGTCTCTATCTCATTGCAAACAATGGTTAAAAGAAGCCAGTCAATGTAACACAAATTCGTATCATATTTTTCTAATTGGTACCAAACGAGATTTATTGGTAAGTATTATCTATAACTTTTAAAAAAGTCTCAATATTCTTATTTTTAAATTTAATTATATCTTTTTATTAAAATTGTTTTCAATATATTTTTTTTCCACTTAAAAAATTGTATTTCAAAATAAAAACCTTTTTTCAAAATTATTTTTAATAAATATTTTCAAAATTATTTCTAATAAATTTTTTCAAAATTATTTTTAATAAATTTTTTTAACTCTTGAAAAATATAGCGTTTTTTTTTTAAAATATAATCTAAAAAAATTTGTAGATAAAAATTATTTACAAAAAAAAATTGCTTTTTTTGTAAACAATTTAATTATTTCTTTCATTTTCTTTTGTTATAAATAAATGTTTGCGTGCTTTTTTATTTATTTTGTTTTCTTTTAATTTTAGTCGAATCAAGTATATCAAATTATTGAGAAAAGAGCAACGGCAGTGTCATATTTTATGAAAGCTGAATTTTGGGCTGTTTCATCAAGAACAGGCGATGGTGTCAATGAATTATTTTCTCGAATTGCAGTTCTTTCATTTAATGCTTCCATTTTAAGGGAACTTCAAAGTTACAAGACAGATACCAAAACAATTGGATCACTTGGATTAATAAGTGAGTTCTGGGTTTTTTTTTCATTTTAATAATTAATTTAAATAATTTTTATAAATTTAAATTATTTTTTAAATTGTTTTCTTCCTAAATTAATGTTTTTCATTTATTATATTATTTTATAATAATCACAACAATAATAATTATTATTATATATTAATAACAAATTTTATTTATTTTAGCTCTAAAGAAAGATCAAAACGGATCAACAGAGAAGAACAAAAAACTCCAAAAATGTACAAATTGTTCATTCTAGTCATTTAAATATAAGTACTTAATAATTTATTATAAACTTTTTTTTTCTAAAATTCTATATTATTCCCCAAATTGCAATGGTAATTATTTTTAAAGTTGAATAATTTTAGAAAGTATCAGAATTTTTTTATTAATTTACTTATTCTTCTTTTTCTAGTCAATTATAAAAAAAAAAAATGTAAAAATTAAATATTTTCATAAAGTGTATTTATTGTGAAAGAGTTACACAGTTTTAGATAAAAGTCATTTTAACAATACTTTTGTGCGATAATAAACATCATTTGGTCGGAATCGTTTTCAAATATCAGATGCAGTCTATTTTTGACCCTCAGCTAAAAAAATTATCATCAAATATAAATAAATTTATATTATTATTATAATAATTATTTATTTTTCCAAATATGAGAGATGAGTTAATAAAATTTCTATTTATTATTATTAAATAATTTTTCTAAAGCTGAGCATAAAATTCATTCTCAAATTTGCGAAACAAATAATTTAATTAATTATAAATTGTAATTAACTATTTTTAAGTGAATTATTTTAATTACATTTTTTCCAAATGAAAAAAGTTGACTTTACAACAGAAGAAATTCAATAAAAAAAAAAAAAAAAAAAAAAAAAAAAAAAAAAAAAAAAAAAAAAATGAAAGAATTTATAAGAAGCTTATTAAAAATTTCGTAATTTGTGAGTTTTAAAAACAATTTTTTTTTCTAGTGGATGTGAGAAACAAAATTTTATTTCTCTCTCTCTCTTATCTTTCTCCCTGTCTCTTCTCTATTATTTATTATAAATTGACTCGTATATGAATAAGAAATATTTTCTTAATTTCAACAAAAAACATAAAGCAACCGATAATAATTCATAATATATATATATAAAAAAAATAATTACATTTACATTTTATTGAACGTAAATAACATCAACTTTTTCAATTATTTATCTCGTTTCAGTTTTTTTTTGTCCCTCACTCCCCATCAATCACATTTTGTCATGACTTTACTCCCTTAAAAAAATAATAAACAAACAAATGCACGCAAAAAATTAGTTTTCGTCATTCTTAACATAATTGCAAACTAAATTTTGTATTTTGAAAAATGAATATAAAAATTTAAAATGAAAATTATTAATTAATAGTTCATTAATTATTAATATAAGTTATTCTACAAACTTTTTATTTTCTTAGATTAAAATTTACTTTTATTATAATTTAATTTTATTATTCTGCTAAATAATATTTTTTTTTTTCTGATCTCAAAATCAGAATTTTTAGTTTGAAATTATGTCAATGAAACGAACACAAAAAAAAGGAAACTTAAATTCTATAAAACTCTGAAACAAATTCTGTCAAATTATAATTACAACTCTTAAATGCAAGTAATGATTATGTAGAAAATCTGACCACTTTTTTTTCACGCAGATTGAAAAAGTTATATATAAATATTATACATAAAATTTTTCAAAATTGTCAATCAATTATAATGTAAAATTTTCCAAAATCCATTCAATAGATGAATGCGCGTACAAACAGTTATTATTGTTATAATTATTATTATTATATATATAGCTATATTTATAATGCGCATTTTTCAGCAAATCAGACGTGTCCCAAGTCAGCTGTACATTTACAATATACATATATAATATATATTTTTATTTTTCTATATCTAAACATGAAATTATAAAAGGACACAACTGATTAATATAATATATTATAAGATTTATGAAAAAAAAAAAAAAACGAATAAATTTTTCTACGAGTGACATTTACAATATTCACTCACAAAAGTACTTTCTATAGTTTCGCACGCAACATTCAATTTGCAAAGAAATTGCGAAAACTTTCAATGAATCAACAAATGTTTCATCGCTATTATAATATTTCGCAAAATTTATAAAATCATTTTATATCTTTTTAGCCTAGATTTATATTAATAATAATAATAATAATATACAGACGTTGAATGTAGCTTAAAATAAAAAAGGTACATACATATATAACGTACACATTAATTTTTTCATTAATTTCCCTTCGAGACAAAAATTATATATTACAAAAAAAAATAAAGATTTTAAATTCAAAAAAAAGAAAAAAAAATTATCACTTTTTCTAGAAAATAATAATTTTTGGGTCAATTTAATATTATTTTGACTAAATTCGACGCCGACTAATTTTATTAGTTATTTGCAAAAACAATTTAGATTTTAGGATTATGAAATAGAATTTTATTGAAAAATTTGATATTGTAAACTATGAATTTAAAAAAAAAACTGTTAGTAGAATATATATATATAACGTACATATTAAGTTTTTCATTAATTTCCCTACGAGACAAAAATTATACAAAAAAAAAGAAAAGTTATAAAATAAAAGAATATTAATTTTTTCGAAATTTTTCAAAATGTTAATTTTTTAAATAACTAATTTTTTTTGTTAATTTTTTTCCCCTAAATTTTCACTTTTTCCAAATATTAATTTTTTAAATTTTTCTGCTTAAATTTTGCCTTTTTTCAAATATTAAAATTCTCTGTTCTATATATTTTAAATTCAGAATTGTTCTACTATAGTTTAAAAAAAATAATATTATTAAATTATTGCCAATATATACAAATAATAATTTGGGCACTAAATTAAAGTTTGAATGACGAGAAAAAAATAAATTGTACCCTGTAAATATATATCACAATACATATAATATCTATATAGTAACGAATAAAGAGAGTTATCGGCAGATATAATTATTTAATTTTAATATTTAGTCGGTAATATTTAATTCAAATTTTGTAGCGCGCTTTTTCATAATTATGAATTATTCTTTCTATTGCCTTTGATTTCTCATGAGAGAAAGTTGTAAAAACTATTTCTGTTTAAGTGCAGTGCAAATTTATCAATAATGTCTCATATGAGATATTATCCAAATATATTTGGATTAGCTGACAACAATTATAAGTTAATTTAAATAATAATTGATATTTAAATTACTTCAATCTTTTTATTTATAATATTCCTAACATCCCATTCCCTTAATTAACTTTAATAATGATATCTTTTTTCGGGCAAACCGTCATTATATTTGATTTATTTTTAATTACAATATTTGTAATTAATATTACCGATTATTCAGTTTTATAATTTTTAATTAAATAACTCATGACTAAAAATTTATCAAAAAAAAAACAATTAAAAAATATTTTTGATTAAAGTCGGTGAAATAAATGCTTAATAAGATGAGCATACTAAATTATCGAAGTAAAAAAATAACATAAAAAAAATAACTAAAAATAAAATTGCATAACATTGAGAAATTATACAAATAATTTGACTAAACGTCATGTAGATAAAATTTTTTCAAAATTCTACTTCGTCTTTTGCATTTATCGAATTCTGTCAAAGAATTCTTAAATGCTAATTAATATGGCAGTTTTCATCTCCCCATTTTTAATTGTCTTACAAATTTCACGAAAAAATAATTTTTGATTCGAATTCGCAAAAATCCGAAAACAAACATATCAATTATACGATATTTTTAATTTTTGTATCAAAAACTTTTTTGAATAAGACAAAAAAAAACGAAGTTCAAAAAAAAAAATTTGAAAAGACCTTTTTGGAAGACAAATTAGAATACTAACATTAAGGAAGACTTTAATTTTCTTTTCTCCATCTGTAGCGTTTGAAAAATGTAAAAATTCTTCGAGATTCATAAAATACAGAAAGCAATAATTCACTACTTTTGTTTTAAAATAGTTAAAAACACATTATTCCCGAGAATATACTGGCCGACATTGTGAAAAATACTTTTAATCGAGATAGAGAAAAGAATTTCTTTTTTTGTCCCTTATAGATTCTAGAAGCTTAAATAGATTCGAAATAAAATACATTTTTTTTTGTTTTTGTATGCTGATGTAAAAACCTGCTTCTACATACCTATTATGTATAATATTATTATATATAAAAAAGTTTATCCAGATGCGTATCAAAGATTCAGTCTCAAAAAATTAGGCGGTGCTTGTGTGACTATTTGTGCCACTTATTGCGCTAAATAACGCTGCACTGTTACGTTTGAAGCTTCCAATTTGATCGTCCGACCATATTGGCTCACCTAATAAAGATGATAAATTCTGGCACAGCTTTTGATAATTTTCACGTAAAACTTCTTGATATTCATGTTGATCAGATGATATTAATTTACCATTAATTTGTAATGCTGTGTAGCAAATTTTCACAAATTCCCTATTAAAACAAAAAAACATATACAACAATGAAAAAAATTAATGGAACAAAAAAAAATATATATCTGTCTAAATAAAAAAAAAAAATTCTTTTCTCTTAAATATTTTTTAAAATTAGAAACAGGGTGTCTAACAACTGCTAGGAAAAAAATTCCCCGACTTTTCACTGACCTAAATTACAATAAAAATTTTTTATTTTGATAAAATTATTTATATAAGTTATTTATTTATTTTTATAAGTTAAATGTGGTTATTAGCATTAAATAATAAATTATTTGTATTAATGAATAATTTACTTTATTTGAAGTTGAACCGATAAAATAAAATTGTATCAAATAATTTTTATTTTTATTAAAAAACCAAATATTTCACTGCAAAAAAATTAATGAATTGTTATCAAAGTTTAAAGAATCATTTATTAGATTCAATAAATAGTAGTAAATAATTATTTACTTAATGAATATAAAATATATCATATGCTAATTAATTGAGTGTGAAGGCCAACTGTTTAATTTGTATTTTCTTTGGGAAAAAAGTAAAAAAAAATTTTGAAACTAATAGTTACTTTAATTTATTCATAAAAAATTTCAGAAAATTAAAGAAATTCCCTGACTTTTCCCTAACTGTTCGACACCCTGAGAAAATATTAAAAATGCCTACAAAAATTAAAATATAATAAAAAATATAGTCCAATTAAAAATAGTAATGTAAAAAATTTGACTATTTACCTAAAAACGTCTTTTAATTCTTCGACTTTATCGTCGGGATATTGTGGAGAGAGGGCAGGATCTAAAAAGGCGGAAGCGTAGGCCAATGGTCCGGCGTTAACCGTGACACAAACACTTCCCTGCAACCTGAGTTGTAATTTTTTTGCATCAGTTGGAACAATTAATGCAACATCCTCCAATTCTTGAACTCTCTGTCTCATTTCATCTAAGGCAACTTCAATTGGACTAAGCTCCACAATTCGTTTCTCAATAATGGGAATTCGTTTCTTTACATATGGGAATGTATAGTGAGCTGTCAAAATAATTAATTCACAAATTTAACTAAATTTTCAATAAATAATACTAATAATAATAAATAATAATTTAGTTTAGAAAAAATAAATGTTTAAATTTAGATTGATGTGAATAAATTTAATATTATAAATAATAATAATAGTAGTAGTTTACTCGTAAGGATGCTTCTTCGTTTCCATTGTTCTTCAGGACTTCCTCTAGCTTTTCCCTCTTTTGTGAATGGCGTTTCAAACATAAAACACGAAACATCGTGATTTTGTTCAAATTCCGTTGGACGTATTTCCAATTCATTTTTTTCAAAATAAGGAGTCACGTGAGTCACTTGAATGTAGGCCATTTTAGCATCCAATTCAGTAACATCGACGGGCGTCGAGTCCATTATCATTTTCACATTCTCAGCTGCAAATTTTTCCGAATAAAGATGATAAAGTCGTTCGGAAATTTCTGAAAGTGACGTTACTTTTGGTTCCTTATAAATATATTCCTGTGCATTTTCCTCCTCAAAGTATGCCTAAAAATTACGAGCAAAAAAAAAAAAATACAAAATTTAAAATTAACGAAAAATATAATAATTATAGTTTATTAATATTACATAATAATAGTATTATAATCATATTTTTCATTTTTTTTTTTAATTACTTTTATGTATTAGTTTATTGTCAATATTTCTTTTTATTATTTTAATAATTAATTAATTTTATGATTATTATTTTAATTTTAGTTTTATTAAATTAATTGATAAATTATTGGGAGAAAAAAAAACTCACAGAACCAAAGAATGCAACACGATAAAATCGACCCAAAAGTCTTTTTCCAGTTCGAGTGACCTCAACGACTTTATTGCACGATTGTGTTAAATGTGAATAACAATTGGATAGAGCTTCGTAATTTCGTTTTCTCTCGTACATGGGAATAATAAGTCGATAAAGAGGTCCCAAAACTTCGAAGCGCTCCGCTTTTTCCAACATCTCGGCACACATTTCCAATTGTTCCAAAAGCAAACTCTCATTATAATGAATGTCTTGTACACCTGGTGAAAAAAAAGAAAAATATTATTAATAAAAATCAATTCCAAATTCAATAATTACAGCACGAGATGAAACGAATATCACAATGAAATTTTACGGAAAGCACACATCAAAAAAAAAAAAAAAAAAAAAAATATTATCTACAGGTAGAAAAAAAGTGAAATTAAAAAAATAATAATTTTAAAAGCACAAAAATGTCTATTTTCTACGTTTCAAAAAATTCAATATAAAAAAATCAAGGATAAATTGTGAATTAAATTTAAAAAAAAAATTAATTTTAAAGGTACAAAAATGTCTATTTTCTACGTTTCAGAAAAATCAAGGAAAAATTGTTAATGAGAATGAAATAAAAGCTGGAAAAATAAACATTCACGACATACAACTCTCACCAGCATCGACCTTCAGTCCTCGCTCATCACGACTAATATTCGTCGAAATAGTATCAAAAGCCTCGGCGCCCCATGTGTGAATTTTTTTCAATTTTAAATATTCTGCCATTAGAGCAGCGATGTGCAATTGACAACAAGCCGCCTGAAAATTAATATAAACATTAAATAATAATTAAAATTTACTTATATAAATAGACAAAAATATATTTTTCATTCTAAAGTTAATTTTTATTTTTTTTTTTTAATTTCTAATATTTAGAAGTAAATAAATAAAATTTGTAATAAATAAAGTAATTTATTTCCATTACCTAAAAATAAGTTATTTATTATGAACTATATAAATTTATAAATAGAGTCAACTATAATTATTAATACTGTTATTTACTTAAAATTTGATTTCAATAAATTAATTATATTAATTTTGCAATTAATTGAGTATAAAAAAAACATACTTCTGAGTAATTTCCATCTCTTGCATGATTTCTCGCCATTGTTTCAAGCCAAGTGTGTCTCAACTCCGGTGTACTGGCATAAGAATTCGCTAAACTATGTTGTAAATCGACCAACATTTCTGGATCATTATTGTGTTCTCTCATTTGTGCCGTTGCCATTAAAACTGTTCTAATTCTCTTATTCAAGTCTTTTACCTCAACTGGAAAACCCGTGCCCTTCATAACTTTATCAGATGATGCATAGCTATTAATTAGGGACAATGATTCTTGAAATCTTGAATTATTCAAGCCAATCACGTTTCCCAACATTTTTGACACAGAAATAATTACCTATTGACGACAAAAAAAAAGGGGGAAAAAAATTATTTACTTCTTATTTAATTATAATCTTGACGATACGAGATTTTTTATTGAAATTAATTTTTAATTTTCAAATGCATTTTGAAATATTTCTACACAATGTTTTTAACAAATATGAAAATTGGATACTTTAAGAATTCTGTCAAATAACAAAAGTTTGAACAAATGAAAATTAAGGGAAATAGAAATTGTCATTTAAAAAATTCAACTTCATAGAAATTCTATTCTATAATAAGAATCCAATTAAATGAAAATTCTATAATAAATCATGACAAATTGACTTAAAATTAATTCTTTATAAAATTCAATAAAATAGAAATTCGATCTTTCAAAGTTTAATCCATTAATAATTTTTGATTATTAGTTTTTGAAAATATTTACTCGCGTTAAATTGATGTTGTTGTTGTTGAAATTTTGAATAAATACCTGCAAATGGACTCGAATTAATCCTTTTCTACTGGTAAATTCAAAATTACTTCTCATGAGCAAGTAAAGTAAGGCACATGATTCTTGTCTAATTGAACTCAGTTTACTATTGCAGCATCTCAATAATTCGTAACACAATCTTCCACACAATATTGCATTACCTGTCAATGGAAATTTTTCAAAAAATTATAAAATAAACTAGAATTAAAGATAATTAAAAATAATTGAATATTTTACTAAAAAATTATTTAAATTAATTTTAATAAATTAATATAATTAAATAAAAAAAAATTTTTTAATGAATAAAGAAGAAAAAAGATCAAACCTCGAAACAAAACGACTGAATAATTATTCAAAAATGCTCGAAGACCAGCAAACACATGTCGAAAAAGTGTTTCCGATTGTCCAAGCTGAAGAAACATTAAATAAATATTGAATACCCTTTGCATCACTGGATTCCCACCATCATTGGTAAGTAACACTTCCTATAAAATTAATATTAATTAAATTTTTCAAAAATCTAATTATTTAAAACCGAAATGTTTATCTTTGAATTTAGGATTTTTCTCCGAAATTGAAAAATTACGATTACAATCTCATAAAGTAAAACCGAAAAATTAAATTAAATTTAAAAAAAAAAACGAACACTTAATGAAAAATTATTTATTACTTTATTAATTGTATTCAACTTACTTTAAAATGTATACAAAAAAGTCCTAGACAATCTAAAGCAATGAGACCAACTTCAGTCGCGAGATTCGCTTCAAGTAAGGCGTGATAACTTTTTCCCGAATCATTTTCCACTAAATTTTCACGTGCAACTGTATTATGTGGTTGTAATGTTCCAGTTGTTGGACTGTCATTTGAAAAATCAGGAGGCGCCATTCTCGCTGGCAATGTCATTGCTTTTGCTGCTCTTGGCTTTCCGCCTTCTTTTGCGACATTCGCGACAATTTGCCTTTTGCCCACATATCTAAAGTGCTGAAGACTCATTCTAAACAAATTTTTTCAAAAATTAATCAATAAAATTACATTTTTAAATAAACAAAATAAACAAAAAAAAAAAAAAAACACTTACTCAATGATTGTAAAGAAATTAAGTATTTCCGTATCGCTGCATTGTTGCCACCAGGCAATTATTTGATGATCGCCAAGATATTTAATAATAAATAGAAAACCAAGTAAAACATCTTTTACTTCGGACGATTGTAATTTATCACATCTATTCGACGATTGAACGACACTTAATGATCTCGAGTGACATTTATGTTCTTTGGTACCATTTTCCAATGGTTCACGAATTATTGTTGTCTCTTGTGAAATATTTGATTGCGATGCACCCGACATTGTTGAAACATCAGATTCAATACTTGTACATGAATATCCATTAACCATTGTTTGTCCAGCAATTGCTGCAAAATATGTCGAATCCCTTAAATGCATTGACGCTCTTATTGGTGATTGTGAATCCAAATGCATTGTGAGCCTAAGGGAAAAATATTTTTTTCAACTATTGAATATTTTACAGAAAAAAAAGAAAGAAATTAGGTGACGTGAAATAAATTGATTTTTAGTTTTTAAATGATAAAAATTAATTTTTTTTTTTTAATTTGGAATTTACAAAAGAATTTAATTATCACTTAATTATTGAAAATTTTCCAAATACCTGTGTATTGATTTTGGTGTACTGGCAGCAGTCACATTATTTGCTTCTTTACTTGTCGAGATGGAATTATTAATAGAAACTCGATTCGAATTTTGTTTAATATCCAATTTTTCTTCGTTGTATTCCAGTCGATGGAGATTTTCCAAAACAATGCTTAACCACGGAATGTAAAGTGACGAAATTCTACCCAATTGACCCTGAAAAAAAAACCAAAAAATAAAGTATTAATCATATATAAAAAAAGAAATCAAAATTCTTACGACATATTAATAAATTAATTTAAATAATTAGTTTGCTACAATTTTAAATTAATTAAACTTATATTACAATTTTAATTAAATTCTAACTGATTCAGTAAATTCAAATTAAATTGTATTTAAATTTAAAGTATAATGCGATTAAATTTCTAAATTCTCAATTAACAAATTAGAAATAAATAAAAATATGTAAATTTAAATAAATATAAATAAAATAAAGATAAGAAAATTAATTTCAAATTTCAATTAAATGTACCTTATTTTGATAGCGATCGTCCAATTCGTGTTTCGCTAATAAATCCCTTAATGTGGCAATAGCAATTTTTCGAACCTGTACAACTTCGCAGAGGGATGTCTTTACTTCTTGAAGTAATAGACCAACTAAGAAATGATGTTTACAAAAATCCTCCGTCAGACAATATTCATTCAGAAGATCTGTAAAATAACCTTAGTAAATAATCTCATTAATAAATTTGACAATTTCTCGAAATGTTCTAAAAATAAGACAAAAAAACATTATATATATATATATATATATATATATATATATAAATATAAATATATAAATGAACAACAAGCATAATAATATGATTTAATGAAAAAAAAACAATGTAATGAGCATAACAGAAAAAATTTAATAAAAGTGCTTCGTGATTTTTTTTTTTTTTTTGCAACAAAATTTTGCGATGTACACTAAAAACTATTTCTCCTCTTGAATTAGCTAAAATTTTCAAACAAAAAAAACAAATTCATTCAAGACAAGAACAGGGTAAAAAATCGAAATCGTTAAAAAAAATATACTATTTTATCTCAAGACAAAAGAATCGCATTCCAAAAAATGCGAAAAAAAAATTATTATTCATGAATTAAACATTTTTTTTAAGTAAAATTTGTTTACTAAAACTAAAAAAAGAAAACATTCCACTTATTGGAGTTTTCAGGCAGGAATTTAAAAAGGAATATAGTGGTGTGAAATAAAATAAAATAAAAAAATGTGCACAAACTCCCACTCACTATGGCTATTTTTTACAATAAAAAAAAAAACCACAATAAAGTATGGGAGTATATGAACGTTAATTTCACATACCATCACAATCTGGTTCTGTCTCTGTCTCTTCGGAGCCAGGCATAAAATTAATTACGTTTTATACACACATCACAAAAATTGAAAAATGAACAAAAAGAGAGAAAAAAAAAATAAATATAGGTAAATAATTGAAATAAGATTTAAACTCACCTCGAGAGGTTATTCGCGATTGCATCATTGGTAAATTGAAGGAAACAAAATGTTCATGTGAACAAATAACTTGAAGAAATGAAAATTTAAAATCATGTAGAGTACGTGGATCACCGGGTGCAAAATTATCCATATAAGAATTTATAAGGCGAAATACAAAACCCCTGTCCATAAAAGTTAAACATCTCTGCAAAAAAATATTTCTCATTATTAATTAATTTAATATTAATCAATTATTCAAAATTTACTTTTATTTATATAAATTTATTAAATATATTTTTTAAGAATTGAATTATTATTATTATTTCATTAATTATTAAATTTCAAATTTTCATTATTTTTTTTATAATTAAATAAATAAAAGAAATATTTGCAATATAGCTACTATTATATGAATTTAAAATAAAGAAATAATTTTCAATGATAAAAATTTTGTTTTCCTTAAATTTGTTTCTCTAGATGTACATATTAATTATTTAAAATATTTTCATTAATACCTTCAAAAAGTGGGCAAGACTTTTGTTCAACTCGTGAGTTTCCACAGGCATTTCTTTATATTTATTCATTAAATATGGCATAACAACTTCCAAAAGAGTTTTAATTTTCTCGTGATATTCTTTTGAGAATCTTTCATTTCTGTGCATCTGAAAGCAATTCATAAAATTTATTATAGTAATTAATAATAATAAAAATCGTTAATAAAATTTGCTTTAATTTTTTAAATAATTAAAAATATATAAAACAAAATGAAAAAAAAAATTAATTTTAAAAAATTCTCAACGATTTTATGTAATTTGCTACTTTATAAAAATGTATTTAAATTTAATAATTTTTTTGTTTTAATTTAAGAGACTTACCTTTATTCTTTCGGTGGTAAGTAAATGTTGAGCCATACTTTTAACCATGATTTCAAAAAAGAAACCAGAATGATGTAAAAATTTATTGACAACAAGAAAATCCGTGTTGCTTGGTTGCAGTAAAGTTGGCAGATGTCTTCCCAATTGTTCGTGAACAGTTGGATTACCATTTACCTTCGCCGGTGAGACAAAAACGAACTGTAAATTGAACAAACAAAAAAATTTTGTCTAATTAAGCTAATTATTTTCAAAATTTTAAAAAATCAATTATAGTAAATATTTTTATTTAAAAATTATCTAAAACACAATTATCAAATAATAATTTGAAAAAATTCTACAATTCTTTTTAATTTAAAATAAAAATTCGATAAATTAAAAAAATGCAAATACCTTAACGTAAGCTTGTAAAATTTCCTTGCGACCAGCTTCATGGACCATATTTATAATATGAACCAAAAGTCGTATGATGCATAGTCCAATTTCATCGCTTACATTACACGTTAATAAAGTGAAAAGTTGATTTAAAATTGTTGGCAAAAATGTGATAACAGTGACCAATTGCATTGCATGAGCTGCTTTCAAAATTTTACATGTCTCCGAATCCGAAGGCAATGCCGATGGTTTAGTTTCAAGAATTCTTTCCGCGTGAGCAAAAAAATTATGTAAATGTGCATCTCTCGTAAAAACCGTTGAATTCAATTGAAATCCAACAGTGAAAATTGGACGTTGCGAATCGATCCATGTTATTTCTGGACCAGCATTCTAAGATGTTAAAGAAAAAAAAGAAACAATTTTTATTAGAAAATTTTCAATTTCATTTACAATAATTAGAACCCAAAAAAGTGAAATTAAATAAAAAGAATAATTTTCTCATTTTAATTGTAAATTATAGAAACCCGAAAAAAGAAATTCCAAATTTATTTACTTTATGAAATTATTAATTCCACTTGTGCATGACCATTTTTGTAAACCAGTGTGATTTTCATATTCACAACATGCAAAAATTAATTTATTTACAAATCAGCATGCTTTGTGAAATTATGGAATTTTTATTGTGAATAATGCAAAGTAATATAAATTATGAAAAATAATTAACTCACTGTAAGATGAAAATTAAGAAGAAGAAGAAGAATCACAAGTCTCCTTGTTATATTTTAATTCAAAGAATATGTTTTTATAGAGAATAAAAAGAAAAAAAATTTTCTTCTAATAAAATGATTTTTAAAAAAGGAAAAGTATTTTTATTGAAATTTATTTTATTGAATACCGTAAAAAAGGTTTATTGTACTCAACGCGGGTAAATTCACTCACCGATTTATTTGCCTCCAATTATTATTTTTAAACTGAAATTCAAATTTGATACTTTTATGAACAAATTCAATATTTGAACTTGTTAATAAAAATTTTATTTTAAAGTTAATTTAAAGCAGATAAATCGATTATTGAATCGTATTTTATTTCATTTATTTATTTAATTTATCATATCTAGTGAGAATAATAATTAAAATTAAAGAATAAAAAACAAGAAAATGGTAATTCCGAAAAAATAAGGTAGAACCTTGAAAAACAAAAAATGTTTTTTTTTTTTTATTAGTGCGAGAGAGAACAATTGGATCTTACTCTTACCCCTTTTCCAAGACCAAGGGGTTGAATTGAAAGATACCCGGCTGGCAAATGTGTTGCAACTGGCAAAAGTTGAGCATTACTTTCAGTATCGACGTTCAATCTATTCGAAAATAAATAATTTACTAATTACAAAATTATAAAAATTAGAATTTTATTTTTAATAATTATTTTATATATAAAAATAAATTTTATAACGTTAGAGAGATAAGGTTTTTTTTTTTTAAAAATAAAGAGGATTTTTTTGTGTGTAAGTTACTGACCTTCCTTTATGAAGTAAAGGAAGCCAAGAATATCCAACGCAGTTCTCAATGCCGTTTTCCTTTTTTTTGTTCATGTCGCAACTTATGTGATAAAATGAAAAAAGAAGATGATGCTTCGTGTGTAGTTTTGTAGGTAATCTGAGTTTTATTTCCTCATACCAAGAAGGCACGGAATTGTGATGTAAAACTGCACACGATGCTCGCAAACACAAAAGAGGTCCATCTGGTCGTCCATAAATACACTAAAATAGTTATTAATTAAAATCATTAATCATTAATATTACAATATTATTATCTATTTATTTTTAAAAAAACAAAATATAATTATTATTATTGAAAAAAATAGAAATATTTCCTAAAACTAATTAGTTTCAATTTGCAGCGAAAAGAATTTGATAGTGCAAAATTTATATTTAACCAAATTTTATAAAATAAATAATAAAAATTAAACCTATATTTTAGTATTTTTTTATAAAGCGAAATTTCTACATTTTCGAATTCTTTTAATTCATCCATTAACTTTTATTTAATTGAAAATAAGATCTAAATTTTTAGTAAAAAGAAAATTTTTTTTTTTTTTAATATAGAAAGAATTTTTCTTTACTTACTCTCAATGGCTCGGCATTTTCATTGTCGTCATCTCGTAATTCAACAATGCAGGCAATATTTCTGGCTCTTGTGAAAATTTTTTGTGAATCAAAACAAAGACTCTGTGGATATACATAAAGATGATTGACAAACGTTGTGTAAGGATGAATTTCTTTTTCCAATGAACTTTCAAATTCAGCAATTTCAAATGTTGGTTCAGACGTTGGAGGCAGAGGAAATTGTTTTAACATTGCTAAAGAAGTCGTTAAACTGTCTGTAAAATAAATTTATTTTTAAATTACCGAAGCATTTCGAAAATAATTTTTTTTTTATTAATCATCATTAAAATAATGATAAAACTTACTTTCAGGAATATCTGACAGAGCTTCAATTTTTATTTTTAACCATCCAGGAATTACTGTCAATTTGTTGAGTTTTTCCGGTCTGAAATAATTCGTATATATGTTTCAAATGGAGAAAGAAAAAAAAATTGATTTTTATTTAAAAAATTTAAATTTTATAAATTCCAATTGTTTTTATTTAATAATTTTAAAATTTCATTTTACATATAATTCCAAATTTAAAAAATTCTTAAAAATTTTTTTAAATTAATTCAGATTATTAATTTAACAAAAAAAATTTAAAAACTCAAGATTAAAATTGTAATTCCTCACAATTTAATTATTTTTTAAAATCAATTAAAATTTTAAATCTAAATTATATTTGAAATTCAATTGTATTTTTATAAATTCACTCATTTTTATTGTAATTTCTTATATTTATTTATTGTAAAAAATAATAATCTTGCAAATCTTTTTTTTTTGAAGTTTTATTATTTCATAAATTTAATTATTTGAAATTGCATTTTTTTTTTATGTTCAATTATTTTGACAATTAAATTATTGTTCTTATATTCAATTACTATTTATGTATCTATTTTTGAAAATAATTGAATTTTTAAAAAAAATCTCAACAGAAATGCAATTATTTTTTCTAAAAGAAAAAAGAACTACAAATCTAAATATTTTTTAATCATTTTTGTTTTAAAATCATAATTTTTCACGTCTTGAAAATAAGAATTCATTTCTTCAAGAAGAAAAAGTTAAAAAAAATTTTTTTTTTGAATTCTTGGTGAAATTTTGGTTTTTTTAACCCGTCAAAATATAAAAAAGAAAAAAAACAGGAAATATTCTTGAGAAATAAAATTTTACTTACTTCCTGTACTCGGAGAGTAATTTCAACAATTCATCGTCTCTGATTTTATTCCCTTCTTGTCGATAAATTGCCGGAAAATCTGACGATGTATCCAACTCATTACTGTATAATCTAAATAAAGGTCGCGCTGACCATGCAAATGGCATTCTGTAATTACCCAATCTAAAAAAAAAAAGAAAAACATATTATTTCCCTTATTTTAAATGAACAATGGAAAAAACAAAAAATATAAATTCAAAATTATTCATCAATAAATCAAATTAGAACACAATTAATAAAAGTTAAAAAAGTAACTGGAAAAAGGAAAATTACCTTTGACAACAAGCTTTAACTTGTTTATGAACCTTAAGACCAAGACGTGGATCTTTAGTGGCACGCAAATATGGCTCAGATGTTTGATAAATGCTCCCCTGTAAAATCTTATCAATTCTAACGACAAGAAATATTTCTGGATGTGGATTATTGATATTAAAAATAGCCTGTTTTGCAAATCTTGCCCAATCGCTTGGTATTGTTGATAAATCATCGGGTAATTGAATATTTTTCGATATCTCCGTCATAACACTTGTTGGACTAAGTTCCTTAACAAAATCACGTACAATTTCATGATTTATTTCAAAATGAAAATTCTCACTTAATTTCCTTCCGTTTCGCGCATCAAATAAAGACAATGTAGTATAATATGGTTCAACTTGACAAAGTGATGCATTCTCATCAATTTGTGCTTGTAAACGAAATTTTAAACTTTCACATTTAACAAATATTCTCTGACCAAATTGCTCTTTATAAGAATCGACATTTGTCTCACTATTCGAATGATTAATTGTCGATTTTGCCTGCGCCACATTTGGATAGAGACTCAATATTCTTTTACGATTTTCACGTCTCGCCAATGCAATACTTGTATCAGTTTCGCGGGCATATTTTATTAATTGTGGATTCATACTTTGTTCAAGGCCCTTTAAAGTGCCGTAAACTTGCATTGGTTGAGGGGATGGCGGTGGTGTATTACATGTTCTTTCCAATGAGGCGGCACGTTTTTCCTCCTGTTGTTTATAATGTTGTAAAACGGAAACTAATTTTGTCAGCCAATCTTGTAATTCATTTTCATTATCGGCGGCGAGTGTATATGATTTATGATCGGCACTCATTCTTAATTCAAAACAATAACGACCTCGTTTTGGATTTCTCACAACCTCAGCACAAAAATCCATGACAATCGATAATTTTGCCTCGCCTTTTTTCTCATCTTTAAACATCTCAAGAATATAAGTACCATCGACTTCTTGTCTCAAGTGACAGAAGCGACGCTTAAATGACTTTGATCCAATATGCGCAAACATTCGATCACTGCTTCCAATTTCTGGTCCCTTCATTAGGTAACCTTGTTTTGCAATACTGTCATTTTTTGTAATTATCTGAAGAAAAAAAAGAAATTGAAAATAATTTTTGAAATTTCAATTTGTATAGACAAATTTAATTGCGAAATTTAATTTTTAAAATTTTGCCTTTTTCTCTGACAACAACAAAATATATTTTTTTTAATTTATGGAAAATTTTTTTAATTTCTTTCTTTTTTTTAAAACAAATTTATCTCTTTGATAAAAAGCAAGTGTAATGTTCAGGGTGTATCGCAATTATCGAAAAAAAAATCAAGAACTTCTCTAGGTTTTCTATTATATTTAAAATAAAGAATAAAAATAAATCAAAATTTAGAGAATATAAATAAAACATAAAAAATAATTAAATTAGTAGATTAAATTCAATTTTCATTTATAAGATTTCTAATAAATTATAATTCTAATTAAATATATTTAAACGAATTTTTGACTGTGGCTTTTTTAAAATCAAATTTACAATTCCTAAAAATTAATTTGCATAAAGTTTTTTTAGACAAAAATATTTTTAAAAATAAAAAAATTTTAATTTAATTGATAATCATTCAAAATTTATTTACATGAAAAAAATTTAATTAAAATTCGTCATCAAACTAATTAGTTTCAAAATTTTAATAAAAATTGTTTCGAAAATCAATTATAAAAGAAAATTTTTATTTCAAAATTCTCAAATACTCAATTATTGTTAAAAATTTGTAAGAAAAAAATGTCATAAATTTAAGTTTTCCAAAAAATTCCAATTTAAAATCTTCTGAAATTCAATTATTTCCAAAAATCTGTGAATATATATTTTGAAATTTTATTTATCCTTTAAAAAATTTCAATTATTTTCAAAATTTCAAAAATTTCAATTAATTAAAATTCTTTAAATTACATATCTTTGACAATTTAATTATTTTCGAAATTGTAATTCAAATTTTTCATTAACTTAATTCCTTTTTTAGAATTTTTATTAAATTCTTCGAAAACTGAATTTATAAATTAATTAAAATTCATCGCAAATTTTATTAATTTCAAAAATTTTATTCAACTTCTTCGATAATTTAACTATTCAAACAATTTTCGAATTAAAAATAGATGTATGGCTTTTAGAAAATTTATTTCAATTTTTAAATAACTTATTTATTTAAAACAAAAATTATATGGTAAATTTTTTGAAAATTTAATTATTATTAAAAAAAAAAACTTTTATTATTGCAACTCTCTCTCTTCAAAATGTAAATTATTACCAAAAATCTAAATTAATTTTTTTCAAAAAATTTAACTGCTTATCTTTCAGAAAATTTAATTATTTAAGAAATTTTTAACTAAAATTTTTCGACAATTTAATTATTTTAAATAATTTTAATTAAATTGGAAAAATTCCCTAAAACTGAATTGTTAAAAATTTATAGAAAAAAAAATCTTCAGTAATTCAAATTTTACAAAAAAAATTTCAATTTAAAATCTTCTGAAATTCAATTATTTCAAAACATCTAAATTGTAAATCATGAAAAATTAAATAAATTTTTTTTTTTAGAAAATTTTCTAAATATTTTGAACGTATTTGGTGTTATGCTAATAATTGTTTAATATATATGTAAATTTGTTAATGGAAATCAGAAATTTAAGTAATGTAATCTCTCATAAATTTGAATAAATTTTGTCGATAAACAATTTTTTTACATCATATTAAATTTTTTGGATTTTTTTCTCAAAAAAGTTTTTAATTTCAACAGTTTGTGTTAAATTGAAATTTTTAAAATATTTCAAAATATAAATATTATTTTAGAAAATTGTTATAATTGGAAATTTTGTCCTATTTATTATTAAATAAATAAATAAATAATTTTATGGTGATTTCAAGTCTTTCAAGATGAATTCAAGGTTTTCAAAAGTCATTTGAACACCCTGTAATATTGTGTATAAATATTTAAAGTATATTTTTTCAACGCTGTTTGCTATTTTATCAATGATCACCTGATCCAAATGAGTCATAAAACTTTATCATAGTTCGTTGTTATAAGAGTCGCATGACAATATGAAAAAAAAAAAGAAATAATAATTTTACCTCATCAACTTGGTCGATCTCTGTGTCTATTTCATAAACTTCGTCCTTTAAATCATCTGCTTTTGATATTCTAAAACAAATATTGAAAAAAACATGTAAAAAAAATAATTTCTTTTAATTTAAAAAAAGATTTCGGATTTTTTTTTTTTTCATTGAAAAATATTGAAATTGAGTCATACTTTGGCAATTCGAGATAAGAACCACTGTAGACGGAATATTTGTAATGCACTAAATTCCAATTCGATGCATAACTGCGTTTACATTCTTTTGTCAGGAGATTTTCTTGATCTTCCTCGGAATCGGAAATGCGTTGTACAGTGGGTACAATTGTTCGATATCTTCTCGGCAAGACAACTTGCTGCAAAATAAATTGAAGAAAATAATTTAATAATATTTAAATTATTAATTTAATAAAATTTGTATTCCATAAAAAAACAAAATCAAATTAAAATTCTTTTTATTATAAGAACGATAACCAAAGATTATTGAATTATTTCTAAAATTAATCTTAAGGATATTTTTTTTTTTATGTTTTAATCATAAATAAATCTTTCCATTCAAAACATTGATTTTTAGCCAAAAAAAAATCTTTTTATTAGTTTTTGAGGAAATAAAAGATTAAAAGAAATAAATAATTTTTTTCAAATTTTGTTTTGTTTCTTTAAATTTGAGTCACAAAGAGTTAACAATTTTTGTTTATATGATATATTTTCAAGAAAATTAAAAGCAGAAAATATATAACTTACCGATACATCATCTTGTGGATAAAGTAACAATTCACGTTGTGGATCATTTTGTAATAATGTTTTATTTTTTAAAACAAAATTCTCAAAATCAATTGGTTCAACGAGATGCGGTTTATTCTGAAAGAAAAAAAAATTTTCAAAGTTAAATATTGAATAAAATTGAAAATAACGTAAATTTTCAAAAAAAAAAAAATATATTATTATTAAAATAGTAAAATTAATATTCACTGACAAATTCCCCTTATTATTATAATATACAGTATATAAATTCTCATTAAAGATATAATTAAGATAATTAAATTAATTATCTTAATCACCATAAATATCATAATTATCCTAATTAAAATAATGATCATTAGAATAAAAACTATAAAAATTTCAATTAACTTATGGGAATTGTACTGTAAATTAATAAAAAAAAATACCTTCACAAGGAAAAAGTAAATAAATAAAATAGATGGAAAATAAAACTATTTCATTAAAAAAAACCAAATAAATATAGATTGACAATTAAAATGGAAAATGTAATAATTTACTATCTAAACATTGACATCATCTATGTTTATATTGACCTCGAACTTTGTTCTTTTTCATATTAACAAACACACACACACACACATATAGAAAATATCCGTATTCACTATGTTTTTCAAAACAATATCCATTGATGTTTAGACAGGAAAAATGTTAAAATAGATCGACCTAATTCGATCATTTTATATTTCCCAATTTATTTACTAAAAGTCTATATTTAAAAAAATATTAAAAAAGAATAAATAATAATAAGCCAAAGAATTTTAAATTAAATTACCTATGGTAAAATAAATTTCAATCTATTATAAATTAAAAAAGCTATTGCTGGAAATTGTTTTCAATGTAATAAATACATTGATCATAAAACAAATTCGTCAAAGAGGAAATAATTTGACATTTAATATAAAATAAATCACTAAATGCGAAAAAAAATACATCTTCTATACATTCAAAAATAATTGCAAAGATAAAATAAATTATAATTGATAAAATGTATATTTGATTAAAAAAGAAATATCGACTTCTATTTTAATTTATAAAATTTGCAAAAAGTAATTTTTTTTTTGTAAAAAATAGAAGAAAATAAAAAAAATTTATTCACCTGCACAGTACTCTCGCGAACAACTTGCGATACAGTTTCCCTGAGTTGAGCAGCCATGCCAGGCTTTCCTAAGCCTCTTGTAAATTTTCTTTCACTCATTTTTCACGATGACACATTAACATTGTCACCTCGAATTATGATGCACAAAAACCGGAATCATATCATTTGACACTTTTATTCGCGCAGGAGGTACACTCTTTCAAGAATTTCTCGCGGCTGCCATGTTTACGCGTCCACTACCACATGCCGCACACACACACATTTGTAAAATTGACAGTCGCCTGTTTCCACGTTTTTATAACATCTATTTTTTCACAAAAAAAGCAACTTGAAAACAATGCGTCAAAATTCAAAAAATTGCGAAAATTTGTCTTTTTTTTATTATTACGCATCGAACTATGACCACGTCGGCTTAATTTCCGGATCGTTAATCATGTGAATGATTATACTTGGAAGATAAAAAAAAAAAGAGAGAGAGAGAGGTTAATGGGTACAAGAGGGAGATGACCCAACCCGAAAACAAGTGCATTCGAGCCACTGACACCAGGAGACATCTCGTCGCAAGGTGCACATTAATCTCGTATATTACATCATTCTAAATTTAGATTATTAACTAGAGAAAGAGAGAGAGAGAGAGAAAGAGCCGACTCCTATTCCGCGAAGAGACTTTAGGTATTTTGAGCCGTGAAATCAAAATACTTGGGCATGCGCCTCAAATTTGATTAATTTTTTAAAATAAATTTTCGGATATAGAAAATTTTTTTTTATCAAGTATGCGCAAGATCATTTTTTTTAAAAACCTACTTTCTTCGATTTTATAAAAAATTGTAATAATAATTTTCTCAATTGATAATTATTTATTTTTTCTAAAAAGAAAAAGATGTTTTGACATTTTTAACTTTTTAACTTAACCTCAAATTTAACGTTTATTTTGTTTTATATATATTGAATTAACTTATATATTAACACAAATTTAGGTATTATACAACTAATATATAATTTTATATTCACAGGAAATACGAATTTTATAATATTTATGTTTTATATTTAAAGTAAATTGAGTTTTTTTTACAAGTAAATTTTCCGGCGTTCCACGATATATGAACTGTATGCCGTGATTGGCTGGATACATTGCGCGGATAATTTAAAATTACCAAGTATTATTTTACAATTTATTTATATTTTCTTAAAAAATATTATGTTTAAAAAATATTTAAAAAAGAATAAAAATATATTTAAATAATAATAATAATACTTTTAATAAAAATTAAAATGAGAAGTATTTTCTGGAAAGTGAGCATGTTTAGAGTACGCAGTGATTGGCTGCTCCAATAGCATGTTTATACTGATTGGTTCTTTTTTTATTCTAAAAACCTAAAAATATATACTACTGTAGATTTTGAGCTTTTAAATTGCAAATAATTAAAACTACTTGTTTATCTAGGTATATTAATTTATTTATATTCTAAAATAATAAAATATTTAAAATTAAATTAACTTAAAAATTATTATTCCCCTTTCTAAACTATTTTGATTTTTAATGTCATATGCCAGCGGAATAATATAAATAACCTTATTTTCATCAGAAAATCATAGATAAATTATTTATTAAAATTGTGATATTTATTGAAAATCAATAAAATTTATGAATTGAACAGATATGTAGTTTCTAGAATTTCGAGAATAATTTACACCCTAACCTTAAAATACACATTAAAATCGCAATTTAAAATTTTCCCGTTATTAAAATTTTTTCAAAATTGTAAAAAAAATAGAATATTACATAAAATTATAAAAAGAAAATTTAATTAAACAAAATTGTGACACTTTTTTCAAATTATAAAACACAAAAAAAGAGATAAGTTAGGGAACGTGAAAAAACCATAAAAAACTACGTGAGTCAAATATTGTTAAAAAACATGCGTGTTAGACAGTTATAGAAGTATAGTGAAGTGAGTTGCTCCATCCATTATGCGTCGTATTAATAAATTTTCGGTAAATTATTATAGTTTATACAAGTCATTTAATCGAGAATAAAGGATAAATTTAGTGTCTTGTATTTTAAAGTGTTAAAACAGTGAATAAAATATAGTGAGACGAAATTGTCTTTTTTGTGACGCAAAAACCTGAACAATATAAGGGTTTCTGCGTCAGTGAATATATGATGATGATAATGACCGAGTTTCCAGCTGATTCGTTTGACAGATTTGACATCAGTTAAAAAAAGGAGAAGAAAAACTGTGAATTTTTTTTGTGTAGTATTTATTTATTTATTTACTTCTTTTTAATTTTTTTTTTTTTTACACCCCTCACTCTCATTAACCCTTCTATTTCAAATTAAGATGAAAACCATGTGGAATCTTGACGATCTATTTGTTGTCAATCAATATTCGGGTGTTGAGAGTTTAACAAATCTTTGCTTTAAAGTGATATGTGAAAATTTGGATATTATTTCAACGAAGGGAAAACGCGGTCATCGTACACTCAAGAAAGGTTTAATATTGCCTAGTGAAATTTGTGATAAAATTATTTTATATTCACAACAAAGTGAGGCAATTGAGGAGAATGATTATTTTTTCTCAATTTTTAAAAATGTTCTCGTCACTAAATTAAAACGTGTGAAAATAAGTAATTGTAGCCTGACAGATTCATCGGTTCTTACAATTGTTGCTCATAAAATAACGGAATTGGAATTTAATAATTGTTCAAATATTACGGAACTCTCGATTGAATATTTAAATGAAAATTCGGAAAATTTACAAAGTCTCGTTTTTCATGGATGTATAAGTAAATTTCGAACCGGTAAGACATTGTTTACTATTTATTAATTGTATATATTTTGTCTTTTTTTTGTGAATTTAAAAATATTTTAAAATTATATATATTTTTTTTATTGATTCTTGTATGAATGTTTTTCGTTAACTTTAAGATTATTTTGTGTGTTTATCATTACAGAAATATAATTTTGATGATTAAGAATCTATGTTTGTGTTGTGACGAATGTTTTGATTTCTTATTTCTCGTTGATTATATTTTAGTACATTTTTCCTTGCAGTGATGATATTTCGAGTGCAGGAGAGAAAATTCTAAATTATATTTTTAATTTTGGAATTTTTTTTATTTTTTTTTTTTTTTTGTTTTTAATGAAAAATTGCATGTAATTGTAAATAAAAAATTTTTTTCGTTACAATAATAATGTTTCTTTTTATTTTCAGAAAATGGCAAATTGGATGAAAAATATTATAAGAGGGGTTATGTATTTAATGCTCCAAATTTGAAGCGTTTAACATTGGGAAATATTTCAATTCCTTATTCAGAATATACAATTATTTTGCTGACACTCCCTAATTTGAGTCATTTGGATTTATCGGAAAATGAAAATATTAAAAGTTTTTATTTCTACAGTCTAGTGGAAAATTTAGTTTCTCTTGTTCTTTACAATGTTAATTTAACGCATGATGCGCCAGCCTTTGTGAAAAATGTGACTCATTTAAAAAAATTGAGGTATTTATATGAATTTTTTATGCAAAATTATTTATTTACATGTAAATTTTTTCGTAATATAAATGAATATTTAATTGTTAAGTAATTTTAGAATATTCTGAATAAATAATTTTACAATTATTATAACTGAATGGAAAAGCTGCAACTATTTTAAATATTTAATATTAAATTATAAATTTTTTTATAATTATTGATTTTACGTTTTTAAAAACGTTGAAGAATTTTTTCGTTGGTTCTCTGCTTATTTAATCGATTTTCCAACGTTTTTTTTTTTTTTAAATTTTAGATAATCGTTAATTATTCTTTCCCAGGTTTATGTGTAAAAATGTTACTTTTCAGGTATTTGGACATTTCGCAGTCGAATCCAATAAATGGAGAATTCGAAATGCCTGATACGATTCTTTCGGAAATAGTTATGGGATTACCGGAATTAATTTCATTGGATATTGGTGGTACAAATCTCGCGGGTCGAGGGGTCATTCAACGATCACTTGATAAAAAGAATTATTTCTTTGATCAACTCAGTGATATTCCGGGTCTTGCATCGCGAGTTAAAAATCCCCTACAATTTCTTGGTTTATATGGAACGTCACATCAAGCTTGTTCAAGGCACGACATTCCTGCACTAGTGGTAAGTTAATTGTTATTAATTCATGTATTCTCTAAATGTGAATTTTGACATTTCATAATTATTAGAATTTCTTGACTTTTTGTTTTTAAGAAATGCGACTTATTTATACGTCGCGGGTGAACTTTTCAACGTTTTATCATCAATGATTTAGAGGAAAACATTTTTTTTTTTTTTTTGTTACAATTAAAATTTTTTTTCAATTCTCCTGTAACTAATTTTTTAAAGACAAATTTAGTTAATTAGTTAGTTATTATTTTTCTATTTATTTTAATACAATGCGACTTTTTCGACTTTTTTTTACATTTTTTTACAAAATTTTTAAACAAGATATATTTTTTTAGTATATATAATGCAGATATTCTTCAAATTTTTTTTATTTCAATTATTTAAAACAAATTTTTTAACTAAAATTCTTTACTAAATTAATTATTTTTAATAAATTTAATGAAATTCTTCACAAATTCAATTATCATAAATTTTCAATTAAAATTTTTATGAAATTTAATAATTGTTTATAATTTAAAAAAAATTAGCAAATAAAGTTACCAACGATTTTTAATTGAAAATTTCTAATAAATTTTTTAGTAACAGAAATCATAAAAAATTTTAAATTATAAATCACTTGAAGTTGAATTAATTTCAAAAATCTAAATTGTAAATCTATGAAAATTCAATTACTTTTAAAAAATGTTATCTAAAATCAATTGATAAATTATTTTTAGTTCTGTAAAATTTAATTATTGTCTGCAAATTAATAATTTTTTTTTCCTTTAAAAAGAGTAAAACTTGTAGGTAAATAAAATTATTTAAGAGAAAAGTAAAAAAAAAAAAATTTATTTTTTTCTTTAAAAAATCAATTAAAAAGAATTTAATTTTTATTTTGTTAAATTTATTTTTAAAAAACAATTTCTTTTTCTAAAAATGTTACATTTTTAAAATAATTTTGATATAATTTGACAAATACATAAAGTAAGTTCATCTTGTTTATTTAAAAAAAAAATTAATTTGGTTATCATTTCTTACTAATAAATAATAAATAATTTTATTTTTTTATTTATTTATTTGATATAACAGGCTAAAAAGCCTAAATAATAAATAATAATAATGAATAGAATTATCAATCAATATTTAATTTTAATCAATTATAATTTTTTTTAAATTGTCTCTAGTGATAAATGCAATAAAATAAGATTTGTTCTATATTCATTTATTTATTTACACAAATTTTTTTACTTTATTTATTTTCTTCTTTTTTTCACAGATTGCTGGAGATGCTAATGAGGATCAAATTCTAGCGGCAGCATTAGTTTGCATGAATAACAAAGAAGATTTGTTGCAAAAAATTTTAAATGATTTATATCAAGTGTTTAGATTTGAAAATTGCAAACGTATGGATCAAGCGCTCTGTATAGTTTTAGAAGCAATGGAGAAACATCCTTCTGAGAAACACATTCAGATATCTGGAAGGTAATAATGAGATCATCATTCTTAAAAAAAAAAAATAATTTTTATCTCTTTTTATAATCACAGTGTAATAAAATTCTGAACGTCAATATAAGAATCATATTTTATACTAAATATTTTAAACATTAAATTCAATTTAATAAGAAAAAACGAATGGAAAATTTTATTTTCTTTACTAAAATTTTTATTACATTTTATAGGTAATTTAAAATTTATTTTATTGTTTATTTAATTATTTATTTTTTATTCAGTGACATTTTTAATTATAAATTTAATTAATTATTTAATTTAATTTAATTTTTTACTTTGTCTATATTTAAGAATTTTCTTTTAAAATTAAAAGAAATTATGAATTATCTTTACGCTGATTCTTGAAATGTAATTAAATGTTTGTGTTTTATTTAACAGTGCGACGCTCTTTTATATTATCCGCTCAAGAGAAAATCCTGTTAATGCCAGTATGAAAAAAAGAATAATTGGCGTGTTACTTGCGGGTATGAGCGCTCATAAAGATGAAGAGACAATGATGCGTAATGGCTGTTTGGCTCTTTGCCAATTTCGCATACCTCAGGATGTGGTTCGTCTTGCTTAATTTAATTCATTCTAATTCCTATTTATATACGAGAAAAAAAAGAAATATATCAAAAATATTTAATTTCATCTTTTGGCTTCAGAAAGCAACAGAAATGATTCTTTATGAAATATTTCCAAATATCAAACGTTGAATTTTAATGGATACTCATTATTATTAATTAATATAAATTTTATATATTTATTTTTTAAAAAAAGCTATTTATGAAACGCATATTTTAATGTTTTCTTTTTATTTATTTATTTTTTTAAATGAATTACAGATGTGGGGTTACGAGTCTTTAGTGAGATTGCTCTTGCATTCTGCAAAAAATTCAGAGCCAGAAAGTTTTGTGCAACGAATTGGAATATATTTATTAAATTCTCTGGCATGTCAAGTTGAAGGCAAAGAAAAGCGACTACTTGGAAAATTGGGTTGTGTTGAAACAATGTTACATTTGGTTAAATACAGAGTGACATCGAATATATTTGATGATGTCTTGGAAGTTGCTTGGTCCACAATGTGGAATATGACCGATGAAACTGATATAAATTGTCAGAGATTTTTAAATACACAGGGCATGGATTTATTCCTCGAATGTGCAAAAGTAGGCATTTATTTATTTATTTTTTTGTCAAATTAAGAAATGTCCAGGATGTCTAACAGTTAGGGAAGTCAGGGAATTTAAATGGTTAGGAAAAGTCAGGGAATTTCTTTAATTTTCTGAAATTTTTTATGAATAAATTAAAGTAACTATTAGTTTCAAAATTTTTTTTTACTTTTTTCCCAAAGCAAATGCAAATTAAAAAGTTGGCCTTCACACTCAATTATTAAGCATGTGATATATCTTATATTCATTAAGTCAATAATAATTTACTACTATTTATTAAATCCAATAAATGATTTTTTAAACTTGGATAACAATTAATTAATTTTTTTGCAGTGAAATATTTGGTTTTTTAATAAAAATAAAAATTATTTGATACATTTTTATTTTATCGGTTCAACTTCAAATAAAGTAAATTATTCATTAATACAAATAATTTATTATTTAATGCTAATATCCACATTTAACTTATAAAAATTTTTACGGAGTCGAATATTAAATTATCGATTTTCTATTTAGCAAAATTGTATAAAGTGAATTTTATATTATGCAAAATTTTCAATTTAGATTTAACTAAAATTCGATTTAAAAGAATTTCTATTTAGCAGAACTCTTATAAAGCATTTTTTCTAATACTTTTTTAAAAATTTTAAATTAATATAATTTCAATTTAACAAAATTTATGTCTATAAAAATTGACAAAAAAAGAGAACTAAGTAGAATTTTTCTTAAATGAGAATTCTGTTAAATAAGAATTAGTTGGAATTAAAATTATCTTTAATAAAAACTTTGTTAATTAAGAATTTTGTTAAATAGAAATTCTATTAATTGTGGATTTATTCAATGACAATTCTGTTAAAAGTAAATATTTTGATAAATCAAATTTTACTAAAATAACAATTCTGTTAAAAAAATTTTTCTTTATGCAATTTTTCTTGACATAAATTTCGTTAAATTGAAATTGTATTAATTTGAAATTCGATGTACTAGAAAATCAGCTTTATATAATTTTACTAAATAAAAATTTGATAATTTAAGATTTGACGCCGTAAAAATTCTTTTAAATTAAATGTTGAAAATATTTATACGTCCCGAATTAGTTTATTTATTTCACATTAAATATTTTATTTTTTACGAAACCTTATTTATTTGGTTTAAATACATATGAAATTAGTGGATAATAGACAGGTAAATGATTTAATTGTATCAAAATAAATTTTAGTTAATCAAAATAAAAATTTTTTATTATAATTTAGGTAAGTGAAAAGTCAGGGAATTTTTTTCCTAGCAGTTGTTAGACATCCTGTATGTATTTTTGCAATTTAAAAAAAAAGTTGCCCCTTTTTATTTAAAAATTTGAATGATTTTCTATTTTATTTTTTCTGTTCTAGCAATATCCAAGTAAAGAAGAACTATTGAGAAATATGATGGGATTATTGGGAAATGTTGCCGAAGTGGAAAGTCTTCGTTCTCAATTGATGCAGGAAAAATATGTTGTGGTTTTTTCTCGTTTGTTACGCTCAAAAAGTGATGGAATTGAAGTATGTATTATTTTTTTTTTTGAATTTTCACATTTATTGCTAATGATTTTTTTTTTTTTTTTTACTTTAATTTTATTAGTTTGAAATTATTACAAATTGACACCTGAGATAAATATTTTGGGTTTTACTATTTTTTTTCTAAAATATTGATAAAATTGAAGGTGTCATATAATGCTGCGGGAATTTTGGCACACATGGTATCAGACGGCGTTGAAGCTTGGTCAATTGAAAATCCATCGAGAAATGAGATACTCAGTCTAATGGTGAAAGCGATAAATAGTTGGAATTTAGATTCCGAGCGTAATATAAATTACAGATCATTTTTACCGCTTCTTCGATTATTGGATGTTTATCACACTCCACAATGTCAACATTGGGCAGTTTGGGCGCTAGCAAATCTTACAAGAGTTTATCGTAAGTAATTAATTTTACTTATTAATATATTAATAATAAATTAATTAATATTTAATTTATAATTAATTAATAAATTTATTATTTTTCAGCTCACAAATATTGCGATCTAGTTATTTCCGAAGGTGGAATAGAGAAATTAAAAAATTTATTAGATTCTGATTTGCCATATGACTTGATAAAACGACTTGCTCATGAAGTTGTTGTCAGCTGTCGTATGTAAACAACAAAAGAATAATGAATAATTTTCTTTCGAGAGTATTCTTAAGGCACGAAAAAAATATTTATATATACATAATATGTATATATTTAAATATTTAGTAAAAATAGAGTTTTACTTGGCTGCAATATTTCTGTACTCTCGAATATAGGCATTATTGTTTTTTTTTTTTTTTTTTTTTTTTTTTTACGGAGATTGGGAGAATATTTCCTCTTCCCATTAACCGTTTTTTTTATATAACGCCTGAGAATTATTCTCCATCAGCAAAATGATCGCGTAAAATACACTTAACTCAAATAATTATGATATCAAAATTGAATTTGTGTGTCTTTTTGATTCATATACGTGCATGTAAATAGTTTTTTCGGAAAGAGGTTGAACCTTAAATTAATCGTTATTGATTGTCGAGAACTGATCCGAATGGAAAAAAAAGAAAGAAAAAAAAAATATGAAAAGTATTTGTCAATTTGTGATATTGTCCCTTGAAAAATACACTCGTGAATTTTAATTATTTAATTGTAAGTATTTCTCTAAAAGAGAAAAAAAGTTGTTTTAAAAATAAGAAAATAAAAAAAAAATGGAAGAAGAAGAAGGTACGACCTCTTGATATATATTTTTTTTTGCATTTCATAAAAAATTTTGTAAAATGGTTTTTCTAGGGCAAAAATTCTTTTTTTTCTTCATATATATTTACATATAGTGATAAATCACATAACTATTTTCTAGATGTAAAATAATATTAATATTTTGTAGATATTGAAGTCTTGCAATAAAAAAAAAAATTATTATTTAATAGAGGTTATTTCTTTTTTACAAAAATACAATTTTAATTTATGATGTTTTTTTTTAATTATTTACAAATTGTGAAAAAAGTATTTTTATTTCCTTTTTTTATTTTTTTTTTTGAAAAAAAAGAAAAATTTTCTATGAAAAGTTTAGTTAAATATTTGCAAGGCTTCACTTACGAAATATCTGTTTTGAAAAAAATGTTTGCAAATTAATATTCATCAAATTAGAAAATATATTATTGAAATATTACACATTGGGACAAATAAGAGAAATTGTTTTTAAGAGAAAAAAGAAAAAATACTTTTTACTTTTATTGTAAATAAATAAATAAATAAAATATATTATCGTAACAGAGATATATAGTAAATGTAATGATTTAGATTTGTATTTTTTCATATAGCAGTAATATATTATTTAAGAATAATTGTCTCCATTATTATAATTTTGAGGCAATATAAGAAAATTTAATATGTTTTTCTTTTTCTTTTTTTTTTTTTTTTTGAAAATAAAATTATCTAGAAGTTATTGAGTAAAATAAACATTTTTTTTTCTTGAAAAAAATAAAAAAAAAAAAGGTGCATATAGTTAACAATGACTTATTCTAATAAATGTTGCAAAAGAATTACAATTTTGTACATATTTTTAATATTTCTATAATACCTTTCACAATTTTAATTTTTCGTTACTGATAATTTACTTATAGAATTTTTTGTTTGTTTTTAATTTACATTGTTTTCAAAAGTAAGTAAATTAATTTATAAATAAGTTTAAATTATATAAAACTACCATTTAATTATTTTTAAAGCACATAAATTTAAATTTAAAAAATTTTCGCGGGTTTTCTGTCGGTAAGTTTTTATTTGTCTTTTGCTTTCTGACGTTAATATTTTGTCTGGTCATTTCAGTTATCTTTTTAATATCTTTTATTATTAAATTATGGCAGAAAATCAACAATTTATACATAATATTTTTCAAAATGATCCTCTTCTTTTTAAAAGTTATATAAATAAAAAAATTACTGTATTAACCGAGGATGGAAATTCACAAACCGGAATTGTTTACACCATTGACCCGGTGTCGGAGAGGTTAGGTTTTATTTATTATTTTTTTTTTTTTACTTTCTAATGAGTTTTGTGATAAAAACTATTATTTTAAATTGTTATAATTACATTATCAAATATTAAAAGTAATTATATTTATATTTTGTTTAATTTTTAACAAAATTACATATAATTTTCGTCGTACTATCAATAAACCAATTTTCTAATTTTTATTTTTTTTTTTAAATGTAGTTTGTAATTCACGGATATTAGAAATATAAAATTTTGAAAAAAATAGTTTTTTTTTTTTTAAGAAAAAAAATGTGTAAATATAGAAAATTTGTTTGTTTGTAGTATAATTTTGATTCAACCTGATGATACAACATATCGAATGAAAATAATTATGGGACATGCTGTTAAAAATATTGAATTGTCTTCTGATCCTGTGACAATTATACCAGAATTATTTTGTCCTTCGATGACAAATTTATCAGAAAAAAATTTAATTGAACGTAAAAATGCAATTAAAAAATTACTCGATGAAAATCGTGTTCCCTTTACTGAGGATAATGATATTATTCAAATAGAAGATGTACTCGCTATAAAACCGCCTTATCAATTAGAAAATTTTGTTTGCAATAATCGCAACGTTTTAATTAGAATACAAACAATTTTATCTGCCGTTATTAAATAAGCGTGTAAATTCAATTAATTTTCAATTCATTTTGTTTATATTTTGTGATTCTGTTAATCATATTGTATTTTTTTGTAATTTAAATTCAATTCTAAATGTTTTTCAACATTTTTGTATTAGTCATCTTTTTTTTTTTATTATTATTATAATTAAAATTATTGTCAATTTTTTTTCAAACAATTGTTTTAAATCGAAAAATCAATTTTTAAAAAGTAAATTCTAGACGTTTTGCTCAAATTACTGAAAAAAATATAAATTTTTCAAAAATTCAATGAGGAAAAACAAAATATAATTTCTGTAATTTTATTTTATGTAAATTATTTGATTATTTTAGTAATTTTTAACGAATTTTTTTTTTTTTTTAATTAATAATTATTATTTACATGTTGGTATGTCAATAATTTCAAATTTATTTTTTAATAAATAAATAAATTGAGTGACATAGAAGAAAAATGAAATTTTCTTCTGAAAATTTATTTTTATGCGCAAGGAATGTTTTTTTGTTTTATTATAAATTGTATAGAAATTAAAAAAAGACACTATTTCATTTACTAATAGTATTATTAATTTATTTTTATGTAAATTTGTTTAAATCTTATTTGATAATTATTACAAAAATAAATTGTGAGGAATGTATATAATATTAACGCTTGTGCGAGAAGATACAGCCATATCGATGTTTTAAAATAATAATAAAAAAAAGAAAAAAGAAATTGATTGTATATTTTTATTTGTGGCATAAAAAAGCGAGCTATGAATTGTGTATTTAAAAACAAAAAAATAATCAAGACATTCTATAAATGAAAATATATAAATTATTTACTCTAATTAATAAATCATTTGCCACTTAATTATTTTTTTTCATAATTAGTTATCCCATTGATAATTAATTATTAGTTTCTCATTATTTAAATACATTAATTTATTAATTGAGGGGTCAATTTTCTACTAAATTCGTCGAAATTTGAATACCTTCAAAATTATTTCTGCAAAATTTTTATAATTTTTTTAAAAATCAGTGACGAACATTAGGTTCGAAATATAAATGATTGAACAATTATTTTCATTTTAAACTTATTTAATATATTCTAAAATTGGACAAGAAATAAAAAATATTTTTTTTGATTCATTCTTGTTTTTGGGTCGCATTTGATATTTTTTGTGCCATTTTTTTTTTAATGATATATTTTTCTATATATTGATTAATTTTTATTTATATTAATATTTGTAAATTTCTTATTATTTATAACCAAGCTCTAAAAATATTTAAATTATTTTTTAATTAGTCGATAATTTTTATTTAAAAACTTTGAGAGATTCAAGATGAACATTGTTTTTTTTCAAACGAAAATTAATAATCATATTAATTATTATTAGTGATATTAATTTTATAAGACGTATAAAATTTTTTGTATATTTCATTTCAATTTGAATTAACTCAACGTTTTCGAATTCTGAATTCAAATCGAAAATTTCGAATATTTCTCCACATGTTGACTATAATAGTAATTCATTTCGTGTATCTAATTTAAATATCCCTCTCTCTGTTTTTTTTTTTAATTTTTGTCTCGTTTGCAATTTAATAATTTGCTTCTGAACGAATATGTAATAAAATATTTCGATTATTCAACAGCAACGCCGAAAAAATATCTATATATTTTTCATTTATTTAGCCTCTTGTTATTTTCACATAAATGAGCATTTATTTTTCTTTCGATTGTTTCAATAATGAAAAATGTGTTTAATAATATTAATTAATTAAAAAGGACAAATAACTGTTTTATCGACTAGAGATTGACTTTAAAACAAAAAGAATAAATAAATAAAAGTACATGTTACAGTAAAAGTTGTGCATAATGAAATGTAATGATTAAAATTGATTTTATAACATTGAGATCGTCGAAATTGACACACGAAATATTTAACACATTCAAAAAATGAATGAATGTTGTAACCATTTTTAAATAATGTAATTAATTTATACAAAAACTTGAACAATAAGGTTGAGAAATTTATAATAATAAATCGTCGATCACTTTTTTTTATATAAAATATTTTTTGAGAATTAAATAAAAAAAAAATTTAGTTTTTATATTTTTTGAAAAGTGTGAGAAATCTTTTCTTTAGATTCTACTAGTAATTAGTTAATAATACTTTTATTTGTATGAGAAAAAAATTATCATCGATTTATTATTAATATATATATATAGAAAATCTCAACAATCAAAACAAGGCAGTTTCGAGTTGCTATAAATTTACTAAACTATTTAACAGCTATTTTATTTTTCACAGAAAACTCATTCTTTCTGTTCTCTTTCTTTTTTTTTATTAAAGCTTATTTATGCATTAATATTTTGGAAAATTTTTTTTTTTTTTTCTTTTTTTTAAGAGGGTGCAAAATTATTTCTTTAAACTCTTTTTCCAATATGTTTAAATTGTCAAATTATACTATATTTTGCATTTTTTCTTTCTTTTTAATAAATAATTGTAATTAGTAATAATTAAGAATCAAAATCCGAAAACGCTTACTGAACAAAAAAAAAATCGATCACAACGCTTCTCAAAATAATTATTGAGAAGAAAAAAAAATTTTTTTTTTTTGTCGTATATTTTTAAAATTCTTAATAATTTTTAGATTTGGTATTTAAGGGTTTAAACATTTTTTTAAAAACTTCGTTCGCCATTTTGAATTTTTAAAATTCTCTCTGTAATTCTAATGTATCGTAAATAATAAATTACATATTATTGAACAAAAAATATCGGTATTTTTACTTTATATTCGTCAAAATGCATTGTGATCGTTTTTTCTATAATTTATAATTTTTTCTCTTTTTTATTAAATACTTTTAATTAACGTATATTATTCTTAGATGAATGACCGCGTTTTGTTTTCAAATTAATATAATTTAAAAACAATGAAAATTATAAATACAGTAGAAATTGATGATTTTTTAAAACTATTTTTTTTTGTTTAATAATTTAAAATACTTATTTTATTTTAAATTAATTCATCATTTCCAATAATGAGTTTTTCGATTTTCTTTTCAATTTTGTCGTAAATTCTACTATTCTGTTTTTTTTTTTGCGAATTGTCATAAATCGTTAAAATTTCCTTTTCTTTGTGTTACGTTATTTTTAACATTTAATATGCGTAATTGTTTCTCTTTTTCTCAAAATATGTTTTTCCTTATCCTTATTTTTGTTTGTCCATAAAAAAAGAAATTTATCACACATGCTCCTTTGTTTCTTTTTTTTTTTTTTGCAAAAATCGAAAATTCGTGAGATTATAATTAGTTTCTTAATTAATTATCTGGACCCTACTTCGATAGAGGCATGACTTTTTTTTTTATCGCCTACTCCTAAAAGCCATTAAGAGCTTCTTTTTTTTCTTAAATTAGTTTATAAAAAGCGATTCTATAATTCGTTTCGTCAGAATATTTGTTCCTCCGAGAGAGGTAAATTATCTGCGCGAAATTATCATACGATTCTTCTTTTTTTTTTTTTTCTTTTTCTTCCTCTTCTTCTTCTTGTTTTGGTTCTGAGAAACTCAGCTGTCTTTTTTGAAACATTTATATTAGTTTCAGGATAAATTTTCATTTCCCGTGAAACTTTGTCATTCTGTTTCGCTGTCTGAATAATACTCTATTGGATTTGGGTCCCGTGGTTTTTTTGAGTACGCGAGTCCCAATTTGTCGGAAATTTCTTGAATATTCGCTAAAGCCTGAAAAAAGGAGAAAATAAATGTTTATTATTTTTAGAATAGAATAGAAACTATTTTCATTGATGGTACAAAATAGTTTTGTTTTTTTTAATTAGACCGCAACGACTTTGATGAAAATAGATATCATGGTCTGATCCTAATTATAAATTATTTGTTATTATTAATTAGAAATGAAATTAATTTGCCTTGCCACTTACATAATCCAATTGTTCCTTTGTATGAGCGGCTGAAAGACAAAATCTAATTCTGCCCTCCATAATAGGAGTTGCTGGAAATCCAACACCAACTGTAGCTATACCTTTTGTGGTGAGTGTTCGAACAACAGCTCTGAAATAATGTTTTTTTTTTTTTTTTAATTAATAAAATTAAAATTATAAAAATATAAATGTTAAATTAAAATTTGAAAAATTAAAATAGTAATAGAAAAAAAATTTTTAAAACATATTTTCTAAAATTTTACTAGACATACCCAATTTTTGAAAAGAGATAAACAAGCATTGGAACAACTGGCGAATCTTCATTTCCATAAGTAATAACTCCAATTTGATTTAATCGTTTTCTAAAATATCGTGTATTTCGAGCGAGTTGTTTGATTCTATTTTTTCCCTCATTAGTTCCATCTTCGCCGGCAATAATTCTCATCGATGTTATAATTTGTTGTGCAATTGGTGGCGACATTGCAACAGCATACGTTTGTGCGTGACTGTAAATTCGTATGTGATTTATCAGCTCCTGAAAATAAAAAGGAAAACATTTAATTAAATACAATCTTATTAGAATTTTTACCAAAATTTACAATACCTAGTGTAATAATAATAATTTATTTAAAATTTTTGTTGAATTTGAAAAAATATAATATTTCTAATTTTGTAGAATAATGTAAATATAAAAAGCTTGTTTTATTTATAATTTACATTTAAATATAATTTTTAATTTAATTATAATTTAAATAAATTTTGCGAAAACAATAATAATTTTTAGTTTTTATTAATATCAAAATTATTTGTTAAAAAAAATAATTTCAATTCATAAAAAATGTCCTTGCATTAATATTATTAAAATAAAAAGTGTAATTAGAAAAATTAGAAAATTAATTACCTTTGTGCCTGCAATGTATCCACCAGCAGATCCAAAACTTTTTGTAAAAGTTCCCATGAGAATATCGATTTCTCGAGGATCAATTTCATAATAATCAGCAATTCCCCGACCTCTCTTACCCATTGCACCTGTACTGTGAGCTTCATCTAGATAAAGATAGGCCTGAAATTTAAAAAAAAGATAAAAGTTATAATTTTTTTCTTGGTATCAATATTTTAATAGTTTTCTAAAAAAAACAGACATTACAAAATAAAAAATTATACAGAAAATAGTTCCAACAATCTTTTGTCTCTTGTTATAAATATTAAAAAAAAAAAAATGTTTGAAATTGTAAATTTCAGATTAAAACAATCGACTTAAAAAAAAATAAAAAGACAAATTATTTATCGGCTATTTGTTGTTAGTAAATAAAAATAAATTAAATTTTTGATTATAATTTATTAAAAAAAAAAAAAAAATTTTATTAATAGACTAGAAATTAATAGATTAGAATTAATAATAAATTAAATTAGAAAATACTTCAAGAAATTTAATTTTATTGATAAAAAAAAAATTAAATTTGAATTTTCTAATTATTTTTCGTTCCATTTAGAAAAATTAAATTGTTATTTTTTCAAATATTTAATTTTTCATATTATCCTACCTTATACTTCTTTTTTAATGCTATTATTTCGGGAAGATGCACGATGGAACCTTCCATTGAATAAATCCCCTCGACAACTATTACTATTTTTTTCCACGGTTTTCCACTCCCCGGTTGACCAGAAACTATTGCATTTTTCAAAAGTTCCTCCAAATGTTTTACATCTGTTGCGAAAATTGATTTCCATTTAGTGAATTAAATTTAAATTTAAAAAAAAAAATTATACATCAAAATAAGAATAAAAAAAAATATTAATTGAATTATAAACTTTGATTTAACATTTTTCTAAAATTAAAAAATTTATATATAATTAAAAAAAAAAAAAAGAGAAAACTATTGTATATTAAAAACTCACTGTTATGTTTGAAGACCTTTGTCGTTGCTCCGGAAAGTCTTAGGCCAAGAATGAGAGAGGCATGATTTTTTTCGTCACTCATTACCAAACAACCTTTACTGACTAGTGAGGGAATATTTAATGAATTTGTCGCAAATCCCATACCAAAAACAATTGCATCCTCAACGCCCAAAAATTTTGCAGTCAATTTCTCTAATTCATCGTGAATTGGCATACTCCCTTTATTCCGGCAAATAAATCAAAATACAATTTAATTTTAAGCATTAAAATAATTTTTAATTGATTTAACTTTAAATTTTACATTTTTATTAATGTCGAGATCAGTTGTTTTTTAAATTCTTATTTTTTTCCATTTTCAATTATTTTTTGTTTAAATATTTAATTTTACTTAAAAAATTTCTGATTTTTAATTGAAAATAATTTTTTTTTTCGAAATTTTAAATTCTTTTTATTTGAAATTATATTTTGAAAATTCTTAATTTTTATTTAAACAATTATTTTAGAATTTTTTTTTTTTAATTTCTTATTAGGTATAAATTCATTATTTGAATATTAGTAATTTTTTGTTTTTTTTTAATTGAAAATAATAGTTGCCCTATGAAAAAAAAGAAACATTAGTTATACCTAATTCGAGTCGAGGACTACAACTTGCACAGCCAAATTGTTTAAGCGTTTTTATACTTTCTGTCGCGCAAGGTCCAGTTGACTCTGCAAAACCGAGGTAGTTGTAGGAACCCAAATTCAAACATGGAGTTTCAGTTCCGGTAAATCTAAATTAAAAATTAATTATTTTAATAACGGAAAATAATCAATTAATTATTATCGCTATTATTATTATTTTTAATTTATCCGTATTATTATTATTATTATTATTATTATTATTATTATTATTGTTAAAATAATTGTAAATAATGAATAAGAAACAAATTTACGAATATCATATAGAAAATATTTTGAAAAGAAAAGAAATTTTTCTTTATGGAAAAAATTATGAATGAAAAAAAAAATACTGACTCAAAGGTCCAGCAATAGTCTCGTGTAATTCTGTCTTTTAACGTGACCATGGCTCCAGGCACAGAACAAATTGGACGATTATAACAATCCCTTATTCTACGATAAACATAGCGTAAATAAAATCGCTCAAAACTCTCGTAAAGTGGAGCGTAACCCTGTAAAAAAGAAGTAGAATGTCTTATTTTTTTTATTTATTTTCTCTTTTATACTATGTACATAGTTTTTACATCTTAAAATCATTTACATTAATTATTTATTTATTTGTTGAATATAAAGTTTTTAGGGCTTGGAAAATAAAATTTTTTTTTTTAAATTTCAATTCTTTTAAGAATTTAATACAGTTTCTTAAAAAATGAAAAAATTATTTTACGCTCTAGTAATTTATTAACAATAAAATTTATATTTATTTAAAAAAGAAATGAAATTATATTATAATTTAAGTTGTTTTTGAAAAATTCAATTTTTTGTCAATTTATTTATTTTTTTAAATCAATTATTTTTTAGAAATCAATAATAATTATTATTATAGTTTTGCAATAATTTTACTAATTTGTAAATTAAGTTCTTTCTAAAATAATTAGAATTATTTAGAAAAACTTTTCGAATAATATGGAATTAATTTTTTCATTAAGTCAATAAATTATAAAACAAACAAAATTTTTTCTTCTTCTTTTTTTTTTTTTTTTTTTTTTTGATAAAATATTTTTATGATTTTGTTTCGAATTAAAAATTAATAAATGCAACTAATTTTGTTTTAAAAATTCAGTTTCATTGCGGGTTTGTTCGAAAATGAAAAAATTTAAAAACAAATTGCAATAGCAAAAAAAAAAGCCATTAGCGATACTTACTTTTCTATTTTTTTCTTGAGCTACTTTTGGAGTAAACAATAATTGATTAACGAAGCCCAAAAACATGAGAATATAAAATCCAAAATATGTAAGAGCTGCTGTAATAAATGGCACTTTTTCAAAAGATTCCTTGTGTACAGACGACTTTGGTATTTCATTTTTCTTTAGAGTCCGATGCTGAAAAAAAAAATTATTTTTAAAATACTATTGAGCATTAATTTACAATAATAATTAATAAATAATTAGTAATTAAAAAATTAAGTATTTAATAATTATTAAATCAATAATTAATTATTTCATTATAAGTAATTTAATAATATTTCTTAAATAAATAATAATAATAATTATTATTATTTAAATAATAAATCTTGTTTGTTATAAATATTTTATATAAAAAATAGTAATAAACCAAATTTTTTAATTAAATGGATAAATTAAACAGAATTTACATTAATTATTAGTAAAATTTCCCAATTTGAAATTATGTTCAAATGAAAAATCGAATAAATAATATTTAAATATAAATAATATTTTTTTTTGATATATATAATAAAATTTAATAAGTCATGATCTACGTGAATTGTTCTTAAATCATCTTAAATCATTTTAAATTCCCTTCAGTAAATTTAGAGGACGTCAGAATATACTTCAATAATAAAAATTCCATTTCTTTTTATAGCTTTTGCGCGCTTAAATTTTTTTTTGTTCTATTTTTCATTTAAATTAGCTTCCATATTGATATTTTAAATTATTTAAATTTTAATATTATTGGTCAATTTTTTTTTTTTTTAATTTATTGACGTATATCTAATTATATAAAACAAAAATTAACATACAATTTATTTTCAAATATGAAGTTTATATTTTTTTCTAATTTTTAATTTTAAAAATTTTTTATTTTTTTTCTTTATTTATTATAAAAATTTTATTTATTTTAAAAATAATTAAATTATAAATTTAGAACTTGATTTTATATATTTATAAAAAAAACTTTATGCCGAGTGTAAAGCAATCACAGACTAATTTACGGGAATAATTTATTAGGGAAACTAAATTTACATTGAATATCTAGGTCTTTGGACCTAATGTGTAGGCATTCGGACATTAATTTAGTTAAATTAAACTCAAGCTAGATATTGAAATTAAAGAATTAAAATTAAAATAACATTTTCCCGATAAAGGACGAAAAAAAAATTAAATCAAAAATTATTTTCTTCGATAATTTATGTACTTCCCATCCCCACTAAACCAGAAAAAACGATTCGAAATTCAAAAAATCCCGCGAAAAAATCGATAATCGATTGTCATTTTTTATTAATTTGAAAAAACGACAGGTAGCGCTGTTATCAATCAAAAAATATCAACAGACATTTTAATATATATAAAAAAAAAAAAAAATTGTTTATCAAAATAATAATCAAAAACCAAACAAATCCGATTAATTGACTATTTTATAATATTATCATTTTTATCTTTGCAGAAATTAGCAAAAAAAAAAAAAAATTATTCAGATAAGGTGAGATAAAAATCGAAGATAAAAAAAAACGAATGAAATCATTTCCTGGAGATTATCCACACGAGTCTTTATCATTTCCTGGAAATATGACGAAAAATAATAAAACCTATCAAGCAATGGAATATAATCAACAGGAATTAATTGTAAAATTCAAGCAAAAAATTGGTAAGATTTTTTGTTTATTAATTGCCCCAAAAAAAAAAGAAAAATTAAGCAAGTTTGTAATTTTTTTAATTCACATGAAATAAAGACACGTTTTTTTTTCATCTATAATTTAATGGAAGGAAATAGTTTTGTTATGGAACATTGACTTTTATGTGATAAAAAGAAAAAAAAACAGGACACGAGGATCAAGTTGAGTGCAAGTTAGGTGCACGTGCACTTACCTGTACGAGGCCGTTTGTTTGAAGTTTAGCGAATCCGTTGATTTTGCGGTTGATAGTGTCATCACAATTATTAGAGGTTAATCCATTTTTAAGTTTTAATGAATTATCCTCTTTTCCTGTGTTAATTGTCATTTGAACTTTTGTCTTCGCCATATTTCAAATTTAATTTTAAATTAGAATAAAAAAAAAAAAAATTTAAATTAATTTGAAAAACACACACACACACACACACGCTATTCAAATGTGAAAGAAAAAAAAAGTGATTTTTTTTTTATCATTCAACGACTTTAACATTGAAGACCGACGACGACGACGTCCGTCGTGCGACGCGATGTCTGCAGCAAAAATGAGGCCTGCGCCCTGTGCGTACGCGCCAATCGCCTGACTTTTTCCTCCTTCCGTACCCCTCGTAAACTTCCCTTTTCACACAGACACTTGTATATTGTAGTGATAGTAAGTAGTAGTGTAATATTTACAACTATAGCGCCTATCCGAATTCTATATGGAAAGAAATTTTCCAATACCTGTTTAACAAATGTTGTTTTTTTTTTTTTTTTTTTAAATGACAATTTTTTATCTTTAAAAACGTTTATACCTGCGGGAATGTAGACCTCCAGTAAATAACTATTTTATTTATGTTTGAAAATATATTAAAATATTATCAATAATAATAACTTTTGGAAGAATAGATAACAATTTTTAAGAATGAAATTAAAAACTTAGAAATAATTATTTATTCATAGATTTTGCTGATGATAGAAATTACAATAATTACAAAAATTATTTATTGTAAATAAATATTTAATGTATCTTCGCACAAAACAAAAATAAATATATTTAATTAATAATTAATTTCTAACAACATTTAATGTTGTATAGTTACTCATAAACAGGGCGAATTATACGATTTTTTCCGACTTTTTTTTTCAAAAATACTACTTCTTTCGATTTATTTTAATAAAATGCGACTTTTTCGACTTTTTTTTTTACATTTTTTAAAAAAATTTTTAAACAATGTACATTATTTTTAATATACAATGCAGATCATCTTCAAATCTTCTTTATTGAAATTATTTAACAAATTTTTAACTAAAATTCTTCACTAAATTAATTATTTTTAATCATTTTAATGAAATTCTTCACAAAATTAATATTATTAAAAATTTTATGAAATTTAATAATTGTTTATAGTTTTAAAAAAATTAGCAAATAAAATTACCAAAAAATTTTAATTCAAAATCACTTAAAATTTTATTTTTTCCAAAAATTTCAATTATTTTTAATTATTTTTAAAAAATTCAATTATCTGAAAGCGTTTTTCAAATAAAACTTTTTGGAACTTAATTTTTTTTTGTGATTTCTAATAAATTCTTCACAAATTCAATATTAAAATTTTTATGAAATTTAATAATTGTTTATAGTTTTAAAAAAATTAGCAAATAAAATTACCAAAATTTTTTAATTCAAAATCACTTAAAATTCAATTATTTGCAAAAATTTCAATTATTTTTTTATGATTTTTATAATATACTTCGAAAATTCAATTATTTGAAAGCATTTTTCAAATAAAACAATTTTTTTTTGTGTTTTCTTATAAATTCTTCACAATAAAGTCAGTATTAAAATTTTTATGAAATTTAATAATTGTTTATAGTTTTAAAATAATTAGTAAATAAAATTACCAAAAAATTTTAATTCAATATCACTTGAAATTTAATTATTTGCAAAAATTTCAATTAGTTTTTTAATTAAAAACTTTTGAAATTCAATTTTTTTATGTGATTTCTAATAAATTCTTTATCAACAGAAATCATTAAAAAAAAAAAATCTTAATTAAAAGCTTCTAAAATTTAATTATTTCTAAAATTTTCCATCTAAAATTTTTTTCGAAATTGAATAATTTCAATTATAACTTTTCTGAAATTCAATTATTTTTAATGATTTTTATAATATTTTTCTAAAATTCAAGTAGAATAAGTGCACCAATTACGGCGCTTTCATAAAAAATAGCTATATTTTTTACTATTATATTTAATAAAACTGTTGAAAACTGGTTAACAAAAATTATTTTAATCTTATTTTGATACAATTATACTAATAAAAATGCACATTTAAACAATTATTAATTTAATTATTTGAGATCAAATTTTTTCCCTCGTCGTAATTGAAACATTTTTAAGATTTTCATTGACTTCAATTACGGTGCGGGCAAAGTATCTTCAAAATACAAGTAATTTTTGTCACCGTAATTGACACACTGAAACTGATACAAACTCGCCTTAATCGAAAATTACGGTATTATTTTTAATTTCTCATATTTATTTAAATAATCGATTTTTATAAAGTTCACATTTTTTTAAATATCTAAATAACATTAGCTTTTAGTTTAATAAGTCTTAAATTAACTTTCTGCAATAGAAATGTCGAATTTTCTATTTCAAAGGTGTTTTGACTCGAATCGCGCCGTAATTAGTGCATTTATCCTATCTGAAATCATTTTTCACTTAAAAAGTTTTCAAATTATTGTATTTTTGTCTGCAATTTCTAATAAATTTTTTTAATAGCAGAAATCATCAAAAATTTCAAATTAAAAATCACTTGAAGTTGAATTAATTTCAAAAATCTAAATTGTAAATCTTTGAAAATTCAAAAACTTTTAAAAAAAATGTTATCTAAATCTATTTGATAAATTATTTTTAGTTCTGTAAAATTTTATAATGGTCTGAAAATTAACAAAATCTTTTAAAATACAATTATTTCTAAAAATTTTGACTTTAACTCTTCAAAAATTTTTATTTAAAAAAAAATTTTATTTAAAAATCTGTAAAACTTGATGAAGTATTGCCTGAAATTTTTTTGACCATCAAAACTGAAAAATATGACAAAATCTTTAATTCGAATAAATTGCTTAAATCAGACTTGAAAAATGATAAAAATGTAACTTTAAGAATTTTTTTTAGAAATTTGTCCTACTTAAATAAAATTTTGAAAATTTGTCTTACAATATTAGTTCGATTCTGAAATATTCGAAATAAATTTTTTTGATAATATTCTTATAGTATTATTCTCATTACAGAATTAATAAAACGAATTTAATATCTAATAACATTAGTTATTTCAAGTAAAATATTCATTAATCAATTAAATATTGTTAAAATAAAAAAAATTGACTTTTTCGACTTTTTTTGTGCCTTAAAGTCGATCCGAGGCCTGTTTTTTTCTTGAAAATTTGTAGATCTATTCTTCCAGTAATATTTTAATTTTTTAAATGTCAATTAAATACTTTTTTCTGGAGGTCTGCATTCATGGATATAAATGTATTTAAGTTCAAATTTATATTTATCAGATTTTTTATTTAATCGATTTTTTTCATTTATATTTATAAATTTATTTAAGAAAATTTCTCTTTAGCTAAATTTTCATTTCTATTTATAATATAATTTTTATTTATTTATAATATTTACTGATTAAGAGAGCCGTTTAATATTTTTATTAAATTAATTTTTTTTTTGTTTTAATAGAATGTTCATCAAAGCTGATAAAAATCGTGATTTAAAAAAAACTTCTATTTTTTTTTATTTAAATAAAATTTCTATTTTAGTTACTTTGTAACTTTTCAAAAGTTTATTTCTTAGTAGTTTGTTTTTTTTCATAAATACTTGAACAATAAATTTAAAATAATACAAGCATCACGAAATATTTATATTTTTATCAATGCAAATAATATTTTTAAATTAAAAAACTTAAAACTGTGCAACAAGTCATGTTTTTTAAAATTGTTAATTTTAAAAAAGTCATAATAATTTCGTAATATTATTATGCCGTTGAAAATTTAAATAAGTATACAGAATTTTTTTTTTTCAAGAATAATATACTAAAATTCATAAAAAATTTAAACTAAATTTATCAAAACATAATTTGAAAAAGTTTTGATTTTTTGAAACGTCAATAATTTTGTAATATTTCTCTAATGAATCAATCGATCAGTTTTATTTATATTTAGTTAAAAACATAATATAAATATTTTTAAATAAATAAATATAATTTCAATTTTACAGAATTTTTATTTAACAGAATTCTCATTTTTAAAAATATTTCCTTTTTAAAATATTTTCATTTAACCCAATTATTGTGACTAAAAATACATTAATTTTATTTAAAAAAATTCTTGTTTTATTTAATTTATTTTGCAGAATTTCTAATTATATATAAAAAAATAAATAAATAAAATTATATTTTTTTCGGAAAATTCTGCTAAATCCTAATTAGTTAAAATAAAAATTCTACTTTTAGAAATTTTTTTTAAATAGAAATTCTATATTAAATGAAAATTTGTGCAAATAAAAATTCTATTTATTAAAAATTCGGTCAATTAAAAATTCTGCTAAATGAAAATTAGTTAAAATAAAAATTACATTTCTTAAAAATTTTGTTACACAGAAATTATATGTTAAATTAGAATTCGTATAAATAAAAATTCTGTTAAATGAAAATTCTTATAATTCTGTTAAATAAAAATTAGTTGAAATTAAAATTCTACTTTGTGAAAATTTGTTGAAATAAAAATTTTGTTTAGGTATTTACAAAAAAAAATGGAAATTTTCTTAAATAAGAATTTGTTCAATAATGAAAATTCTGTTAAATAAAAATTTTGATTAATAATAAATTAAAGTAGGTGAAATTTTAAATAATTAACATTTAAACAAATTTTTAACTGTTTTTCAAAAAAAAAAAAAAATATTTATTTACAGAATATAAACAGGTCGAATTTTCCACCTAAGTACTGTTACTAAAATTTAGTTTTTATTGATCACAATATATAGAAATCAATAAATAATTTTATGACTCCATTAAGGCGATTGAATGTGTATTAATACGTATATGAGAAAAAGTCATTTACCTATGATGTATTCCACGCCAAAGTGTAAGTCCATCTGCAATTACATCTCCGATTTTTTTGAAATTTTTTTTTTTTTAGTACTAATTGAGACTAGCTTCCATGAATTTTTTCAAATTTCTTTAGCAAGCCGTTTCGAGTTATAGAATTTCGAAAATTGGAGAATTTTCATGATTTTTAATTTTTTTTTTACTTCCTTAAAAATGCACAAATTTTAAAAGTCTTTTTTTTCAAAATGTGTGTTTTTAAACGTACTTTTCAACAAAAAAATCGAAATTTTTTTTTAACGATATTACTATAAAATTTTTGAGTTTTAATGATAACAAATCATTTTTATCATTTGACATACTGATCAATTTTTTTCAAAATTGTTTCAAAAAAATTACTTCTTTTTACGAAACTAGCCCGATAATGGGCAAACAATTTTTACAATATTTTCGAAATTTTTCAAAAATTTTTGAATTTTGAATTTTTTAAAAATATTTTTGGTTTTTTTTTTATACTACGTACTTTTATGTATTTTAATGCATTGATTACAAAAATTATAGTAGCAATACCGAAAAATTTTATTTTTATGGTGAAAACCATAAAAAAGTCCCAAAATTTATGTTTTTTTTCGTTTACTGGGTAAAATATGCAAAATTAAAAAAAATGTTTAAACAAAAGTTATAGATTTTATTAAAATACATTTTTTATATCTGATGCACTTTTTTTTTTAATTTTGCATATTTTTCCCAATAAACGAAAAAAGCCATAAATTTTGGGACTTTATTTTATGGTTTTTACCATAAAAATCAAATTTTTCGGTATTGTTACTATAATTTTCGTAATCAGCGCATTAAAATACATAAAAGTACGAAATGCAATTGCAGATGGACTTACACTTTGGCGTGGAATACATCCTATGTTTGTAAAGAAATTAAAAAGGAAAATTAATTTAACCACTCCTGAAAGTAAAACAGAAATAATGGATTTTTAATTTTGTTAAAAATGTCCCTTTATTATTTATTAAAAAAATTCTAAAAGATGAAATTCTTAAAATATGTTCATATTCCAGAAAGAAATAGTGTAACATTTTTTTTGTTATTTAATATTTTTCAAAAAGAAGTTTTATATAATTTTCCAAAAAATAAAAATTTTGACACATTTAAAATTTTTTAAATTCAATAGTGCATTTATTGACCATGTGAATCCGGCTTTAAATTTCAAGTTGCGCGCGTCGCATTGTTGTGCATCTCAATATCTTTCGTATTGTTTATGGTCGCGTCACGGCATTTTGCTATAAAAAAAAAAAAAGTAGCAGAATTCCGCATTTGACAGCTGACCGATTGTTGGAACAAAGTTAGAGAAAATTATCGCTTTCACAACACAGTAACACACGGTCGTCATCGTGATTCTTTTCTCCCTACTCTAAAATAAAATAAAAAAAAAAAACTTCAAATAAATAGTGCGCGAACACACACACATTTACACAGAAAGTAGAAAATCATAATAATATATAGAAAATAGCGAATGTACTCGAGTGTCGACCGAAAATTGCCGGAAGACGAGGAAGAGGTGGAGGAGGACGCGTAGGTGGAGGCTAAAATCCGTCCTTTCCTCTCCAGGACGATCTGTCAATCGCGCATTGTCCTACCGAGTGGACAATCCTTTTTCTATTAACATTTCTTATTTACAAATCAAGGAAAAAGTTGAATCATTTAAGTCAAATATTTTACCAAAAAATTGAAATATTTACCAAAAAAAAAAAGTGAAGTGAATTAAAAGCGAAATTTTTCCTTTTTTTTTAAAAAAAAATAATCATGTCGAATGATTTTGCAAGTGACTTTTATCCGGATACAATTCGTAAGGATGTTGTCGGTGATCTTTTGGGTGGGAATTTTGATGATCAACCACTATCAACAGTGAGAGGACCAATGAAACGTGATCAAGATTCAACTGATGATTTTGAACATCTTGAACAGGAATTTTCAATGCGTGAATCGTCCCGACCACCGAACTTGGAGATTGATTCAAATTCAACGATCTCACAACGTTTAGAAAATGCGGCTGACATTGCTACGAGAAATCTTCTTGATACAAGTGTTCCAGCATTTGAGCCTGAATTACGTCCAGTTCCAGCGACTCCGCCACCATCGGCAAATTCCGATGAAATGAATAGCGATTCATTTCAATCAAAGGAAACAACAAAAATACCAATAATAATTGATCCAAAAGCCGCTTCATTGGCATTTATGGCAAACGAAAGGGCAAATGACAAGGATAATGATGATATATTTATCACTAAAGATGATGATCCACTTGGTAAATTTGATTTCACATCATCAGAATCAAAAATTTCCGATTTATCATCAACAATGAATTTTAATGAACCAGATGAATTTTTTATGAAAAAAGATGATTTTTTAACAAGAGAAATTCCTGAAATTTTGAAACATGATGATATTATTGTATCAGATGAGAAAGATATTGATTTTGATATTATGAAATCATTAGATGAAAAATCAATGAAAAAAGATGTTGACGTTGATGAATCATGGAATTTGGTTGGTAAAAGTAAATTTGATGAAGCACCAACTAAACCACTTCCACCAGTGCCACAATTTGATAGTTTTGATCCATATAATAAATCGTCTTTCCATAATAATGATAAATATGAAATGTCAAATGAATTTTTAATTGACGAATCAATGAAAAATAAAGGAAAACAAAGTGGAAATGAAACTGGTGATTCAGAATTTGAATCGGAACCGGAACCATCGCCGATTAGAAATGTGACTAATGTTAATAAGACTGAGATACGTCAAAATGATGATATTTATAGACGTGTTAATGAGAAAAAAATTAAAGAAATTGAAGTTGTTGCACCTGGGGATATTTTTGGAAGTTTGGGACTTGGTGAGTACAATAATTTTATTTGTATTTTGAAAAGAAAAAAAATTTCTTTAAATAACATTTTATTCCTTTTTTACTTAATAATTGTTATTTTTAAAATTACAGGCCTCGAATTATATGACTTTTTTCGACTTCTTTATTTCAATTATTTAATAAATTTTTAACTAAAATATTCTTCACTAAATTAATTATTTATAATAATTTTAATGAAATTCTTCACAAATTCAATTATTTTAAATTATTTTTCAATTAAAAATTTTATGAAATTTAACAATTGTTTTCAATTTAAAAAAAATCAAATAAAATTACCAAAAATTTCAATTTAAAACCCTTTTAAAAGTTAATTATTTAACAAAATTTTTGAAATTTAATAATTATATATAATAATAAAATGCCTTTTCTGATTTCACGTGTTTTTTTGAATAGTAATCTTATGACGTGTCAAATTTTGACAATTCTTTTTCTCATTTTTGCCAAAGTTGTATAATTGTGTTTCCAAATTTCGGAATAAGTTTCTTTAAAATTCCAAATTCGAAAATTCAATTCACGAAGCTGAAGTACACAACGTTTACCAATGAAATTTTTTTTAAAGTTGTATATTGATTCAACAATTGTATACAAATACAAAAAATTTATGATGAGAAAAAAGATGCGCCAGGAAATTTCCTACAAGATAGTAATTTGAAAAAAATTTATTTTTAAAAATTAATTTTTAAGGTACCAGGGACCAACGAATACCTATTAAATATTAATTATAAAAATACAGGCCTCGAATCAACTTAAAGACACAAAAAAGTCGTTTTAGTCGATTTATATTCCAAAAAAAAGTGGATTTGTTTTTTATTTTAACAAAAATATTTTATAGATTTTTAAATAAAAATTTTTTTTTTGTAATAATAATCCTTTTCGAAGGGTTAAAGTTGAAATTTTTAGAAATAATTAAATTTCAAAAGATATTGTTAATTTTCAAACAATTGTTAAATTTTACAGAACTAAAAATAATTTATCAAACAATTTTTGGAAAACATTTTTTAAATTTAATTGAATTTTCAAAGATTTAAAATTGAGATTTTTGAAATTAATTGAAACTTTAAGTGATTTTTAATTAAAATTTTAGATGATTTCACTAAAAATTTATTAGAAAATGCGGACAAAATACAATAATTTGAAAATCATTTTTAATTAAAAAATGGTTTCAGATAGTTGAATTTTCGAAGAATATTATTAAAATAGTTAAAAATAATTGAATTTCCTTAGAGTTATAATTGAAATGATTAAATTTCAAAAAAAAAAAAATTTCGATGGAAAATTTTAGAAGTAATTAAATTTTAGATGCTTTTAAATTCAAATGATTGAAAATTCAATTAATTTTGAATTCAAATTTTTGAGAATAATGAAATTTTATTTGATTTTAAATTGAAAATTTTTAGGGAAATAATTGAATTTTAAAATTTTGGATAATAATTTAATTTAAGTTCATTTTTGATTAAAAATTTGGATAATTAATTTTGAATAGAAATTTTAGAAAATAATTGAATTTTATTCCATTTTAAATTGAAAACTTGGTAAATAATTAAATTTTAAATTGAAAATTTTGGATAATTATTGGATTTTTAATTGATATTGAATTAAAATTTGAAGTTTGAGTTTATTTTGAATTGCAATTTTTAAAAAATAATTCAATTTTATTGTGATATTTATCGTATATTATTGAAAGCTTAACAAATACATTATGATAAAACAATGTGAATTTACTTATTTATTCAATGCATTATATTTTTGTTCAGAAAAATTACATTTATTTGTTTTATAACCTGATAAGTTTGTTTAGTTTACGATTAGTCACGAATCCTATAATGTTATTTTTCGCAGTTTGCATTAATGATTTAATTTCGGTATTAATATTGTTTTTTATGTAAATGAAAGTGAATTTTATACATGTCATATTTTGAGTGCATAAAATGTATCCATCTTTGTAACAGATTTTCAAGAGTGACAAATAAGTGTACAATGCTTTTGCAATTTAAAAACAGCTTTAAAAAACTAATTTTAATTGAGGAGCAAGTTTTCAAAAGTTGATAAATTCATTTTCCAAAAAATTGAGATAAATACAGATTTAACAAATTTAGGACCTTAGAAATTGATTTGTCACTCTTGAATATATGAAAAAATTTTATTAACAAAGAATTTTCAATTTAAAATCGTCTGGATTAAACCTAAGTGATTATTATTTTTAATTTTTTTTTATTAGAAAAAATTATCAAAGTCTTTAAATAACCCTATAATAAAAGACTTTAATTAAACACAAAATGTATTTTGTTTCTGTGATTTTCGGTTTTCTGTACATCTAAAGTTCCTGGCCACTGTGTCGGAAAAAGTCGTATAATCCGAGGAGTGTAAACATATAATTTTCATTATTATCATTTAATATGTAATAATATTCTAATAAATTAAATTATTATTGATAATATTAATCTTTAATTTCTTTATAACAAATAATTAAATACTCAATTTGGCGCGCTTGCGCGCGTTTAATTTTGCTAGTTTTAATTATAATTTATTTATTTATATACGGGACTTCAAAAATAAAGTACCCTTTAAATACAAATTGTATATAATATATTCGCGATGAGCACGACCTATAGAGGCGCTGTAATCATGAACATGTGATGAGATCACGTGGTCTGGAAGAAGTCTCTTCTCAAATATTTCAATGTGTCACATTTAATAAGTGTCGTTAAATGTTTTGTTATTTATTTTATACTTGATTGTTTGTGATATTTTAAGTAATACGCAAATTCTCTTTAATTTTTAATGTTAACAGTTTGTGAATTTATAAAAAGAAACCTAACAAACATCAAAAGAGAGATTATTTTTAGGTTATGTTGTGTAAGGTATTTTTAATATTTGTTTGAATTTTACTATTTTAATAAAGTATTAAAATCTAAAATAATTAATTGAACAATTTTAATTAAAAATTATATTTTATCTTAAATATAGAGTTAACAACTACTTTTTTTTACTTGTCATGAATTTGTCAATCAGATATTTTTATACAAACAAATTTATAACTCAATATATAAATTATCTACTATTTGTATTAAAATTTTGATGCAAACAGTATTAATAATGACAATAATATTTAATTGTTTTTATATTTAAATTTAAATATGTAAGCGTTGAAATGTGACATAACCTAAAAATTACTCTAAACATATCTAAATTTTAATTATTTAATTGACAGATAATGTTTCAATTTTTATTATTTATGAAATTTTAACATTAATTCTAAATAATTTACCTGGATTTATTAAATGACACTAGTTATTATTCCTTAAATATATTGTTTATAAAACAGATTCATGTGCAAAACATAAATAGAGACTTCTTCCAGAGCTTCGTCAAAAAACCGCCAGGTTTCGCATGGTTCGTGCTCATCGCGAATATGACATATAATTGAAAAATTCTCTTAATTCTCTCCAGGTGAGATTTTGACTTTTTCGGAGTAGGTTAACCGATTGCAATGAAACTTTGGAATTTTGTTATATATAGTAAGACTAATCTTTAACATAAATTGCAGCTTAAAATATTTGTTAGTTTACGAGATTTGCAATAACAAAAAATTTTAAACTGCTATATATCTTCCGTTATAATAATCGGATTGAGGTCTACTTTTTTTTAAAATATCAAGAAAAATGAGAGGAATAAATCTCTTTCAGAACAATGTTTTATAATTTTACAACTAAAACAGTTATTAAATAATAATTGAATAAATTTCAAGCGACAATCTAAAATTCAATCACTTAAGCGTTAAAATGATCTTACTAGTGTTTTCTTTAATGTTCCAAAGGAATCCAATTGTAAATGCAAGTTTAACTTATTTAATTTTAATAATTTACGAGTATATAAACAATAGCGATTACTGCCAGTTGACGTGAAATTTATTCAATTATTATTTAATAATTGTTTTAGTTGTAAAATTATAAAAAATTGTTCTGAAAGAGATTTATTCCTCTCATTTTCCTTGACATTTTAAAAAAAAGAAGACCTCAATCCGATTATTAGAATGGAAGATATAGCAGTTTAAAATTTTTTGTTATTATTGCAAATCTCGTAAACTAACAAATATTTTAAGCTGAAATTTACGTTAAATATTAGTCTTACTATATATAACAAAATTCCAAAGTTTCATTGCAATTGGTTAACCTACTCCAAAAAAGTCAAAATCTCACCTGGAATCGCACCGCTACTATTTAGAAAAGAAAGAAACTAATTATTAAATAATAGATTACGCAGTGCTGTACTAAATGCATTTAAGTTAATATTAAAGAAATCAATGTCATTAGAAATCGTATTCGCCTTTATAGATAATCTATTAATGACAGAGTTAATTCCGTAATTTGTACGATGGTATGGTATTTGAAACAGTATACATAATAATGTCTGGAATAACGTATTGGAATAGAAAATTTAATGAGTGATAGTGGAGGAGGGCAATCAATGTATCCAGTTAAAATTTTAAAAAAGAAAAGTAAATCAAAATAGTCAAATCTAGATGCAAGTCTGGATATGTTTGCCAAAGAACGTAAGTTGTCATATTCATGTGAAAATCTGTCAAAACGAACATTAGTTTGTCTAGCAAAAAATCGAAGGAAATGATTTTGAACTTTTGAATAATTCTTCATAAATTCAATTATATGTAATTTTAATTATTTTTAAAATTCCACAAGAACAATAAGTAAATGTTGTTTATAAAATTCCATGTACTAATTGTAATGTTTTAGGGCAGTCAATAAAGACAAAAAGTGCCACTAATTGTGTATAGATTTTTCTAAATGGATTTTGGTAGTTTGGGGGGGGGGGGGTAGTATAAAGGCCCCATAGTTTGCTCTCGAATTCCGGTTGCAAAAATTGTTCTAAACAATGGTCAAAGTTGGTGAAACGTGATTTTTGTTGCTCGTTACTTTCCTTTACATTTTAGAGGAAAAAGTTGTTATTAAAAAGAAAAGGTATTAAAAATACCTACAAAATGGCGGGTCGAAAGTTAAAATTGGATTATTTGTTTAAAATTTATTGAATTTAAACCATTAAAAATGGCACTTTTTAAAATTGTTTAATAACTTTGTTAATAATAATCCGATTGAAGTGAAACTTTCTGAAAATGTGCCCCTCGCGATACTGAACAAAATGAAAAAACTTCGAACCCAATCGAATGAATAGTTTATAAATTATTCCGTTTGTTAATTAAAAACATGTTGTTTTTCAACCTAATTTGAAAAAAACATTTTTTAAAATTTCTTTATTAGTAAAAACTACAAAAAAAATATTTTTTAGGCGAAAAATTATAGAATTTTTCATTTAAAACAATTATTTCTTTAAAAATCGTTTATCATAAACGTTGCGTACTTCAGCTTCATTTATAAACTAATTAAAATACTGAAAGATTTTTATGGAACAGCAACCGTATCTGTACAAAATAAGGGAGAGAGTTGAATTCCATTCAAAGTAATGAAAGGGGGGTACTACAGGGGGAAGTCAGTTGCCCCCTTTACTCTTAACTTAATTGAAAAAATTTTATGTATGAAAAACGAAAGATTCCCAAAAATTTGTTTGCTAAGATTTATTTCATTGTTAAAGTCAATAAATACTTATTTTCTATATATAGGTATATATTGTGAAAATAATAAGATAATAAATGAAAATAAATAATAATTCTTAGTAAAAACAGTTTTCTATTCATGTTATTTAAATTTTTTTTATTAATTTATTTAATAAAATACTTATTATAAACAGTAATTGTTAGTTTAATTAAATATTGTAATTAGGAACCCTTTCAGGTTAGAGGTAATCGGTAGGTAAATGAAAATTTAGTTAAATTAAAGTTCGTTTAAATGAAAATTAAACTTACCAAAACTTTTAAATTATAATTAATTTGGTTCTGCATCTGAAAGAGATAAAAAATAAATTATTAAAAACTCTAAAAAGTTGAAGTAAAAAAAAATAATTTTTAATTTTATATTTGTCTTTTTAAATTTTTGCATATTATCTAAATGTTTAAATTTTAGACATATTATAGTAATGCCATGCACGCACGACGGCATTTCTGTTGCGTTAACTCATCCGCGATTCTTAAAATAACTATATTATTTTCTAAAGCACAGAAACCTGTCTGTGCTAAATGACATGTAAGCTTTTTACTCAGTTTAATTTTCTTTCATTTCCCTCGACCTTCAAGCTTCATGAAGCTTAACCAGGTCGTTGCCATTTTCTCTCAGTATTCACGACCTTTACTTTTATTTCTTATTGAATTCGATAATAATTATTTTTTTTTAATTTTTCATATATAACGTCAAAAAATAAAAAGGCAAATTAAAAAAAAATCACTTTTAAAGAACAAAAAAAGTCGTTTCTATATATATATATTGTATATTTAATTTAGCATATAAAGAAACTTTTTTGCGTTTCAATTTAAATGTTTACAAAAATCGTTTATTTCGACGTTAAAAATAGCCATTTGGTATATTATATTTGAACGCAGTTTCAGGCAAAAAAATTATTAGCATTTAAATTTAAATTATTGACTCATTTCAAATGAGTATATGGAAAAAAATTATTATTTTCTTTTCTTTTTTAAAAGATAAATCAAAATTCTTATAGTAATTCAGTTATTTTGTTTATAACCTAAAAATGAATAAATTAACTGTTAATTATTACCGTAAATCTAAAGATTAATTTGTACTGAAAAAAAATGTATTTGATTTAAATATTCGGTTACATGACAATTATCAAATTTACTTATATCAAATAATTATTATTTGAGATGGTATTTGTTTTAAATACAGAAATTGTTGGTTCAAATACATTTTATTTAATTCAAATAAAAAAATTATTAGGTTCAAGTAAATATTTATTTTGATAATAGTTAAGTAAGCGATTATTTGAATCAAATAAATTTTTCTTTTTCCATATTAAAATTGAATTTAAAAAATAAATTTTCCTATTAGAGTTAAAAATATTTTTTATACTCAGTGAAAGTAATTTTATGAATCATCTTTAAATAAGATGTACATAGTAGTATTATTATGCATAACGTGTGTCAAGTGTTTCTTGCATGAATAATAATTATTATTTTTAATATATATTACTTAGGATTATTCATATTCTGCTCATATAAAATAATATCTATATTATGTATATTCAAAAACTCGAAACATTAAATCTTGTACCGGTTTCCGGAGAGTACACAGTAATTTTGTAATGTTTAATACATTTTAATAAAGTAATATAACCAAGTTTTAGGTAAAAGAAAATAATTGCTCTAATAATTATCTTTTCAAGATGTTAAACCACGGGAATAATTATGATTTTAATTAATGGTGTATGTTTAATTAATTACATTGTAAATTTATTAAAAAAATTTCCTTAATATTTATTAAATTAGTAATTATTTCTTTGTAATGCATATTTACACTAAAAATATAATAAATTTCAAATCAAAATAAGTCAGATTCCCATATTGAATTAAATTAATTTATTTTTTTCTATAAAGAATTTTATATTTAAAACATAATCTCTTTTATTATGATTGTATAATTATGTAGGGCACTTGTTTCTTCTTCATTGCTTCAATTGTTTATTAAATTATAACGATCGGTTTTATTTTTAGTTTTCAAGATGTTATTTGGATTGAGGAAAAAGATAATTTTAAATTGAAAAATAGAACAGTAAAATCGAGAATATAAATCGAATAATTTTTGCCTCAGAAAAATGTATCAGATCTCTCGCGTGTGTGCTATGACGAAAAAACAATCGCATTAAGAATAGCGTGACTCATGGAGCTTCATACCTTTCAATGAATCCACGTAGGTGTTAATCTCTATTTATAGAACACACGAGTATTGATACAATTATTTTGTCAACTTTCCTATAAAAAAAAATAATTTTTTTTTCTAATATTTTTTTGATTGATAATCGAAAATGCTCAATATTATTTATTATTTACTTTTGAAGTACCTACTTTATACATAGAATTGTGTAATGTTTGAATAATGGGAAAAAAATTATTTTAAAGTTCAAGGTTGAAGTATAAATTATAAGGGATAAACGAACATATACAAAATATCAAAGTAAATAATTATTATTCATGACTAATCAGAAGAAGACTTTACTCTTCAAAATTGATTTACAACAATTTACAAAATTAGTCGAATTTTTAGGTTAGGAATTTTGTGAATTGACATAAGTAGAAGTACCAATTGTGTAAAGGCACTCTCACACCTTTTTGGCTGCCAGCAGGTTACCATGGCAATGCATGCGAGTGAGTGCGACAGAAGATTTAAAATTTTGAATATTCAAATTTTCTGTCTCACTCACACTCATGCGTTGTCATGGTAACCTGCAGGGAGGCAGGCAGCAAGAAAGGTGTGAGAGTGCCTTAACACCAAACTTTAAATAATGGCGCTATATTTAAAAAAATTTTGAAATAAATAAGTGATTATTTAATAATAAATTAAACTAATATAAAGAAATTTAATATAATTGCTCTATAATTTAATATATTTATTATTTACATGAATGAAGAAAGAAAGAAATTTTATAAAATAATAATTAATCGACTTCTTTAATTTCTTTTTAAAAGTACCGATTAATTAAGTTCTCTTTTAATAAGATCTAGGATATTTATGTAGTTTACTTTGTATAAATAATTATTATTAGTTTAAAAAAAGTTTTTAAAAAGAAACTCTTTCATATTTGAAAAAATGATGAATGTTTTTAAAAGAGTTATTAAGACATCTGCATGAAACTTGGTATACTCTTTAAGAATTCGCACGTGTCTAATTCATTTAACGAGCCTAAACCAAAAGTGGCAGTTGGTATAACGCTAATCAGGATCCTGTTAATAATAATTTTACTCTACCGTATCGAAAGTATCATTTCCGGTTGGATACAACATTGAATGTATAACATTTATTTCTCTTTAATTTACATAATTGCTTTTTATTAATTTTTTTATTAATTGTTTGAGTGAACCTTTATGGCTTCACTCATGTCTATCATAAACGGAACCTTAACCAATTTTTATATTTATTTAAGAGGTTCAACCACTCTAGAATTTTAAAAAAATTGCGTTTTTCTCAAAACTACTTTTTTTCTGAAATGACCGGAAATATTTTCACAAATCTCAACCGATTTATCTAAAAATTTAACTCTAGCTTCTTAATAACATTATCTAGAGAAAGACGTACGAATTTTTTTTAAGTTGCATATTTTTAAAGTTATAAACAATTTAATTTTTTTTTTTTAGGAAAAAACTCTTTTTCCTTAAAATGTTCACCATTTTTGTAAAAATCGATAAAAAAAAATCTCCTACGTCTTTCTGCAGCTTTTGAGATGTAAAAAAAGAAAAAAAATTTTTTTTTTGTTCTAAGATGAAAATTGTAGCAAAACCCTTTTTGGTCGCGAAGTGATTCTCCTTAGAAAGGGTTTCTATCACGTACCTGTAAACTTGATAATTAAAAAAAATTTATAAAGTATTTTTTTTTCTCTTTAAAGTGTACCTAATAAAGATATTATAAACATATTTTGTATTACTTTTAAACTTTTCTTGAAAAAAATTATTAAAATTAGGGTGGTTTAACCCCTTAATGATTATATGGACATTATGGTGCAACCAAAATAAAACATTAAAATTAAAAATTTTCTAAATGAAGAGAATTAAAGTTGCTTCTTATTTATTAGAAAACAATCTAATAATTATTGTTTTAAAGAAAGAGATGCACCTTGAAATAAGACTAAAATCATTTACATATAGGTATAAAAATAGTTGATCGCGTGCAAGAATAAAGTTTGTTGACTTTACTAATTTGTTAACGTATATCTATATATACATATATAGTTCATTGGCTAGACAATCTAATGATATATTACATTTAAATATATGTACACACAGAAGATAGTTAATATATGATCTAATCTTATCAATTATCAGCATTTAGTTACAGTTCTATGTGTTATTTATTGGTGCGTTTATTATAATCTAAAGCACATAGAAAAAGTAAATCTTATTCGAACAGAAAACGTTGATAAAATCTATAAACCAAATACGGTAAATTTTTGTAAAATTTAAAAAAAAATTGATGCGAATCCCACCGCTGACACCAAATACTTTGAATATATATTGTTTTAATAATTAATATGTAATACGCAGTTCCTAAATTATTTTATTTCCCATAAAATATTATTATAATATATTATCGTAAAGATGACAAATTTTCAATGTACGCAGTATAAACTTTTTAATCTTTGTATATAGGTTAAAATTGGTCTCTCTATACTCTCTTGTTTATATACTTGATGTAGTTTTTGACGCTAATTGGTGGGACACGTTATATAAGTGCCTATATATATATATATATATATATATATATATATATATATATATATATATATATATATATATATATAAATATAATGTAATTTTTGCAATAATGTGTACCTTGTATATAACTTGGAGGTGAAACTATCCTTTCCCTTCTGGCAGAATTATATCGATCCGTATGTTGCACGAGACACCTTTTAAAACCCTTAACGTGCGTTTTTAGTATACACATATACATATGTTGTAGGGAAACAAAACCCCCACAGACATGGAGAAAAAAAAAACCTTTTGCTTGTTTAATTATTGTACTCTTGAAACCTTAGAAGCGAGTCTCTATATAGAAAAAAAGTGGACATTTTAATGTCAATTTCTCGTTCTCATATTATTTTAGTATAATTTTTCAATAATAATTTACATTTTTATTTTTACTTTCTTATTACTATTTTTATTATTATTAATATAATATTATTCATGTTTTTAATTTCTAATTGTTTTTTTAATAAACTACTTTTCTTTAATACCTGCATGGGAAATGCGATTTCGGGGGCATGATGGCATAAGTCCGAAATAGGATATTCCCATGATGCTCCGGGATAAAATGAATAGTATTCGAATAAGTATACGCAGTAATCGGAATATTCGAAATAGTATTCCAAACGGTATTGAAAGTATATAGAGTATACCAAATAGTATTCTAACTTGTATACATAATCTCCAATGTATACATGAACGTCTTCCGTAATATTCGAAACGCATATAACAGTACACTGAGTAAACTAAGCTGAATCTTCAAATGGATCATCTTAGTTTCCTAAGTATACCAAAGTGTTCAGAGTAATCTCGAAGGTCTTCAGAAGTCTCTTAAAAGTATGAACATCTTCCGGAGTAAATAAAATGAATACTGCAGTCCCTGAATTTTTGGATACTTAGAATATAGAATACTTAGAATAGATGGCAGAAGTAAAAAATTAGAATGGCACTAATAAATAAATAAGATAATACATAATAAACTGAGATTTACAGTATTTTATTTAAATTTTAGTATTATATTTTGAGTAAGAACTACTAAACATAACTGATAACAAGAAGAAATTTTTTTTATTGATACTGCAAAATAGTTTTACTCTAAAGCAGAGATTGGAGTATTTTTTCGTTTTTAAAGGTTTGCCACATCTGGTTTGCATTAGGATGACCAGTCAAGGGTTTCTCGATGCAAGAGGTCCTATTTTATGAGTTTTTCGGTACCTGTTTTTTTCTTATAGATATATTTAGATAGAAAATGTGTGAATTTTAAAGATGCAAAGAGACGAAAAAAATATTTTGAAATGTTTAGTATTTTTTCAAAAATTTTCCTAAAGCAGACCTTCAAGTTTTCAGTTGCTTTCTAGCATTTGCCAGGAACGAAGGGCAACCTACAGTCGGTAGTTAGTGAGTTAAAGTGAAGAATTTATTGAGAATTTATTTATTAATTATTATTTTAATGTAATATTTAAAGTTTTTTATTAAACGAAATAATTTGAAGTGTAAGATAATTCTTTAACTAAAAAAATCCTGCACTAAGTTACACAATTCATTAATGACAAATTACCCATCGAATGGTACGAAATCATATGCTGAAAAAATTATAAGCAAATCAAGTAAGTTTTTCATATATTTTTTATTTAATTAACCAGAAATTTATATTTTATTAAATATTATAATATAATATTAATATTATAAATGTTAACCTTGTATTCACTGCCAATTGTAATAGTTTATTTAATAAATTATTGTATAAAGTATTATAACACAAAAATTTTTTATAAAAAATAATTTAATAACATTAAAATATTTAAATATATCATTGATTAGAATGCAACTTAAAGTTGACATTTTTTCAGGTACGGAATTTGAGTTTTATAAAGGATATACCATATTACTTATCGCTTTAAATATTTAATTCAGATAGTTATTTTTCTTTATGTTTATCTATTTATTTAACTTGTATATTAATTAAGTATTACATATTATGTATAATTATGTTATTAAGAAAAAAATTTTGTGTATATTTGGTGTTTATATGTATCAAAAAATATTCAATGAATAAATTAATTATCATTTAATATTATTTATTTATATTCACATTTATTATTAAGAAAAATTTTTGTCTATATGACAATGCGACATCTATTAGACACCATTAGAACTCTATCTTTGGAGTTAATTACAAAATAATTTGGAAAAATTCATATAATATCCCAATGTATACGAACGGTATACTCTCCTCTCTATGTGGTAGATCTTAGTATACCATTAGTTTACTTTAGTAATCTTTCTCAAAGTATTACACAGTCTACCTTTTGGCACGGAGGAATACTTATTTGAATACTATGTGACTCAAGTTTACTTTTGGAATACCTACATTTTTCATCCCAGGGCATCACATGATAGTGAGGGAAATGCTCATTTCTCGCACTAGTAAGGGAAATGAGTATCCTCCTCTGAGGGGTCGCGGCAACTAATGACTATCTCGTCGATATCGAAATCGATTTCACTTACAAAAAATTAACACCGATTCTGAAATCAAAATCTAAAGGTTTTAAAAGCAACAGTTTTCACGCTAGAAGAAGTTCGAAAGTTTCTGTTAGAAGCTCCCGATAAAGAATATCTGGCTGCTAAAAGGTAAATAAAATACATAAATAAAAAAAGTGAAAAATTATTCCATGTTAAAAAATAAAATATTAATTTAAAATAAAACAAAAAAGAAATGCATTTCTTAGAAACTCTCAAATAAACTTAAATTAGGTAATTTGAATTATTTTTTTTATTTTCTACCTTCATAAGTATATGGTCGATTCTCCAGAAAGTGGTCATTTTTGAGAGAGGAATATATTTTAAAGTAACTGGAAATTCGATTTTTTTTATACAAGATATCATAGTTAAGGCATCTTTAAATTACATTCTTGTGTAAAGTAAATATAATTCAATGATAAGATTTTCAGATGATATATAACATAATGACATAAAAATGTTTTCTTTTTGGAGAATCGCCCATATCTATTAAAACACAAAAATATGAAATTTATAGGTTGAGTATAGAAAAATCTGACGTGATATTTCGAGGCTAATCTCAATTGAATAAAAAATTTTGTTAAATGCAATTTTCGTCGCCGAGACAAGTATAAAGCTACTTTATTTTCTAAAGATTTCAGCACATTATGTAATTTAGAATTCAATTAGTCATATATCTAACTAAATCTGAGAATTAAGAAATTAAGGTCTTTAAAGCGGCTTTTCTTTATGTAATTAGGATATTATCCATGACTGATTCTCGTTTGCCTAAAATCGTCATACACAACCGATTTTTGAATTTTTTTTTTTAAATAATCTTTAATAAAATTGTAAGAGATCCCTCGAGCCCGATTTTTGATTTTCAATTTGCATAAATAATTATATTAATATAAACAAATAAAAAAAACATACTTTTTTACATATTACTCTTATTTTCAAAAAAATATGTAAAGTTTTTATTGTTAGGTATTTAAATTTACTCCTCTGGATCTCTGAATTGTAGAATTATAGACCCATTAGTAAATTGTTATAAACAAATTGTTAATTTAGGCAATGATTTAAATTAACTTAAATGAAACTGATAACTCGGGGGTTTTCGTGATCGCTGATCACGAATTCGATGTCAGATTTTCAAAATTCAAAATGGCGGATCCAATATGGCGGACAAAAATTTTAAAAATTGCTTAAATTCGCTTGAATCTGGTTATTCGGGGGTTTTTGGGGTTGCTGACCACGAATTCGATATCAGTTTTTCAAAAAATCAAAATCGAATAGCATATCCAATAAGGTAGACAATTTTGTAAAAATTAAATTCGATTGAAAATTGTTATTTAGGTCTTTTTGTTACTGTATATAAATTATACGTCATTCTTTTTAAAAATTTTAAATGTCTTCTAAGAAAACTTTTGTAAGCGAACCCAATGAATTTTTAAAAATTTGTTCGTGATATTGGATCCGCCCTTTTGAATTTTGAAAAACTGACATCGAATTCGTGATCAGCCACCACAAAAACCCTCGAGTAACCAGATTCAATCGAATTTAAGCGATTTTTAAAAATTTGTCCGCCATTTTGGATCCGCCATTTTGAATTTTGAAAATCTGACATCGAATTCGTGATCAGCGACCACTGAAAACCCCCGAGTAATCAGTTTTATTTAAGTTAATTGAAATCATTGCCCAAATTAAGAATTTGTTTATATAATTTGTTTATAACAATTTACTAATGGGTCTATAATTCTACAATTCAGAGATCCAGAGGAGTAAATTTAAATACTTAACAATATAAACTTTACATATTTTTTTGAAAATAAGAGTAATATGTAAAAAAGTATGTTTTTTTTTATTTGTTTATATTAATATAAATATTTATGCAAATTGAAAATCAAAAATCGGGCTCGAGGAATCTCTTACAATTTTATTAAAGATTATTTAAAAAAAAAATAATTCAAAAATCGGTTGCGATTTGTAGGCTCTAGACCGTTTGGAACCCTACTTTTTGATTTCAAACCACTGTGCGGCCCAATTACTACAAGGAAAACGTATTTTTAATGTTAAGATTAATTAAACGACCAATTTGTAGGGAATTTTATAAACTTTCAAATGAATATTATAATCTTTGCAATTAAAATAATAGGTAAAGTGATTAGGTTTAAAAATCAACAAAAAACGCTGTTTTTTGCTGTTTTTGTGGATTATAATTTTACAATTACTTTTTTTTTCATCATAATTATATAAATGTTGGTTAACGTGAACGTACAAAAATTTTAAGCTGAAATTTTAACCGTGGTATGAGCCAAAAGTTCTGAACGTTCAAATGAACGAAATATTTTTTTCAATTCTATAAATTATTAAAAATTATAATGCAAATATAAAATAAAACAATAAATTAAACAATTATTAAATTAATAACTTCTTTTTAGATAATTAAAATAAATATTTTCAAATAAAATTAGTACTTAAAAAAGTTGAAAAAAAATTTCGTTCATTTGAACGTTCAAAACTTTTGTCTCATACCGTGGTGTGGTTTTGGATGTAGCTAGAACAATATTAATCTACAAAAAATTACGAAAAATTGAGTTTTTTTTTTATTCCTTCCATAGAAGATTTTCATTTTTCGCTCAATTTACTCAATTTTGATACTATAGAATAAGAATTCATTCAACATGAGAAATATATGGACTACTCATTGTTCCCAATCGTGAAAAGAAACAATTTAATTATTTATTAATTGTATAGTAAATTTTCTTTATTTTCTTTGAGACATTGCGTTTTTTAATGATACAATATTGATAAGAAATATCTAGTTTAAAATACAATCGTAATTGATCGCAAACGAAAACATTATTTTATAAAACTATAGTAATAAAACTGAGTGACTCATGGCTTACGAATTCCCTTTTTCTATATATACTCTATTATTATATTATATATGTATACTTTAATGTAGGAAAAATTAGGGTATATGTTAGGGGTAAAAAAAGGTTGAAAAATATCGTTGTATATATATATATATTTACTTTTTTTTGAACCTTCCTATATTTGTAATATATGCGTAGTTTTTTAAAATTATAAAATGCTATGATAATAATAATAATAATATCTTGAGTATAAAAATATAAAAGATAATTAAAGGAAAATAAAAGTTTGTACTACAAAATAAAAGCATATTAACAATATATGAATGGTAATTATATATATGTATATATTTCAATTTTTAACTGTTTATATTTCCAAAACGATTAAGTGATAATTGTTGAAAGAGTTTAGGATTTGTTTTTTCTAAAAGAGGCTTCCAGTATTACAGTAATGCTTGTTATATAGTCGCCCGCAGGCGCAGTACTTGACCTATATCAAAATATCGTTTATTCACCTAATTAGTTTTTTTTTTCTTTTTTCACGGATCAAAAAGAAAAGTTAAATATGCAAAATAGATTGCTAAATATAATAAACAACAAGGTTTTGTCAGTAAATTTCTCCAAGTTTTAAATATTACAAATTCTTTATACAGGGTGATTTTTATGTTCCGGACCCCCTAAAAAAATTTTTTTTATTCCCATTTTTTTTCCGCTTTTTAAACAAAATTAATGGAATTAAAAAAAAATGTCAGGCTCTCTAAATTTGAATTAGTGAAAAGTGAGCTACTAATACATATTAGTAATATAGTAGTAGTAATATATATAATATTTTTTATTTCAACCAAATAAAATTTATTTGAGACAAATAAATATTTATTTTGAGACACAAATATATTTTTTCTTTACATTTAGAAGGTAACTTGTTTTTTTTAGTTTTGTGATTATTTATAACATTTATTAAAATTTTTTTATTTCACTTGAGCTTTCCCTTTTTTTTTATTATATTTAAAAGTTATTTTATGACCTAGATATTTTTAATTACTTCCTTTTTAGATAAATATTGTATGAAAATATATTCATGAAGTCATATGAATATTTTTATTTATCCAACGTGTGTGACATTAGAAAATAAATTTTGTTTAAATTTACAAAAATTTTTAAACTTGTTAAGTGTTAAAATTACAAAGAAAATTGTATTTCAATAATTTTCTTACCCGTATAAAGGCTTTTATTTCATCAAAATTTTTTTCAACATTGTATTTCCTTGTTTTATTGCAATTAAATTTCATGTCACATAAATTTATTATTTTTGCGCGCATCGACAGTTAAATTTACATTTTACTAACTTATTTTTTAGTCAGTATTTTAAAATTTATAATATTATAAAATTTCTTTTTTTCGTGCGAAAAAAAATTATTTTTTTTTTAATTTTTAAATTTTAACTAATTGTGAAAATTTAATTATATCAATTTACAATTTTTAAGTTACTAATTTTTGGTTTGTTTTGACGATTCTATTTTTTTGTATTTAGAATAAATTTTTTAATGAAAAATTAATTTAAGATATCACAAGTCTTAAAAAAATTTGTTTCTTTATACATATATATATGTAAATAAAAAAAAACACACACACGAGATTAAAGTTTTTGGAAGAGTTTGTAAAAACTGGATTCTTATAAGAACCTGTTTAAATGAAGTCGAGGCCTGTACTGAACGTTCAAAAATGTTAGAGTGAATGTTGCTTCTTATCCATATATTACATGACAGTGTAATTAATAGAATATGACAACAAAATAATAAATATTCTAAATTGAAGAATATATAATTTTTTTTTTTTTATTAAATCGTAAAATGTAAGAATAATTCTTAATTTAACTTGTTTCTTATTATAAGAATATTATATTCTAAGAATAAATTTTTCCACCCAGAGAAGTAATATATTTGTCTCAGGAGCCTAATAAATATTTATTTGATTTAAATAATTTTTCAAATCATACATTGAAACAAATTTGTTTGATTTAAATACATAGTTGACTAATTATTAAATAAATATTTACTTGAAGCAAATAATTTTTATTTGAATTAAATAAATTGTATTTGAAACAATAATTTCTGTATTTAAAATAAATACCATCTTAAATAATATAATTATTTGATACAAATAAATATTTATATTTGATAATAGTCAAGTAATCGAGTATTCATAATTTTTTTTTCATTGTATATATAGGTATTATTTATAGTGACGACTATATTAATTTAATAATCAATTTGGTTAGCATGCCGTGATAGTATATAATTGCATTTAATGGTGGTTTTGTTGGTCTCATTAATGAAAAAGGATCCTTATTGATTCATTTATTTATACGTTCTTTATAATTTATTAATTCATAATCATTGCAAAACATATTGTTAAGACGGAAATTCATAGAATTGTTTATTAAAAAAAAAAATTTTTTTTTAAATAGTTGATTATAAACGTTGTTTGAATTGAAGAAACGAGTTTCCTTTTATCTACAAGAATATTATATAGAATTTAGAACCGTTACATTGTCTAATCTCTTTGGCCTTCAATAAAATAATTACTTTTTCATTGTTGTAAAATCAGTCATATATTTGTAATTTCTTATCGTCAAACATTTAACAATTGTTTTATTTTTTTTTTAACAAAAAATTCTTACCAGATCATTTCGAGTGAATTTGTTTCATTCTGAAGTTGAATTTTAATTCTATTCAAATCTATTTTTTCTTTTTCGAATCAATTCATTTCATTCCGAAACTGAATTTTAATCCTTTTGAATTCTTACATTCCGAATCAATTCTATTGTGACTTGGAAACTGATTGATTCGAAATAAAATTTTATAATTTAAAAGGATTAAAATTTAGCTTTGGATTGATTTTTGGAATGGATTTCAGGATCCAAAAGTATTAAAATTAGGCTTTGGAATGAAACAAATTCATTTGGAATGATCCGGTAAGAATTCAGATAAAAACTGATTGGCTCGGAAACAAATTTTGGAATGCCTCGGAATAATACTTATACTAAAACTGATTTTGAACATCAATCTGAAACTTTTTTTTTCAAGGATATTAATTTTTTATTTAAAAATTTTTAATTTAAAATATAAAATTTAAAGCGAAATAGAACTTTTGTACTATTTCGTATACCTTATGAAATATTAAAATTAGTAATTTTTTGTAATCACTGAAAAATTATAATATCTATGCATTAATTTTGAGTTAAATAATTTTTTTATCATCATTTCTTGATAATTTTTTGTATTATCTTGTATAAATAGGTCCCTGAACCTTCGGAACTTGACGGGTCGAAAGTCGAAACAAAACATATAATATGTCATAAAATTTAATGTGAAAAAAATTTTGTTCTCTGTAAATTGCATGTTAAAAGTATGTATGTAGTAATGTTCGCTTCAAATTATTGAAATTCTTTGAAAATAATAAATTTTCTAGAAATTAATTGTTCAAAATACAGAAAAATCTGTACTCAAATAATAACCCCTGTACGCTACTCATTTTGAGCTTCATATGATACGACTTTGAAAGACTTTTTTCACGTTCTGAAACTTTTTTTTCTATAATCTTTTTATTTTTAAATATTATAATAATAAAATAATATCTAGTTAAGTCAGTATTGATCGATGCAGCTGTTTCTTTGCGTCTTTGCAGTATTCTTGTAGATATATTTGGTAAACTTTTTCTCGAAAAAATTTTTCTTTAAACAAATTATAATTTGATTTATTAATTTTTTTTGTTGATTTTATGTCATTAATTCATTTACGTTTTGTATATTTTAATTTACCTCAAAAATTAAGTATTTATTTAGACACAAATCATAGATTTTATTATTAACATAATAGAATAATTATTTTTTGTATTTATATTTTTATTTATTTTTATTAGATTATTCTTTTTATTTCAATGAATTTTGATATTTTTAATTTGATTATCTGTTACAATCTGAGTAAAAAAAAACCCAATTTTTAAAATTCAATTATTCAGTCGTCTTTTGTTACATTATTTTGACAACACAACAAACCCAGACTTGTTATTATATACTTATAACTGCAATTATAAAAACTCATTTGTGAAATTAGTTTTGATAAAATCAAGAGCACTTTCATCTCCCCAAGAATGGTATTATGTTTTTTTTTTCAATATTGGAATAACTTGATTCGTATTTTTAAAAAAATTTTGACGATTCTAATAGAATTAATAAAACATTATTTTTAAATTGTGTTTAATTATAATTAATTTGAATTTTCAACGGAAAATTAATATTTTGCAATGTTAAAAATTGATTTTTAAAAATTTTATTCTATATGTTTATCAATTTCTTCTTTACCGGTAACTTGAATTTAAAAGTCATGTCGATAAATTACCAACTACAGTTTTTTACTTGAAGATGTCACCACTTAATAGTTTATTTTAGAATTAAAATTTTGCAAAATTTAATACAATTTTTTATTATTATTTGTAAAAAACAAATGTTTAAAAATTTTGAAAAATTCGCAAAAAAAATATTAAAAATTATTTTCCCACGACCGGACTAGGCTTAAAATTTGTGTTATAAGAAGTAGTTTTTTTGAAAATTTAAAAAAAAAAATCAAAAAATATACAAACACTTTTAAAAATAAGATTTTTATCTTAAAATTACAAAAAATAAGGTTAATAATTTTTTTTTAATTTTTTGCATAAAAGTTTTGAAAAGTTCATTTGAAAAGACACAATTTGAAAAAAAAGAAATTAAAATTGGTGCATTTATCAAAAAGTTATGAGCTTTCAAAAAAAAAAATTTTTCTTCAAAAATTTTGAAAAATTTATATCTCGAAAACGGCTTTATAAAAAAATTTGAAAAAAATCAGGAAGCTCTTTTTCAATGAGTAAAAAAAGTTAAAAAAATTTGAGGGAAATCAAAAATGTCCAAGTCAATGATATATTGGAATGGCGTGGACCGCCCCCTATACACCTTCCCTAAACGGGTAGAAATATTTACTTTATTTGAAAACTTGCAATGCCGAAAATCCTCAAATAACAACTTTCGAGAAATTCCAAACTAATTAAATTTTTTTCGTCGTGGTATTAGATCCGCCATTTTTAATTATTAAAATCTAATATTACATTCATAATCAGCGTTCTCGAAAACTCCTTAAGTAATGTAATGAGATTCAAAATGCTCTGGTAAATTTTTTAAATTTCACCCGCCATTTTGAATTTGCAAAAAAACAGACCTAAACTAAAAAGTGTACGTGAAATAATAATAATAATATTATTAATAATAATACAAATAAATATTTAATAAAAATAATAATAGTAAAATAATCGATTATTTGAATCAAATACTTTTTTCAGTTATTTGACAATTAAATATATCACCAATTTAAATGAACGTTGATAATATTATACACCCAGAGAAAAGATTTCTTTGATTTAAAGAAACCAATTTTTTTCACTTGTTTTCTTTCATTCAAAATAAAATCTAAAGTTTCTTTTCGAAAATTTAAAAATGTCGGATCCAATATGGCGGACAAAATTTCAAAAAAGTTGAAAGAATTGTTTTTTTGCAAGAAAAATATTATTCGAAACTATATTTGAGGTCGCTGATGACGAATATGAAGTTATTTATTTAGAAATTCAAAATGGCGGATCCAAAATGGAGGACGAAAATTTTTTAAATTCTTCCGATTCGGTGAAAATTTATTACTTGGAGGTTTTTGGGGTGTCTGACAACGAATCTGATGTCAGTTTTAAAAATTTTTAAAATATCGGATTCAATATGTGACACAATTGGAAGAAAGGAACCTTAGATGCCAGTTTTCAGAAATTCAAAATGGCTGATCCAATATGGCGGAGGAACATTTTTAAAATTTATCGGATTTCGCCATATTGGATCAGCCATTTTGAATTTCTGAAAAATGACATCAGATTCGTTGTCAGCAATTTCAGATTTCTTCGTCCGGCATATAGGATCCGTCATTTTGAATTTTTGAAAAAAAAGAATGAGTTTCAGAATTATTTACCTCGTTTTTAGCTTTTAATTCATAAAAGTATTTTGAAATTTTTTGACTTTTAACAGCTCTATTGGCATCAAAAATAAAATCATTTGAAAAATGCCCAATGGCATCTTAAAGTACACGAATTTTGAAATCTTTTTAAGCGCTAGAACGTTTAAATCCGTCAAAGCAATTTTTATTTAGGGCTCTGTCCGTGTTAACGTAGAATGTTTCTTATTTTTTTTTTTTTTTTTTTTTTGTAAAAACAAATATTCTAATTTTATAAGAATAATATGCAAAAGAAATACAAAAGTAGAATAGTCCTATCAATTTGAGAATATTCTTTTACGATGTCCTACATTGTAAAAAAAAATTAATTAATTGTTTTAAAAAATAATTACATTATATTAAAAAAAAAATCTCGCTTAGTTAAAAAATTAAGATTTCAAAGTGTCCCTAAGTTCATTGTGTCTGCTTCTCAATATCTTATTCTGTGGTGTCAGTGGAATGACGCCAAATTCAATTTAATACAGTCGATTGCATTATTCTGTTTTGGGCTTAAAGCCAGCAATAAAGGAACATAAACTTTTCTTTGTTTAAAATTGCATTCTTTTTAGCTGCATATTTTTGAATATTAAAAATTATATCAATAAAACATATAATAATAATAACAACAATAATGATAATTTATTAAATT